AGGGGATGAGAGAGAGAAAGAAGACTTTACCCAAGAAACTAAGAAAAAGAGAGAAACGAGTGATGGAGTATGAAGAACAATTATAAAGAAGACAGAAACCCTAATTGTGAGGACCTTTTATATGATAGAAGAAAAAAAATCAGAAAATTGGATGGGGTTAATTTTGTGGGTTCACTAAACGCAATCGTGATATCTAAAAAACGCTATTACCGGTTTAGTAAGTTTAATCACACGTCATAGTCGCAGTGTTGCAATTGAATGATAATATTTAGTTTGTGATGTTTAATAGAGAAATAAATTATTGAGAGTGTTTAGAAAAGAGGCAAAAAGTACATGGTGTATATCAAAGAAGCAGTATAGTTGAGGTAGCTAAGAAGAGTCGACCCTCATTTGAGCATTTAAATTTTCTTTTATTAATTTGACCATCTAAGATCATATTTTTAACTAGTGGGTAAAGTTTGCAATAACTTCTTTTATATAGTGATTGTGAAGTTCTTATATAGTGAGTAAAGTTTTGTTAAAGTGCAATTAACTTATAAAAACTGAAAATTTTCTCTCTTTTTTTATGAAATTAGTATTAAAATTTCTGCTATACTTGAAAAAAAGTTGAACAAGTTTACCAAGCTAGGTTGTTTTTCATAATATTGCAATTTAACACTTAGATTTCTTTTATTAATACGACTATCTTAAATAACGAAATTAGTGAGTAGAAATTGCAATAGTGAAATTATTTATTTGTTTATATTTTTTTTGTTAAACTATAAATTCCTCTATTTTTTTTTGAACAAATAAATTCCTTTTTTTGTTATCAAATTAATAATAAAAAATTAAGTGTTAAACTACTTTACCTAAAATAAAGTTGAATAAGTGATACCAAAACTTACGAACTACAAACCAAACACGATGCAATGGATTATCTCGATTACTTTTCAGAATATTTCAATTTAAAACTTATATTTTCTTTCATTAAACAAACAATCTAAAATCATGTAAATTAGTGAGTAAAATTTGCTATAATTTTATTTATTTATGCTATATAGTTTGTATATAGTAATTGTGAAAATCACTGACAAAAAAAAAACAATAATTGTGAAAATCTTCTTTAGTATTTTTTTCTTAAAGTGAAACGATAAATTCCTCATTTTTTGTTATTAGACTAATAATATCTAGAAATTACTTTACTTGAAAAAAAGTTGAACAAGTGGTACCAAAACTTACGAACCAAAGACGATGCAATGGATAGAATACCAAGTTCGGTTATTTTCATAGTATTGCAATAATATAACACTAAAATTTCTTTTATTAATTTGAATATCTAAAATCATGTAATTTAGTTGATAAAATTTGTAATAATTTATTTATTTATGTATAATTCTTTAGTGCTTTTTTTTGAAGTGAAAATAACTTATAAATTCCTCATTTTTGTTATCAAATTAATATTAAGAAATGTGTAAGTGTTAAACTACTTTACTTGAAATAAAGTTGAACAAGTGATACCACTTACGAAACAAAGACGATGCAATGGATAGGATAACAAGTTCGGTTATTTTCATAGTATTGCAATATAACACTTAAATTTCTTTTATTAATTTGAATATCTAAAATCATGTAATTTAGTGGATAAAATTTGTAATAATTTCTTTATTTATGTATAGTAATTGTAAAATTCTTTAGTGCTTTTTTTTGAAGTGAAACTAACTTATAAATTCCATTTTTTTATCAAATTAATATTAAGAAATGTAAGTGTTAAACTACTTTACTTGAAATAAAGTTGAACAAGTGATACCAGTTACGAACCAAAGACGATGCAATGGATAGGATACCAAGTTCGGTTATTTTCATAGTATTGTAATTTAACATTTAAATTTCTTTTATTAATTTTAATATCTAAAATCATGTAATTTAGTAGATAAAATTTGTAACCATTTCTGTATATATTTTATAATAATTGTAAAAAAAAAAAAATTGTTAAAGTGAAACTAACTTATAAATTCCTCATTTTTGTTATCAAATTAATATTAAAAAATTTAAGTGTTAAACTACTATACTTGAAAACATTATAAGATACCAAATTCAATATTTCCGTAGCATTGCATTTTAACACTTAAACTTATGTTATTAATATGATTTTTCTATGATCATCATATTGATTAAATAAATCAAATTTGCAATAATATATTTTATTTTAATATTGGAATTGTAAAATCATGACAGTAAATGTAAATCTGTGTGAAACTTACCTGAAAGAAGTAGGACTAATGAGAACCCGAACCATCCCGACTTCCGAGCATCTACCATCCAGATAGACCTGCAAATATTTCCATCAGACGCGTAAACACGAAGTCTTTTAAAGCATAAAAGTTTTGATATACGAAGTCTTAAAAGCATATATACACCATAAACAAAGGAAACAGACCAAAAGCTGTGGAAGATGATGACACGACACGCCGTAGATATTAAAAACATTTCTTCATTCATTCATATTTACACACGCATACTATTATCATACATTCTAATCATCTGTATAGTGTATACACATCATCATCACTATTTCTCATTCAATACATCCTATATTAATGTCTAGAGAGGAATCATTATAGTGGGTGAGTATGGAACTGAGTCAAATTTACCTCAATCAAATAATGGAAACAGAGAAACCAACCAAGCCCTGCACTTGACAAAATTGTTTGTATATATGCCATGCCACCTACAAAATAAATTCAATGTTGCAAATAATCAATCAGATGGATGATAATAAACAAACGACTTGGAAATTAATCTCTATATAACAACAGATGAAAAAATATGGAAGAAAACAGAATATTGAGCTCACCATAGATATATGTTTGAGAGCAGAGTAGAAGAATTTGAAGATCCGGTAAAAATTGAAGAGAGTTTCTTTCAACTCGAACCGGAGACCCGACCCAAGAATAGTAGCCGCCGGTGACGTAATTTGATAAAGACGAGACAAAACTCTCTATGATGTTTTTGTAGTAGGAACATAAAGAAAAAGTTCCAAGTAAGAAAAGCGATTTGGATAAATACTTAATAGACATAGAGACACTCAGTTGAGGAGCTTATGCATGAAGCCACTTCTAGAGATGATCTGATCTCTGTGTGTGCTATTTAAAGGCAAGGCAGGGGATTTACTATTTACTTTATCTAATATTACCGTTACATTACTTACTACCGTTGCTGTTCTTTTTTATTAAAAAAAAAAAAAAAAAAGTTACCGTTATGTAATTGTTGTAAGAAAAAAAGGAAAAATCAATATTAAATATAAATGATATGTTGGGAGGTTAATAAAATAAAATTATCAGGTTAGCTTTTCAAAAAAGGAAAGTCCTAATAAGAAAAACAAACAGAAGAGATATTATTACGGAAACAGATTTTTATTAACTTGAGATAGTTAGTAAAACTGATATTTTCACTTTTATTGACTTCCCCTGTTTACTAGTAGTGTCAAGTTGTATCGTATCACGGGGTAAAAATATATTTAACTAATTAATTGGTTTTTATGTGAGTAGTTAATAAAACCGGTTTAAGGGGGAGTTATTGGGAGATTGATTTTAAAAGAGTTTGTGGATTTCAAAAGTTTAGAGATTTTAAGATTCTCAAAAAGATTTGTTGATTCTAAAATAATGTTTATCCAGATTTGTAGAGTTTAATAGATTCTTCATATGATAGATTCTACAAATCCTTATGATAATTGCAGTATTTTGAAAGTTGTTTTTAATGACTAAATAGGTAAGAAATCATTAAACCAATAACACTAGAATTTGATAGAATTGGAAAATCAATAAATACTCAACTTTTTGAATAACAAAATATTTTAAATAGAATTACAAAATACATACACCAATAACAAGAGATTTTAATAAGAATCTAAGAATCCGTACACCAATAACAATAGAATCTTAAACTCTAAAAATCTTTAAAAGTCATTCTCCCAATAACCCCCTATAAGATAAGTGAGTGATGTAAATGTACAAGTATGTATAAACTCAACCAACGAGAGAATACATTCGCTCTCGTATCTCTCAAATATACGAGAGTCAAAACAAATTGGATTAGTTTTGAATTTCAACCAATAATTAATTATAATATTTCAAAACCAGATTGACCGTTGATTTATGATGTACCGTACACGTGGTCCGTTTCTCACACATAATACTATTTATCTAATAGTTTCACAATCCTTTCTTTGTTTTTATCTTTCTTTAGACAATCAATCATCATGAGAAAAAAAAAAAAAAAAACTATATATACACAACATATTGATATTTGTTACAACTATCAACCAAGAAATGATAACATTGTAAATATGATTTTCGTTTGTGTTGCAAATTTTTAAGGTACTGCTATGATTAACGACACTATTTTCTTTCGTTTCTTATTAAAAAAAACTTTGAAATATGGATTAATAACAAATGAAAAAGCTCTAGAATATGGTTTAATAAGAAAGTGCAATAGTTTTTTATAAAAAAAAATTATAAATAAATAAAATGGGAAGGCTCGTGCACAAAGAATCTAGTCCCACTAATTAAGGGAGAGGTGTTATTCTTCTCCTCTAACCCCAAATTATTATGTTTGTATCTCTTTTTAATTTTTTCTAATATAAAATGAATTAATAACAGGTTGTACAGGTACATTGATAAATTTTCAAATTTATGAATAGAGAGAAATAAATGGGGGGATTTGAAAAATATAATGATGCAAATAATTATAATAATTTGTATCCGCCGGAGAAAGTTCAGTTCTGTTTCCGCCATGTTTAATCTGAAGAGGAGCAATGCACGTAGTCACCTCCCCCCACCCCTTTTTATACTTCCATTAAGTCTCTCTTCTCTTCCTTTTGCCTTAATTCATTTTATAAACTCCAACGTTCATCAAAGTTCTTTACATAATCTCTCTTCTTTGTATTTCCATCACATCCACAAACTATTTTGTTTTTTCTTTTCCTAAGGAACCTGAAATTTTCCATTTTTTATTTTTATTTTTTTCCCAATATAATTATTATTATTAAAAAAAACGAGAGTAATCTGGGTTTTAACTTATTAATAATAAAAATCAACGAAGATAGCTGTATTGCTCTTCTTATCGCCATGTGTTCTTCTTCTTCTTCTTCTTCCTCATACTCTTCTTCTTTTTTTTTTTAAATGTTTTCTTTGAGTGGAGAACAGTAGTTAGTACTACTTAAAATGAGCTTAGATTTCCAGATCTATTAACAAACGTCGTGGTCATGAGATTTTTGTGAGAAAGCTAAAAAAAGCCCTTTTGTCGTTTTTATTCTCTTTTCCTTGTCCCTAAGTTGTTGAGATTTTTCAAAATTCAAGCCAAGCCAAAGCAACAAGAAGAAGTCAGATTTCAAGGAAGAAAGAATGGGTCATTGCGCAACAGTGTGGGATCAAAAAGAAGCTACTGAGATTATCAAAGATTGGAACGGCATTGACCAAGTCCTTCTCAGAAACCCACATGGTGCTTCTGCCAAGGTCCCTTGCTTTTTCTCTTTCTGGGTCTCTCACTACAGATTCGACCTTTTTAATCAAAAATGTTTTAATCAATTCTCTCTTCTGTATTCTGGCTTTGATTTTGTTTTCCAGATTAGCTTACATGGAGGGCAAGTGATTTCATGGCGGAATGAACTAGGCGAAGAGCTTCTTTTCACTAGCAACAAGGTATGCACCCTGAACACTTACTATACATAGCGTAGCAGAAGCAGACACATTAAAAAACAAAAACAAAAAGTCAAAATCTGATTTTTTTTTACTTGTGAATCATTGTTAGGCTATATTCAAACCCCCAAAATCAATGCGTGGAGGGATTCAGATTTGTTATCCTCAGGTAACCTTAGTTTAGAGCTCATTTGTTCTCACTGACTGAGATCTTCTTCTATTCATCACTTTGCAATTGGATTTTTGTGTTTGTGAAGTTTGGGGATTGTGGATTACTGGATCAACATGGGTTTGCCAGGAACAAAATCTGGGTCATCGATGAGAATCCACCTCCTCTTCACTCAAATGAATCCACTGTTAAGTCTTTTGTTGATCTTCTTCTGAAACCATCAGAAGAGGACTTTAAGCAATGGCCTCATAGGTAAATACTGACTTGAAGAAAGAACCACTCTTGTGTTTACTGTTGATATACTCTTGTCTTTATTTTTCTCTTTTTAATTCACATTGTTTCTGCAGTTTCGAGTTCCGTCTTCGAGTTTCGCTTGCTGTTGATGGCGACTTAACGTTAGTTTCTCGGATTAGAAACATCAATGGCAAGCCCTTTAGCTTCTCATTTGCATATCACACTTACCTCTCTATCTCAGACATAAGGTATTATTGCTGTTCATGTCAACAAAAGATTCAGTGTTTGGTCAAATCATCATAACCAGACAATGTTACTTTTCCTTTCTACAGTGAAGTGAGAGTTGAAGGGTTGGAGACATTGGACTACTTAGACAACCTCAGCAAACAAGAGCTTTTGACAGAACAAGGCGATGCAATCACCTTTGAATCCGAGGTATGCCTTATAAAGATTATGCAATCAATCATCGATAGCAAACAAACTATCCTGGATCGGTTACCTTAGATCGATTGTTTCTTTTAATTCAGATGGACCGGACTTATATCAGATCACCAAAGGTAGTTGCAGTTCTTGACCACGAACGAAAAAGAACATATGTTATCGGAAAGGAAGGACTTCCAGACACTAGTAAGAATGAAACAACAATGCATTTTGGATTACTTGTTTGTATTTGAGATGAATCATTAACTTTGATCGATGGTGTGCAGTTGTATGGAATCCATGGGAGAAGAAATCAAAAACAATGTCGGATTTTGGGGATGATGAGTACAAAAGCATGCTTTGTGTGAATGCTGCAGCAGTTGAGAGACCGATCACTTTAAAACCAGGAGAAGAATGGACTGGCCGGCTTATATTGACTGCGGTTAAATCCAGTTTCTGCTTCGACCAACTCGAACTTCAGAGCAAAGGATTCTGATTCTGACTCTGAATCCCATTCTAAAGAAGATAGGGAAAATATGCTTATTCCATTGCTAGTTTCTGCAGCTTTTTTTGTACTGCAACATTGGAAAAGCAGAAGCATCGATTTTTATTTCCTTTTTTTTTTCTGGTTGATTCTCTCGTTTTCTCAGTAAATCCTATTGTCTCAGACTGGTTTGGTGATGTAGTGACTGAAAAAGCCTCGGTTTTTTTTCCTCGGCTAATGTAAGAATTTGAAACAAGGTGTGTTTACAATGTGACTAATCAGTTTTTCTTTTACCAACTTATAGATTAGAGTTGGTTTGCAAAATAAAACAACCACTTTAACCAAAAAGAGCAGAACTTTGCACTACTAGCTTTCTTTTGCTTAGGAGAATTCCCGGTTTTTGATACTCAACTTCCAAAATCAGCAGCAAAATCAATTGACAAAAATATAGCAGCGTCATGTTTTTATCTAACTCTAAAGTTCATGCTGCTCGGCGATACTCTAGCTGTTTGGTGTTTTCTTGAAGTACCTTCACAACAAAAGGAGAATATAAAATTTAGAGAACAAATAACAATCTTCAATGGTGGAAAAATATCACTCTAGAAAGATTCAGAACTCCATTATTACCTCACGTATTCTCTCTGCAATTGCCTTGCAACCTTCAGAAGCCAATGCAAACACCGTTTCAAATGTTTCCATCGGTAACTTTGCATCCATCTAAATTTGAAACTCAACACTTAAAACATCTAGGATCATATGATTGCGAATGGAGAGAAATGTCATACGGGGGGAAGAAGAAGAACCTGAAGGAGTGTCACTTTGTCTAATTTAGGTAGAATACCAACGGTTACGTCAGCTCCTCCAGCGCTATCTTCGACATAGTTCAGGTCAAGAAGAGGAGTACTGTTTAAGTATCCAGCACTACAAGAAACCGCAAAATCACGCATTGGAATTCCAGCATCTGCTAGTGCTAGAGTTGCAGCATTAATACAAGCTGATCTTGTTCCTGAATACAGAAGAACATAACACTAATGGCAAATCAAAGAATGAAAGCGCTTAAAAGCTCGTTTGCAGAGAGATTTAGTTAATTACTCTTACCTCCATCAGCTTGTAGAACCTGAAGGAATATGTCAATCTGCATAAAGGAAACAATACATCAAGAAGCAAGCAAAAAAAAGAGAGAAAAATGCAAACTATAATAACAAGTTCATAAAGGAAACCTGAGAATGAGGCAACAATTCGGTCAATATGCATGCTTCCATTGTCTGACGGATGACAAGAGAAAGCTCTGTTGATCGCCTGATCATAACACACAACAATTCATATGATTTCCGTAAGAACAAAGCAAAGAGTCTTTTTAGCTACACAGTATAGATGCAAACCTGTCGAATTTCTGTCTTCTACGATCACCAGTACTAAACTGAGCCATACTATACTCACAGAGCACCTACAAAAACATAAAACTAGCCATAAGCATTTCAAATTGACAAAGCTTTTCGCCAAGAGCAATACACAACAAGGTCAAAGCATGTACATACCAATGCATGGTCATTCTTTTTTTGCAGGCTCTTGTTTTGAATCTGAGGGAGGGAGCACAGAGATACAATTAGACAGACAGAAATAAACCACAATTCGCTAAATTTACAGCATCAATCTTAATAGGTCGAAGAAAAGAGTACCTCTCTTGGACCATAAACAGCTGCAATTACTTTGGTATTGCCCATCTCGAAAACAGCAGAACTAGAAACAAAGTTAAATTTATTTATTTTTGTTCATACAAAAGTGCCGAAATTTAGAACTGAGATGATGAAAAAAGATAAAGAGGAAGATTTGAGCTTACCCGTCAGCCTTAGAAACGACTCCAACTTCAGCTACGATTTGCCTCATCTGAGATTTCATTACAAGTATCACGAATAGAAAAAAACTAACTTGTGAAGGTAGCAGCAGCAAACAAAGACAAGGAATAGAGAAGGATGGGAACCATACCTCATTGAATCGTCGACCATCTAGTCGAAGACCTTCTGGGTTTACGTACTCCATTGTTGCGAAATTTACAGAAACCCTAAGATAGCGAGATTAATTATGAGAGCAGAGCAAGACAGAAACAGAACCAGTTTGATTCTCTCTGATTCCCAGAACAGCAGCGTACAGAAAAAATACAAACGAAGCGGACAGATAAAGGAGTGAGGGAGACAATTTTACCTCTGGCTGTATATGCGGCGGCGATATGACGGACGGTGATGGACGGCGTCGACGATAGAACTAAAAGAGTGACAAAGCTAAAGATTAGGGCTGTTGATTCCTTTTTTTTTGTAAAATAAGTGAGTTATTAAGGGTATAAGCGGAAAATCAGTTATTTTTATTATGAATACTGTTTTCCTTTCCCAGTGACAACATACGAGATGAGTCGATGATAAAATTTCATGTTACTTGTCAAAAAAAAGTCTTTTTCCTCTTTTCAATTTCGATCAAACATCTAAATTGCCACACTCTCAGATACGTTTATTGGATCCTACTCCAGTAGTAGCATAGACACGTGTACATGAATCTCCATGAAAAATACTTATGGATACATGTCTATGCTTCCCTTTGTTCTAAAATTGGCAAACGACCTCTTAGTCGCTTACCTCCACAGTCCACACAAGGTTGAGTTTAAGCTCAAGAGTTAGAGAAGACATCCCCTTGGCCCTTACACGAAAAGGGTACATCACTAAATGTTTTGGTCAATTACGGCTTTGTTCATATCGTAGGTTCAGTGACAGACGGCAAATTTCCCAGTTGGAAAACAATTGAGGGAAAGCACAAGGTCGTGCTTGATACGTACTCGGTACTCTACTGGTTGTATTTTTATAGCAACTGGTAACAAGCGAATTACTAGTATCAACACAACAGTCTAGATCTTTTTTCTTTCTCAAATCAAGATTTTAGTTTAATAACGAGTTATTCCTTAAATTTTAAAGTCTTTCCCCATGTATATATATCAAAAAATGTTTAGGCTTTTCTTGTTGACTCTGTTTTTTTATTTTTTGTTTGTTGTGTATTAAATTTTTAATAATACAATATTGAGAGAAGTAGTATCAACGTGTTACGTGTCGGGGAATTACGTGTGCAAAATGCCCGACAAATGAAATGCAAAGTGATGTATTATTATATATGAAAATGACGGCTTCGTGACGGTAGAGAGGTGATGGAATCATTTTACATTTACTTAAAGGTCTTCTTCTTCTTCTTCTTTGTATGTTAGTTATATACTCGTATGTATTAGACAATTTAAGAGAGACCACTCTCTCTAACCTAGTAACTAGGAACCTAGGACGACGACTATGGTCCTCCTAACGAATGTCATGCAATTTAATGTTAGAGCAATACATGCACCTATCTAATGTCAATGTCTCATACGCGTGTTATCGTCTTTTTACTGTGTCTAAGTCGGTCTAACTTTTAACGTCAAAAGTAAAAACAAAAAAATTACATGTATCGTAAAATCTTTGTAAAAATGTAAATTATATCATTATCTTTTGGACCAAATCTAGTCAAAGAGCTCAAACATTAATTATAGAAAATCTAATTTCAGTTACCTTTTTCTGCGACTTCTTCTAATAAAGTTTCTGATAAGAGACTTGGGCTCGAAGCAAAATATCATAATTTCCTTAAATTTATCGAAAATTTTACCTTTTTAAAAAATTAAGACGAGATTTGTAATTATCAGACTTTTCACTATAGATTCATTTAACAAAATTGGGTCAATTGGGGTAGTGACTCGTGACCAATCCTTGCATGAGAAGAGGGCCCAAGCAGTGACGCGTGAAGCATACGAACACCACAGAGAGAGTTATTATACATACACATATATAGAAATATAAAAGTTGCTTGGAGGCCAAGCTAAATAGACTAGGACAATTGGCTCTGCTTTCGGTACGGTAACTTCCACGTGTCTCATATCTAACGTCTCAATCTCAGAGATGCGGAGAGCCGCCGTTTTGGTTCCCCCCCCCCTCTCTTTGGCCGCCACGATACTCCGGTTTATATTAAACCAAATGAACAAGTGAGCGAAAACCTTTTGATTTAGTCGTATGAGTTATTAAACGGGTATTATCATGCATCAATTTTTCTGTAACTGTTATGATCTCTTTACTAATACTACTAATCAAACTAAAAAAGATACAAGTAGTAAATATATAAAACAGTTAATATAATCGAGCAAATCACGTTACAATTAATAAAAATGTCCATAAATAGTTATACTCGTATTTAACAAGGATGTTCCTCAGAAACGGCGATACTTCTTTTTAGCCTTTTTGACTCTTCTCTCTCTCTCTCTTTATACTTATCTCTCTCTCTCAAATCTCATTTCAATTCAGTGTAAAAAAAACCTCTCTTTTTTAACTCTCTCTCTCTCTTCCTCTTGAGATGGAGAGACGAACGAGAAGAGTCAAGTTCTCAGAGCATCGTACGGTCACAACCGTATCAGCTAAGCCAACTGACGACTCTCCAACACTGGTTCGTATCACTGTAACCGACCCTTTCGCTACTGACTCATCATCTAGCGACGAAGACAACAACGTCACGGTGGCGGCTCCAAGAGTGAAACGATACGTCGAGGAGATTAGATTCTGCCAAATCCAACCATCCCCCAAAGCTAAGCACAAGGCGGAGAAAGCCGTGGTTGATGACGTCTCGTCTGCCGTGAAGCCTAAAAAGTACAGAGGCGTTAGACAGAGGAAGTGGGGAAAATTCGCGGCGGAGATTAGAGATCCGTCGAGCCGTAGTCGGATTTGGCTAGGGACTTTCGTCACGGCGGAGGAAGCTGCTATGGCTTACGATCGAGCCGCGATTCAGCTCAAAGGACACAAGGCACTGACCAATTTCCTAACCCCACCGTCGCCGACGCCTGTCATCGACCTCGATACGGTCTCCGCTTGCGATTCAGGGAAAGATTCTCGCCACAGCCTCCATTCTCCGACCTCTGTTCTCAGATTCAACGCCAACGAGGAAACAGAGTACAGACCAGAGCATGATATTGAACCGATCGAGCTTTCTCCGGAGATAAAGCCGACTGCTTTAGTAAAATCAGAATCGTCGACGAGTCTCTTGTTCCCAGATCCGTATCAGTTACCGGATCTATCGCTCGCCGGAGAATGTTTTTGGGATTCCGAAATTGCCCCTGATCTTTTGTTTCTGGACGGAGAACTCAAACTCCAACCACCGTTGCCGAACATAGAGATTTCCAAGGAAGAATCTGAAGACTTCTCCTTTAGTCTAAATGAAGATTTCGAGTCATCTCCATGGGATGTGGATAATTTCTTCGACCAACATCACTCTTTCGATTAAAAAAAAAATCCAACTTTGGGATGTTTGGTTTCAACTTCTCTGGGGGATTTTTTTTTGGGGAGACGATGACGTGGATGCATATTGACCGTCTGATTTCCTTTTAGTCTGAATGACGTGGACTGTTCAGATCAAACTGAAGCGCCAAAGAAAAGAGAAAAAAGGAGTTTTTGTTTTTAATTAATTTGTGGGTAAATATCTTAGATATAAGATTAAAATGTGTTTATGAAGGGTTTTTGTTTTGACATAACAACTTGGTTTCCCCTCTCTCGGTTTGTCTCAGTGGTAGGAAACAGTTTGTAAATATCTTTCTATGTCTATTATTAATATTTCTTTATTAAAATGTAAATTAAATCATATCTATCTATTTCGTTTATGCGACAATTGACAAGTCTATGAGACAAAAATATATAATAATTTCATCATTTCAAAAGATAAATTCAAATAAAATTGCCAAAAAATGTCATAGTCTAATTATTGTACGACAGATTATGATTATTATATCATATATTTGTGATTTCTAGTATTAGTTTAATAAAAAAAAGTACTTTAACATGTAAGTAATAATGGTTTAATAAGTCTTAGACCATGATTATCGATGGTTGCTTAGCCAAAAAGAAGGAGACTCTTGTGATTTTTGGAATTAAAATTAAATGGTTAATAATGCTTTATGGTAAGAGACGTCTTTTAAGCAAGAGTTAATTTTGGTGTTAAGAGACGACATGTGTCATGTTCTGAATGGTTGAAGAGGAAATGGAAAAAGGAAAAAAAACAATTCACGTGCTTTCTCTCTTTTCTTCCCCTCTTTCTCTTTCACACGATTGTTTGTGTTTTGTGCCAATGAAGATGGCGATTGATGATCGATCAATTGCATGTGAGAGATGTAGTTTCGTGGACTGGTATTATAACTGGTTTCACGAAGACTATGTTGTAGAAGGAAGCTTTAGATACGTTTTCAAGGATGGATGTTGAGCCTAATTTGGCTACGTATGTTTGTGCGTTGGATCAAGTTTAGGGCAAGGATCAAGTGCTATAAAGAAGTTCATGGCATAGAACAATGATGATGAAATTATGATGTATGTATAAAATGATCACCATATATGATGAGAATGACTTATAAATTGTATATCATGTATATTTTAAAAATTTTAATTTGCAATAATTAATAAGTTTTATAAAATTACAAATTTCAATCTAATTTCATTTTTTAAATAATTTTTTTTTCTAAAAGACTCAAGTTAAAAACCTACCATTAAAAACACATAAAAACTAAAAACAAAAATATAACTTTTAACTCTAAACTTTTCAATTTTATTACTAAATTATTCTTAAGAGGTAAGTTTAAGAGCTCATCAATAATCATGCTCTTAGATCCGATGTTTAGTAAGATTAAACTAAAACTACGGTGTTTTTTTTATATGGTAAAAAAAAAAAAATTTATCTGATGTCAGATATGAGTTATCCTCGTAGAGAGATTTGAGTGGGTGTGAGAAGATTCAAGGTATCACCGAGAGACATGTTGTCGTGTCTGTTGTTGTTTCCTTCCACTTACGTAAAACAAAGCCCATTCATCATGTGAAGAACCAAACCATTGAATCCTATATTCTTCTTATTATTAACCCTACCCATATTTGTGTCTCCACTCATAAAAACATCGATCCTTGACCATAAAAGATTAACAATGTACTGCTACTACTTGTACCTTTTTCATATTGAATAAGAAGATAACAATAATAAACATTTATCTACGTTTTGCATTCTGTCCAAACTGTGGTCGATCGAGGTCTACGTATAGAAGAAAGACAATAGAGTTTGGTATACATCATTTTTTTAAAGGACAAATTAAAGTATCTTGTCTTCTAATTAAATGGCTGTTTTCTGTTTTGTACCATGGTCCAATCCGGTTGGTTGCACAAGTGTCTAGAGTTCTATGGTTCATTGCCGTTTTTATCATTTTTTTTTTACTTCGATAAGAACCATTATTACAAGTTTTGTGTAGAGGTAATAAGGCCAATTCATACACTACTTCAAATCGAAATCGAGATCCAAATTTTGTTTCTCATCATAAGATCTTGCACACATACCATCTTACTAGACTAAAATCGGCCATTACCTCTCTTATTACATATACATGAGCCAAGAGTGACATGATTTGCCCTCTCTGAAAAAGCAACAACTATGGTATGACTGGAAAGACTGGAATATCTAATAAATGTACATACATACACGTGAGAATCTTCCAAATAAATTTGAAGTGTCCTCCGATCCTCACGACCTTTATATCTCGTTGATCTTACTCATTGTCTTCACGCTATTTCCCTTTAAAACACTTTTGCTCCCCCACTAATTAGCAAATAATACTATTACTTGGAATAAGATTTTTTTCTTAATAATGCTATAATATTATCAACATATGTACAGTTTGGTCTTTTCAAGGTCAATATTTTGACCAATTCATTTTTTTTTCAAATTTTTTGCAGCATTTGGAAAATTGGACCCAATCAATAGTTTGGCTTGTTGAGTGGGAAACAACTCTCATTCAGAAGCTTCCTGCAGGTAACATTCATGTTTCTTTCATACATTTATGCATACATATGGTGTGAGAAGAGAAACCAAGAAAGAGATATGTGTATTTTCTTGGGAAATTTAGCTTCCCTACCATCATTTTGAAAAACGTTTTTCAAAATACCATTTTTGAGGAGGTCTTCTACCAAATAACATTTTCTAATTTTTTTAGACCATTATGCCCTCCTTCTCACTTATGCCAAAATCGATGGGACACATGCACATCTATTGAGATTTATGACACAAAAAAAGGAAAAGATAATACCATGAAATTATAACAAAACTTTTATTTCTTTCTTTTTACTAACCAAATAAACACCAACTTTCTTTATACTATGAAAAATAAGAGCGACGAACATCACTTTGATCGAGAAGGTGTCCACGAATAAGATTTTGTCCAACGTATATATAACTAGTTATGTCCATAGACTAACTACCCATATGTCCATATGTCCATCGTCAACAAACATTATTTCTGCATTTTATTGGTTGGTTTGGGTTTTTAAATTACTGTTTAGGGTTTATATTTGATAACTAAGCAAAAATGATCTTGGTTTGGGTTTTTAAATATGTTATTAGGGTTTAGATTTAATAACTAAACAGAAAAATAGACAACACCGTGGACAACAAGACCAATATCATGGACAACAAGGAAAATGCCATGGACAACAAGAACAATACTGTGGACAAAACCATAGACAAACGAAACATCATTTCAGCATTTAATTGGTTGGTTTGGGTTTTCAAATTACTATTTAGGGTTTAGATTTGATAACTAAACAAAGATGATTTTGGTTTGGGTTTTTAAATATGTTGTTAGGCTTTAGATTTGATGACTAAACAAGAAAGATAGACAACACCGTGGACAACAAGAACAATGCCATGAACAACAAGAACAAAACCGTGGACAAAACCATAGACAAACGAAACATCAAGAAGTTAGACAACACCGTAGACAATGAAGACAATCCTCTGTCCACGGATTTCTTACAATAAATCACTACGATTTGTTCCGAATAAATGCCCACATGAATACCTTTTAAAAATTCAAGTCCACCGTCTTCTATCCTTTGTCCATGGATTCCTTAACGTTTTAACGCAAAAAAATCTAAGAACATCTCTATCCTTCAATAACAACTTCTCTTTATCTGTCTCTTTCTCTTTGCAATGTTCGTACAAGTTTTTAATTTATTTTTTTTCCTTTCTAACTGGAGAAGTTTACATAGCTAGTTAATTAAAATGTCTGTCCACAATTAATGCACTTGTACTGTGTTTTCCAATCAACCAAAAAGTTATCAGTACCTTTTATTTGTATTTTCTTTTTTCCTCCTTTTGTCAGTTCGACAAAGAAGATACACAGGGTTAATATAGTATATTCAGGTGCCAAAAATGGTATATGGGATAAGGTTTGGAAATCGTGGTATTTCCAAAAACATAAAGTATAAATCGTGGTATAATTGAAAAAATTCCCTATTTTCTTATGATATAAAATGATGACGTCAAGAGTTACTCTGTGTTTTTCAATAGCTCATGTATAAACATATTTTCAAAAAAATATTTTTTTTTTTTAAAGAAAAGACTTACTTGTGTTCCCAAATATATAAATGCACAAAGACAAAACCTAGAGATTCACACATATACTGAGAACCACTTGACACACACACACAGATGTAAAAAGCATCTGAACATTTAATGCCTGCATCTTGCCTTGGACCGACCATATATGAAAGAAGAAGAAAAAGGAACATGATTCAAGAAACTTTCAAATTTCAGCCAATTATGTTTCTGCATTTCAATTTAAACCTGGTGGCTAAATAATATATTTTTTCCCCAGATCGTTTTACAGTTTTTTCGAACTTCGTAAGAGTTTGAATGAAAGAATTGACTAAAAAAGAAAGAAACCTATGATTAAATAATCTTCAGTCTTCATTATTCTTATTTTTTGTTAATGTTTCTTTCAGTTTAAACTTCAGAGTAGCTGGAGAAAACTATATATGCCAAACCATTAAAACTGAAAGGTTTTATTATTAGTTTTGTTAAATCAGATTAAAACTCTAAAAAATGTATAAAAACCCTCTGGAATGGAACAAAATGTTAGAGGAGTAATCTATACTATTAATTGGGGATCATTATTTGTCTTTGTAGCCAAACAAACTTGTAAAAAAAATATTACAAAATATACAATCTCAAACTTATAGCCAAACACACTAAAAGACAGCAAAAAAGATAAATAAATAAATAAAAAATAAAAAACAAAAATTATCTATATTTATGGAAATCATTTTAATTTTGTTACCATAAAAAATGGACAAAATTAAATTCAAAATTAAACATATGCAAACATATTTAATATTAGTTATATATTTTAGAGTATTTTTTGAAACTTATAATTTATATTTAAGAAAATTTTAAATGAAAAAGTATGTTTGATTATAAAATACATATCATAAAATGTGGAGAAATATACGATATAATTAATTATATCATCAAATTTTAAAAATATAATCTTAAAAAATGGTTAAAAATCTTAATTAAATCAATAATTAAAAATTTGTTGGCTAAAATCATGCAAAAATTATATATCACATAAAATCTCTTATTTTCATATAAATCTCTTATTTTCACATAAAATCTTCATATTGAAAAAAGCAATCTCAAAAATATAGCACAAAAATAAAATAATATAAATATATTGATTATATATGAGATATTTCCGGTTTTCCTTTTAAAAATCAATAATCCAATTTTTTTTTTGAAATCATTCAGAAATACAGAATTAATTCAATCACCCTAATAACTAGCACTTAACATAACCAATCGACAAGTAGAAAAATATTTAATTCGATTATTATTTTTCCTAACCATAATGCAATTTCAAATCTACAAACTATCCAAAAATAAAAAATAAAAGTTTAATTACATCGTAATAGTTTGATCGTTATAAATTCAAGATTTCATATATTTTGGTACCTCATTAACTACTAAATTAAAACTAAATAATAAGTGGATATATCAAATTTAAATAATTGTTATGTCTTATTAGCAATTTCTAAATAATAAATGGATTATATTTTTATGATTTAATTTCTACGTCTTTTAAGTAAGTTTCGAAAAGAAAAAACAATCAAGTAGTTAAGAACAAAACTATCTAACTGAAACCAAACTAAATGTCAAACAGGTATGAATCCAAACTATATATGATATACTATAGATTTTGTTTACATCATCTAGCATAAAAATGTTCAAAGTGAAAATTAAAAAATCTTAACGTATGTTAGATAATAGTTAAAATATTTAAAACAAAGAAACATAACCAATATGGATGAACTAAATATATAATAATAAGAATAAAGAAGTCAATTATTTTTGTAATTCATTACTATATTATATCGTATATAAAGATACTCACATACATTTCAAGTGAAACAAACAAAACCCTGAGAGCTAAGTCAGCAAAACTACAATAAACTCATGAATTAAAAAAAATAGAAATACCTAAATATGTAGGAAACAAAAAAGGCTAAACTTGAATCTTTAAATTGAAGAAAGTAATGGGAAATAAAGATAAAATTGAACGATCAATAACATTAAAAATTGAACAAGAATTGTGTATGCTCGGATTAGAGGTAGTGTCTTGTGAATGAAAATGGTGGGAGCACGTGACTTAGATTTATAATTAGAGTTTTATTAATGTGGAAAAATAAATATTTAAACGAAGAATACGAGTATTCCGTCTAGATCTCTTACCAAGTTTCTTATAATAAACATTAGCAAATGATTATGTTTTTAAAAGGAAATGATTGTGGGACAGAAATATATGATGGATAGAGGACGATACGGACAGGACGGGTCCGAATGGGATATGACGAGACGGGTCGGGACGGGACGGGTTTCTCATTCCAAACTATATGTAAAATAATTCAAACTAAAACCAAATACAAATCCGATTTAACATCTCTAAGCAAACAATTAGAAATATTTTGATTATTTTAAAAAATAAACACGTAATATCATTTAACATTTTCATTTTCATTATTTTAAAACTATATTAAGTAAACAGTATCTATATTTTACAACTGTATGCCTATGTATAGTTTTTCAAATAAACTTATGTAACAAACTTTTACCAAAATCGTATCTACATAAGAAATTGTAGTTTTGCAAAAATAACCCCGCACGTACGTGCGGGTCCATCACTAGTATTATAATAAATAATAAAAAGATTGGGAAAGTGGGTCTACTACTATTAAAGCCCATATATATATAAATAGTGCACACGAATAGGTCCAAAATGGGCCACAAGAGAGGGTGAAGCAAAGCAAGTTGGCCACTGGCTACAAATATAATATACTACGTGGCCCCAACAAGATCTTTCAAGACGCCCTTTACAAAGTTAGTTCATCATATCCTTGTTTTTTTCTTTCTTTCTCTTTTAGGTCAAAAAGAAAGAATAAATTAAAATGCAATAAAGCATGTGTCACTCTCGCTCTCTATTTATGTTTGAAAATGGGTCAAATAATAAAAGACTTACATAAAAGAATGAAAAATGTTGATAGGTTGGTCTCAAACCCCTTTTGAAAGCACGAGTATTCTTCTTAATAGTTAGTCAAGTCAGGCTTGTAAATGGGCTCATTTTAACAACAGAAAGTCAGAAAAAGGCTCGGCCATATGAGGCCCATATCATGAACAACGCGGCATCAAAAAGCAATCATATATTTTCTTTTTGGTCCAACTCTGAAGTCTGAAGGAACCTCGTAAAGAAGCCAAAGAAAAAGCAAATTATATTATACGCAGAATCTAATAATATTCGACGGGGGCATGCGCGTGTCACCGGCATGCCTTTGCTTCTTCTTTTTTTAAGTGGAAGCAACGCATTATAGCAATATTTGAGCGGTACGTATATACGAGAGACAACTTTTACTAACCACGCGCATGCTTGGCGAGTTTTTTCTTTGTCTAGTTTAGTGTAAAAGAACAATGTAATAACAGAGACCCACGATTCCATGAAACGTATAATTGAAACGAAATTTGAAGTGTTCATAATTGAACAAAAGAGTGCTTTGTGATAATCAATAAGAATTTGGAACGTTACATAACTAAATTGGGGGGGGGGGGGGGGGGTACGACGACTACTACAAATAAAGAGAGTTTACATAGGAACCATGAATTTTAATAAACAAATGTTATAAAGGCAAAATCTAAAAACAACAATTAAGAAGAATAGAAGACGTTTATCTCTAATATGGATGGATTGGGGTTTTGTTTCTTCTTCTCTCTTGAGTGAAAAGTAGTAAAGAAGATGATGAAACTAAACTAAAGAAGAAAGGAATGAGAAGAAACTCTCATCTCAATCAACAAACACTCAAATATTGGATTATACAGAAGAAGATCAGAAGAAGCTGGTGTAGGAGGAGGAAGAAGAAGCATCAAGAGGATGAATGAGATACGTCAGCACAAGGGCGAGCACCATTAGCAAATACGCTATCCCTTGATCTATCGATGTTCCTGTTTTGTTCATCACCAATCAAATACACACACGTGTCAAGATTTATTCAATTCAGTCTTTGGATTATTAACTAATTGATACGAAATCGAAATCCGATTCTGAAAACAAACCAATGTGAATAGACACAAAATATCGACATTCAGATCTGGGGAGAGATAAGATACCCCAAAGAGACAGAGACTGCTGAATCAGAAAAAGCCAAGGGGGAGCTTACCGTCGCTAGTGGGAGAAGGAGCAGGAGCTAAGGATTGAGCGCCGGCCAAGGGAGAGATGACGGCCAAAACGATAGCCAAGCCAGCCAAAACCACAACGGAGTTCTTCAACGCCATTTTCCGATTGACAGATTATATTAACAATCAACACAAGAGAGAGCAGAGAGAGAGAGACACGAATCTGAAGAATGAATGAAATATCAGCGAGAAGAACTCCGGCGAGCGAGAGAGACGACGAGGAACGAGAGATATGGAACTACCAACACGCTTTTATAGGACTGGTACCAGTTGGTGTGTTACCGGGTATTGCCGGTATTTCACTCCCCCATTATTTTTTTCCTTGTTGTTCAAATTATTTTACCGACACGTGTCTTTTTTTACTGGCTGAATTTTCAAAAAAATTGACCTTTCTTTCGTTTCGTCGTGGATGCTTCCTTTCATGACATATCTTCTTTTTATTCTTTTTTCTGTAGTCCGTCAACTTTGGAATTGGAATTTTTATGTTATAAACATAGAAAATGACATGCATATGTAATTTATTCGTTTACATTATCTAAGTTTTTATATTTCGTGTATCAGAATATTAAGATGGTGGTGTCTATAATCTGATCCTTATTAAGAATATTCTTTTGTGATTTGTTTAAAGCTCAAACGTATAAATTGACAAACAAATCACTAGTTTTTTACAGTATAAACTAAGTTATGTATGTGGCTTTACTATCCATATGAATTAATTAATTAAAACGCACACGTCTTTCCTAATGATTTTGATAATCAACAAGGTTAAAAAGTCTTCCTAGATTTTTGACACAACCATTACGCGTTGGGTACGGCTGATTCTTTCGCTTTTACTAAATACAGGTAGATTTCGCTTAACATGTGTGTTGAAACTATTGGTCTAAGAATAGAGGATTCATATACTCTTTTGACAATGCACAATAGATATCGACGTTCAAGTGTTGCCATATGCGTATTTGAACTTCTTTTTGGCTTTATAGATAACAAGCCAATTTTACTACATACGTAAATAATTAATTAGTGTAAATTTTGAAACTAATTAAACTCTGCTGTTTCACTCTCTCTTCGCATATTTCACTTGATTATTTATTGTGTTGGTAGTTGGTACTAGCGTCAGTATATTATAATTAAATAATAAAGTATCATAAACTATATATAAGAAGGTTTTACAATTAGTTAAACGAGTAGAGAAAAAAACATGGGAGGGGGAATAATTTAGATAAGCAGCAGTGAAGAGAGAATCATCATTCATCGGCCATGTGATGAGATTCCCCCTTTTCTCTTCTTTACTTTATACTTTCTTTTCTTCTAATTTCGAAGATATAAAACTGGACAAAATCACATAGTTTTTATTTTTTTATTTCCTTTCAGTGGAGAGTGCCCTTTACAGACTATCACTAAGCCAAATTGTGTTGTGTCCTTTCTTTTGTGAATATATATATATATATATATATATATAGAGAGAGAGAGAGAGAGAGTCACATGCATGTCGAGGTCAGTCAGAGAACAATCACAGTCACAGTGGATGTCGGATAGCTTAGGTGCCGTTTTAAACGAGCTTGTTTTGTCAAAACATTACATTATTGCTTATTAATCTACATATTAGCGTCTAATATAATCACACTAGTGTTACAAGTTTACAACATGATTTTAAACTGCCTCCGTGGGTCTGCATATTTTAAAACTGATATAAATATAAATATTCAATTTGCATAGGATTCAAGAATTTGTTTTTTCTAAAAGTTGGTCAAGTTTGATTTGCTTCAAGAACGGCGTCGTAAAAGAGTCAAAGGGAGAGAGTAGACCAATCATCATAACAACGAGTTATAACACATAAATGAGATTTAGATTAGCATATATATACAAAAGAAAACAATAATCCATTGAAACCCATTCCTTCATCTAACACAACACAAGATGCTTCTTGCCCTATCTAAGTTTCTGAATCTTTTGACCTTAGATAGCATCATCACACATGACCAACATGAGTTCATCGAATGAAAGCTTTTATTTTACACACCCATAAATAAAAGATACAATTCTAGATTCTAGATTCCTGCTCAACTTTCTTTATGTGTGCTCTCCATCTAGAAAATACCCAGAAGAAACACTCCATCATCCCATCCCATTGATTGAAAACTCAACCACGTCATAACACTATTCAAAGTTTACGTGCAAACACTTACTACTGCTCCTACCAAAACCCATTATAAAGCAAACCTACGATGACCTGAAATATCTCAGTCAACAGTAAAACACCATATCACTTACTCTTGTTTTCATTTTATTTCTAATCACAAGTTTCAGAACGCTAACTTAGGATCAACAACTCCTGAAGCATTGCCTTCACCAGTCATAAGCTGCTCAGGGTCCTGACAAAGACACAGACACAGTTATCATTTCGAATTCATCCACAAGTGTGACTATAGATAGATGGAAACGCTTATATACCTCCATTCCCCATTTGATGTAATCTGGAGACTCACAGGCCTTATATTCATCTACCAAACTCTCGATTATGTCCCTTGATTCATCAAACTCTGAAAGATCATTGTCCTGTCCATATCAACATGTAGAACTGTCAAAGTTGGGTGGGTTGCGCTAAAAACATTGGCCAAACAAAAGCAATGCTGTCAACTTACAGCAAACATGGGAAACTTTCGGTAATTGTCCAGAAAAGCTTGCTTCTTCCTCAGTTTATCATATTGACTCAAACATTTGCTGAATAGGTGCCTGATACTAGTGTGGCTTGCTAACATAAGACCACTGACCTGAAATATGAAATACATCACCAAAATAAGAGTCTTTTTTTTGTATCTTCTAAAGCAGGAACCAGTAGCCTATGACCTCAATTGTAAGGAGTATCAACTCTCATCATGATAGATATATATAGAGTGAATATAAGATTTTACCCTATGGGCAGTTTGAACATATGGGGACTTCTTGGAAAGTGCAACCTGTTGAAAGTAAGATATGAAAAAAAATGAAATCCAACTCCATGGTCAAGCCAAAAGCGATAACTATTCTGCAGAAGTAATTCGGTTGGAACCTGTATGCTTGCAGGTCCCCACTCAATGAAATTAACAAGCTTTCTTTCTCGTATCCTTTGCAAACTCTCATGCACCTAGTATCAAGTAGTGAAATAACAAAGCCGATCACTTCAAAAAGAAAAATTAAACCAATTCATCCTCAATAAGTCAACCAAAAAACAGCCACAAGTACCTGAGTGGGATCAACTTCTCCTTGAATTATATTCAATATTGATATATACTTTGCCTGGCTGGCTTCTTTGTTTCTAGCATAAGACGAAACCATGATATTTTTTGTCTGCAAGAACTATAATGTTAGAAGAACATCTGATTCAAAAGTATTCAAAAAAATATAGGAGAAAGCAAACATCTCACCTGTAGAAGTCTTCTCATAACATCGAGCACAGTAGTTTTACGAATGACATTTGCCTGCCAAGAACAATTCAGTTAAGACAGCCAGAAAATCAATAAAATGGAGTATTGCACACTTCAGCTTTAAAAATGCCAAACATAACAGGTAGAATTCAAAGTTCAACAACAACGATAGCTTCACATAACAATATTTGTGACTGATGGTCTCAGCTATTACACTCATTGAGAAATCTAACCTGGCGTTCAACAGTCAATGGTGTATATCCTGTCATGAGGAAGTGACACCTTGGTGTTGGGATCAAAGATGCAAGCAAGCCAACCAAGTCATTATTCATGTATCCTGGATAGCGCAATGTTGTTGTGCTAGCAGACATCACAGTTGAGACTAGAGAATTCGTTTGAGCAAAGGTAGGATTTGTCAAATGTAGACGCTCCACAGCTATTCTTCCCAATGCAGTGTTGTCAAGGACAACAACACAATCAGCATTTAACGTAAGCCGCTTCAGAGTCAACAATGAGTTGTACGGCTGGACAACTACGTCACTCGTTTCCATCTGATTGGGAAATACACTGTATGTCTGAACCAACTTCTTGCTATAGCGATCATTCAGAGTCTCCAATAAATAGGAGCCCATACCTTCATGTGGAAAAAAGAAGAAACATTGTCACCACAAGAAGCAGTGAAGGAACATCAGAGTGTTAACTCAGTAAGGCTGCATCCCGAATTCCGCAACATCACTTATCATTGAGAAAACTACGCATTGCAGAATAGGGACCATGGATGAAGCAAGCAAAGCTAGGATAAGGATTGCCAAAGAAAGAAAAAAAGAACCTGAGCCAGTGCCGCCAGCAATAGAGTGGCAAAGAACAAAACCCTCAAGGCTGTCACTTCCATCAGCTTCTCGATCAATCATGTCCATGATTTCCTCTTCAACACCCTTCCCCTGGTGATATCCACTGGCCCAGTTGTTTCCAGCACCACCACCATGGTCGGCAACGAAGATATTCTCGTGATTGTAAAGATTGCGGTAATCACCATTCTGGATGCCGTTGATGACTCTAGGCTCCAGATCAATGAGTAGAGCTCGTGGGATATAGTGCTGGTCATCTGCTTGGTAAAAGAACACATCTTTTCTATCACCTCCCTACACACAAAACAAAAAAAAACTTAGATTTGCAGCAAGAAAAATCCACAGCCCAAAGGCAAATCTAGTCTTATCAGTCATCTTAATAGCTTTTCTCAGCACAATACGTCATATACTATGAGGGGAATCCGAATTAAAAAGGATAAAACCAATCACAATGGTATTCAATTCTCTCAATTAATAGGATTTCGAAGCAATCAGACTTGTAAAATACCTAAAACTCTTAAATACACGATTCAAAAAAAAAAAAAAAAATTGGTTAAGAAGAAGAAGAAGAGGGACCTGAGTAGCGAAGTCCTCGAGAATACCATCTTTACTGATGCCGTGCTCGAGGCAGAGCTGTTTCCAAAACTCCATCCCGATCTGGTTCCCACATTGTCCAACCTGAAGCGTAATAATCTCCCTCGGCATCTCTCCTTCCTTAGTCTTAGTCCAGATAGTTGTTGCGGTAACTAGGGTTTCGAGAGGAAGAAGATGAAGCAATGAAAATGATTAAAATTAGCTCTCTCCCTCTCTCTCTCTCTCTCTCTGGCGCGGATACCTTTTTAAAAGTCGATCAATGGATTTTTTACAAAACAGCTAATTTTATTTATTTTGTTTTTGCGCAGCGGAGAAGATAAAATTTTACTAACTACTACAGTACTACTACCCCGACTCTGACTAAACTCGGCATAGGCTAAGCGTGTTATCACTAAAATAAACCATGCTAATTAAAGCCACACTCTCTCAGCTAGTTGCTAACGTGTGCTGCTTACTCTTATTGGGCCTATCATCATTGTTTGTATTTGTTTGGCCCATTAAATTTTCGAGAAAAGAAGAATTTTTATAAACAGGTGAGAAGGGAATTCGAATAATTATCATAGCCTTCACCTAAATTGTACTCTATTTCTTTTCCTTTGATCTTGAAATATATGCATGAATGATAGATTGAGAAAATAAACCAAATTCAGCCACCATCTTTTTTTTTTTAATTTATCAAATCTCTTTCTTTCTTTTTTTTGTCTAAACCAGTCTCACTAGAATTGTAACAAATCTAAGCTCTATCTACTAGTCTAGGGTCAATCAAAATAAATAGTATTGGATTTTCAATTGGTTCACTAAAACCTTTGTTTGTAACACCGGTTTAGTCGAATGTGTCTTTGGTGTATTTTTGTTCTTTGCTTTTTAGTTAATTTTTTATGCCACCTCTATCAGTCTCCTATGCCATTTCAAATGTTTTGACTTTGAGATACGATTTTTTGTATATGTTAATCATTTCGTAATGTAAAAAAAACAACAATATATCCATTAATCGTCAGAAACAGAAACAAATCTCGCCAGCTAGGATGTTATAAAACCATACGACCAAGAAAAACAAAAAACTAGAGGAAGAAAACAAAAAACCTTAAAACACTTAAAAATAAAAAGACACACACTCGCTGTCAGAAATCTACATCGAGAAACACACACTGCTTAGTGCTTACACACACATAATTCCTGAAAAACACCACAGAGAAAACGAAGAATACTATGGTGGCCGAGGATGATGATCGTATACTGTGGGATTGTGGAAGTCCACTCTACGATTCCTACGAGCTCGTCTCTCTTACTCACATCATCGAACGCCATTTCATGTCTCTCCCTTCTCTCGCCGGCACCGGCAAAATGTATTGTTCTCGAACGCCGTCCGATCTGGGGGAAAAGTCGAATCGCACCGCCAGCGCCGTGGTGGATCTCTGCTGCTCCTCTGATTCCACGGCTCGTAAATTAATGTGGGGTGTCTTCCGGACCAAGTGGTGGAAGAGAGCCAAAAACGCCGAAGAAGTCGTCGATGATTACAATAAGAAGAAGAAGAAGAGGATGTTTTGTCGGATCCTCTCTGGCATAAGGGTTCCTACTCCTACAACAAGATCTCCTTCTTCGAAGATGTGATTTTCCTTTCTCCTTTTTTTTTGTTTTTTATATACTTTGCTCGCTCTTCATTCACAAGATATAGTAATAATTACTTGTTCATGTCATGTGTAATATTTTGAAATTAAATCGAATAAACTGTACTGAAAACGGGATATACATTTTAATTGATTCACTGATTATAAATGCACAGTAAATTGGTGTACATCATATATTGGAAAAGTTCTGAAACGTATATTTAGAGTGAAACGTGGATCAACATGCAAATCAACCTTTACATTGGGAAACATAAAAAGATAGAAATGAATAATAGAGGAGTCGTTTTGGCAATTGCCATTATTCTTAACAGTTCAAGAAGTGTCAGAAGAAATGGGTGGAAAACACAAGTAAAACAACACAAGGACAAAACATGTGAAGCGATTGTGTATAATTGTGCATGAGTCTTCTGACATTATTCTAACATGCAAATGATTATTGTTGACTCTTAGTCAATGATTTTTATTATGTCGTCTATTAAGAAGTAGTAAGAACTTGGTAAATTTGTAATTTGTTTTTTTTTTTTTTTTTAAGGAATGAGTAAGGCCGCAGATGGGCTTCATGATCAAAATCTCTTATTGGCCCATATGTATGATGAAAATTTGAACAGAGTTTAGAAAAGGCTGTATACTGTAGTTTGTTTTCCCGTTATAATATTACTTTAGCCGTTACAACATAAAATGCTTCATCTATAAAGTGTAATCTTTTAAAGCATAAGATCTGAGCGAGCATCTTCAAAAGATTGATACTTCTTTATATCTTATCGTTACAAACTTGTGAATTCCATCTGTTCATCTAATAGTATACTTAAAACAGCGAAAAGTTATATAAATTATTACACTTCAATTTATCATCATCATAACTACAATAAGGCAGCTGAAGAAAGAAAGAAAGAAAGAAAGAAGAATTTTACCAAAAAAAAAAAAAAAAAAAATTTGGAAGACATCACAGTAATAATGAAGTTCACAAGAAAGTGTAGAGATAAATGAGAAATAGACCACCAGATGTAGGCTATTATTGCATAATCCATTACCAATTGTTGTCTCAAAAAAGCAGTAAAGTCTCTCGTTTCCAGCATCCACTTCATAGTTAATTGAGGCTCCACATTATTCAATTTGACCATAGATGGTACTGTATAATACTAATAGTCTATTATTAATAACCAAAAGAAGCAATTTTGTTGAGATCAAACAAATTAAATGGGGGATTAAGAAAATCAAAATATATATATATATATGTAAAAAGTGTTCCACCAAAACTGCATTTTTTTAAAAATCGGCTGTGGTTAGTACTCACTAGTAAGTAAGATAAGATCCAGTTTCTTCTTAAAGTAAAAAGTCATAAAACTAAAGAAAAAAGAGAGTTAGAGAAAACAGTCAAAAAAGAAACACAAGAAGAGAAAATGTGGTGAAGCTTCTGCGCTTCGATGGATGAGTGGGTGGGTCTCTCTCTCTGTACGTTTGGTATGGCATTGGGTTCCACTATATATGTTTGTTTGTTGTACACACACACACTTTGGACCACTTTTAATTTAACGTTCCTCTTCTTTGACCCTTTTTTTTTCCTTCTAACATCTCAGTTTATATTTTAAAATCTAATTGGCTGATTTTGTTTTCTTGTAAGTTATGAATGATATATACTTGTAATCTTTTTAGTCTGTCACATCTTTTAACAAAGGCCAAAACCCTGCTTTTTTTTTTTTTTTTTTACATCAGTGGTCGCTCGCTGACATAGAGAAGCTATAAAGAAAAGCTATATTATGTATTTATGTATATATGGTTGTTATAAAAAGCAAAAGGGAAAAGCAAAAGTTTTTTATTTTATTTTTGGGCCGGTCATTTATTTTTCTTTGTAATTACCATTTTGGTTGGTAACTCTTGATTGTGTTTCATAAATCCTCACTGAAAAAAAAAAGATAATACACGTCAGCATAAACACTAGTAACTACCGGCAGAGAATCAGACGGAACTAAGAGAGTGTCGCCGTTAGTAAAAAAAGAAATCGGAGTTTTGATATACGGCGTACGAATCTGACCAGTGTGTGTGTGTATGTGGTCTGTGGTTGCGTCACAGCTCACTCCTCTGATCAGTGAGAGGGAATAATGAAGGCAACCCAACCAACTACAACTACTACTTGTAGTAAACGCTCACTGTGAAAACGCCGGCGTTTCAATTAATGTAATTGGGTAAAAAAAATAAAAAATACGGCGTCGTTTCTTTTCCGAGAGATGTTTTGTTGGTTTTTTTTTTATTGTATAATTCATCTGTGCCGTGTGAAAAGGAGCGAAATTTAGCAGAAACAAAGCATAAAACACCACTCTTTTTCTCCCAACAAGACCAAAAACTTCGAACTCAACGAGAGAGAGAACGAACTATTAACCAAAACGAGATAGAGACAGAGAGAGATTCCATAGTTTTTATTTTTATTTTCTTTTTCTTTGAGAAACAGAACACCATTTTTCTCTCCTCTGTCTTTCTCTCTTCTTCCGGTTTGGTTTTCCCGAGAAATTCTAGGCAGAAAAGAAGGGATCGAGTAGCAGAAGCTAAACCTCAACAATCAAGAAGATAGCTCTGAGCTCAAAGGTTTCATTTTTTTATTTTCTCTCTTTCTTCTAAATCTGTTTCCTTTTTCTTTCTTTTTTCTCCACTGTTGTTGTAAAGTCATATTCTTCGTTCTGGGTTTCTTCTTCTTTCTGATTCCTGTATGATTTTCTAGTTATCAGACGTATTCTGGGTTCGTTTAATTGGATATTAAATGACCGAGTCGACCAAAGTAAGGCTTGTTCGTTGCCCCAAGTGTGAGAATCTCTTATCAGAGCCTGAAGATTCCCCCTTTTTCCAGTGCGGTGGCTGCTTCACCGTTCTTCGTGGTATGTATGCTCTCTCTTCTTCACACCTTTTTTTTTTTTTTGGTTGTTCTTGTTTTCATGTTTATTAAGATCGAAGCTTATTAGCTTATGCTCTGGTTTTGGTTTGATTCGAATTAAGTAGTTCTCTTATTGCTTTGGCCTAAAAGAGACTTGGTTTACATACAGCCAAAATCAAGGAGCGTGAAGCAGATTCTGTTTCAGACAAGTCCGTAGAAGATGGAGCCAAACCTGTTTCAGTTAACTCTGCTAGTTCCCCAGAGAAAGCAATTGTGGATTCTAGTGAAACTTCCTCTGACTCTGATGTTCCATCGATTTCTGCTTCTATGAGACACCAGCAAAATGTTCCAGTTGCTGTTGAAAGTGATGATCCTTGTTCTAAAGCTGAACAAGGTAACAGATCTATATTATTAGGGGATAAGGATGACCCGAATTCTCAATCGGGGAGACAAGACTCGGGTTTGGATCGGTTTAGGAAAAGAACAACCAAGAGATGTGATTCTGATAGTGTCACCAACAGATTATCTACTTCTAAGTACCCTTGTGATGAGGGCACTTCGTCTTCTACTAACTATTTTCCAGATTCACTTCATGAGTTCCAGAAACATTTGAAAGATCAGAGCAATGAAGCAATCGAGCAAGATCGAGCTGGACTTCTGAGACAGTTGGAAAAGCTCAAAGAACAGCTTGTTCAGTCTTGCAATGTGGCTGGTGACAAACCTAGAGAACATGTTCCTAGTTCTTCGGCTACCACGGGGTTGAACAAGGGGCCTCCTATGCGGTTTCATAGTTCGGGAAATCATGCTGTTGGAGGTCTTTCTTACTACCATCAACAAACCCAACCACAATTTCCTTACAACAACAACAGTAATGAAGTCCCTATGCACCATAGTCTGATGCATCCTTCTTATGGAGACCCTCACAGGTTCCCAATGCATGGAAGAGGTCCTCATCCGCTGCAACTATCTCATCCCTACTTCTCTGGACAATTTGTTGGTAATAATAACAATGGTCAGGATCTCTTTGACGCATACCCGCAGCAGAACGGGAATTTTCATCACTCATCTTGCTCTTGTTACCATTGTTTTGACAACAAATACTGGCGAGGTTCAGCACCAGCGATCCCTGATGCACCCTACAACGCCGGTTTTTATCCTCATGAGAGCGTTATGGGTTTTGCTCCACAGCATAATCCTAGAACTTACGCTTCTCGTGGTGGTTTACAGCCTCATGGCAGATGGCCTAGTAACTTCAGCGATGCTCAAATGGACGCTCTTTCACGGATACGTCCACCTAGAGTTGTTTTATCAGGCGGCTCTCGTCATATCCGCCCTTTGGCAGGTGGTGCTCCATTTATAACTTGTCAAAACTGCCTTGAGCTTCTGCAGTTGCCAAAGAAACCAGAGGCTGGCACAAAGAAACAGCAAAAAGTGAGATGCGGAGCATGTTCATGTTTGATAGATTTATCTGTTGTTGATAACAAATTTGTTCTATCGACAAACACAGCTTCAACAAGACAAGGAGAACCCCGTGGAGCTGCTGATTACGCTTCTAATGACTATGATCTTCTCGGTTATGTGTTTCATTCGCTGGATGATGAACCAAGAGATCTTCCGGGATTGATTTCAGACAAGTCTCAAGATATGCAACACGTTCATTCTCATTCCGCTAGCCTTTCCGAGGGCGAGCTAAGCTCAGACAGCCTGACAGCTAAGCCACTAGCTCAAGCTCAAGAGTCTCCTGTTCACGATAACTTTGTTGATTACTCTTCGATCAATCACGACCGGTCTGGAGCAGGCAGCCGTAGCTCTCGTTCAGAACATGACAAGGTCGCACTGAGCAAGACGACAGCAATGAGACAGAACTCAATGAAAGAGGTTTCACTTGCAAGTGAGATGGAAGTTAACTTCAACGATTACCCTCACCATAACAGTGGAGCATCGAAAGATCAGCAGCAAAGAGCCAAGAAGATCGGATTTGCGAGCATTGTGAAGAAAAGCTTCAAGGATCTGACAAAATCTATTCAGAATGATGAAGGGAACAAAAGCAATGTTTCGATAAATGGACACCTTTTAACCGAACGTCTGCTGAGAAAAGCAGAGAAGCAAGCCGGAGCCATTCAGCCAGGAAACTACTGGTAATTATTGTTCAGGCCTTTTATGATCATCTTCTTCATGACTCCTTTTGTTAATGAGTTTTGGGGACTTTTCATTCTAGGTATGATTACAGAGCTGGATTTTGGGGAGTAATGGGAGGTCCAGGCCTTGGAATATTACCGGTAATTACATTTTTTTTTTTGAATATATTGCTTCATGTCACAATATGTTTCTTAAGAAGTTATGAAAAGTAAGAATCATTTGTTTCACTTTTTGTTGCAGCCATTCATAGAAGAGCTCAATTATCCAATGCCAGAGAACTGCTCAGGTGGAACTACGGGAGTGCTTGTGAACGGAAGAGAGCTTCATCGTAAAGATTTGGACTTGCTTGCGGGTAGAGGACTTCCTCCAGACAGAGATAGATCCTACATTGTTGACATTACTGGTAGAGTCATTGATGAAGACACTGGTGAAGAGCTCGATTGCCTCGGGAAACTAGCTCCAACGTAAGCCATTTTACATCACTCTTTTGTTGCTTTGGCTCTTTCTTCACAGGAAAGAAAGATATGTGATCTGGCTGGTTTGTTGATGATGCAGGATTGAGAAATTAAAGCGTGGGTTTGGGATGAGACTTCCAAAGAGAGCAACGTGAAGGAAGACAAGACGAGAGATGTATTTAGCTGAATATATCTTTGTTTAACATCTCCTGAAAATTTAGAGAGCTTTATGTATTTATTTATTTAGAAATTGGTATCATTTTTTCCGAGTTTAATTCTTAAGACTCCTTCAATCAAAATTTGCTATATAGAACAATTGAAGATATGTCTTACTCTTTTAAATAAACTAGAAAAGGAGATTAACAGCACAATTTTTCCTCTGCTGCTTAATCATACATTCATTCATACACACATATAACTTGATAAGCCCTACTATATATATGGCCAGGGGACTATTACAGCCCGATCACTTTTTAAGCCCAAAAACTAGAAGATAAGAGACTTGTTGGGCAAAGTTTATCTCTATGTAAGTTTACATGAAGAAGAATAAGATAGTAATAAAGTATCAATTAATACCAATTAGGCAATTTTTATTTTTTGTCTTTTGCAAAATCTTTTTCTTTCCATGGTCTGTTATTTAGAAGTTCGCAAACCCCTCCCCCAAGGATTAGGTTTTTTAAAAAGAAATTTGAGGGAAAGAAACACATGTGAACAAAAGAAAACTTCCAAGAGGCAACCAGCCATGTCTCTGCTTCTCAGCCACCTCTCGAAGCTCTCTTCCCGGAAAACACCTGCACTCGTCGTAAGATTCTCTTCTCTTCTCTCCAATGGCTTGGTACGTGTTCAGTGTTCTGTAATATCTCCTTGTAATAATTGTGATTGTTACTACGCAGAGACACCTCTCAGCTCGTTCTTGCTCCACTTCCATTTTAGGAAACACCTTTCCATTTGTTATCGCCGGTGCTCAACATTGTGGATCTACTTTGAGGGACGGAGATATCGGAAATCTCAAGATATGTAAAAATATTAATCTCGATTCGTTTACTCTTACAGAAAAGAAGGTACCTATGAAGTTGGTGGAGGAAATGGGAACGGTAGGAGCATCCAATGGATGGGTTGCTACACTGAAGGAAGGAGTAGTGTGTCTCCAAGATGATCTAAACCCAATTGCGTCTGATATTGATCCAAAGCGCATTTCGTTGCCTCCTCTTGTTACTCTGCCTCATTGCCAAACGCAAGTGGTAACCAATGTGGCCATGTCATCCTCTTCTCCCGAGGATGAAGACTGTGTTGTAGCTATCAAGTTCTTGGGACCTCAGCTAAGCTTATGTAGGCCTGCTCGAAGCTCTGAGTGGACCAACATAAGAATCACAGACCCGGGTTTCTTCAGTTCACGTGTCATGTATTCCAAGAGAGATGAGATGTTCTCCATGCCAGCTTCAAGAGGCGCATACATAGGGTCATGGAATATTGGAGAAGCCCCAATGATTCAGCAGTTGCGGTATCTAGATTTTCTCGAGTTGGTGCAGTCAAAGTGGGAGTTGTTGGATTCGTGTAGCAGGAGCGAACACTTGGTGGAATCAAGACCCACCGGTGAAACTTTTCTTGTTAAATGGTACACCAAGAGAAACCTCCGTTTTGAAGGGAGAGTGCTAATAAACCGTTTCGTGGTATTCAAAATAGACGAGGAAGGAAACGCTGAGTTCACTAGTGACATTGGAGATCTCTGCATCTTCCTCTCCGAGGCTGAACCTTTCTGTGTCCGGGCTAGCGAGTGTCAAAAACCCCCAAACTCCCTCTTTTTCTTGTGTCCCGAATACCACGGAAATGTCAAACTCGACTACTACGATTGTTATCCGCATGCTGTTTATCGCACTTATCCTGTGCCTTACTATATTTAGGGCTATTGTTATCATCCTAAAAATACCTCACTATATGTTTTATTGCTTTCTTCTTGAATGTGAATCAGATTTGATCCAACTATTTTTCTAAGTGTTTATTCTTCATCTGCTTTATTTGTTTACTTCTTTCGTGCATGTAAACCTCTGTTTCTTATAGTCTCATATGTATATGTTTTGTTATCCAAGACCAAGACAAATTTCACAATTTTCCTAAGAAATTCTACCACCTCTCATCCACACACACACACAACAACAAAAAAAACTATGAAACTTAATTATACAACATAGCTTCAAATAATTAATATTCTGCACTGTGGCAGCAATCAAAAATCAAAGGCTATATTTATCATGCATCAAAACATAAAAACAGCAGCCTAAATTGTCAGAAGAACAACAAACAAGTAACAACCATAGTAAACAATAATACATAGAAACCTATCAATTCAAAAATTTCAAGGTCCAGTCACATCAAATGTAAAGAAAGAAAAAATACATAACTTAATCAACCCAATTACAAGTAAGTGAAGCAAAGGCGATATTGATTAAGAGCATATACTATAATTTTTTAAAAAAGCCAAGAAGACTCAAAATTGCAGAGATGGGCTATTCCGGAGTCGTGGAGACCCTTGAAAAATATGATGTTTGGAGAACGATCATGCAAGCTAGACTCGACACATATAGCTTCAGCCTTGGAGTGGAGAGAGATACAGAGATTTCCAATGTAACTAGTGTGCACCGCGTTTCCTTCCTCGTCTATTTTGAATACGATGAAACGCTGCGTCTCCTTTCTACGAAAGTGGCTCCTCGTGTACCACTTAACCAGAAAAGTTTCACCGGTGCGTCCACATTCCACCAAGTGTTCGCTCGTGCAATACGAATTCAAGCGCTCCCAATCTGATTGCTCCAGCTCGGGAAACTCTTTAAACCACAACTGCTTCACCTTGTGTTTGTGTAACTCATCATCTTCTCCAAGATTCCATGATCCAATGTAGGAGCCTCCGGAAGCAGGCATGGAGAACATATCATCTCTCTCGGAATAAATGACACGGGAATTGAAGAAACTCGGGTCTGTGATTCTTATGTTGGTCCACTCAGAGCTTCGAGCAGGCCTACATAAGCTGAGTTGAGGTCCCAAGAACTTGATAGCCACAACAAAGTCTTCCTCGTCCGGGAAAAAGGAGGACAAGGCTACGTTTGTTACAATTTGGGTTTGACAATGAGGTAGAGTTACAAGGGGAGGCAGTGAGATGCGTTTTCGATCTGAATCTGGCTCATTTCCCTTTGGAGTACTCTCTTGCAGACACACTACTCCTTCCTTCAATGTAGCAACAGCTCCTTGGGATGATCCTATCGTTCCTGGATCCTCCATCAGCCTGTTACGAGGATATTCAAAAAACTCGAGGTGTCCGACACCCCCATTACGCAAAGTAGATCTGGAGGTCTTTTTCGAATAGGAAGTTGAGAAAGAACGAGCCGTGAGGTATCTCTGCGTATGTAGTAACAACAGTCACAGATATTAGAAGGAGTATTAATTACAGAACACAAAGCCATTGGAGAGAGGAGAAGAGAAGCTTACGACGAGTGCAGGTGTTTTCAGGGAAGAGAGCTTCGAGAGGCGGCTGAGAAGCAGAGACATGGCTGTCGGGAGTTTTTTTCTTGGTCCACACGTGTTTTCTTTTTCAGTGACCTTTCTCTTATTTATACAAGATAATATACAATCTTCTCACATCTCCATAATTAGATAGAGAGATGGCCTTGCTCAGCAAGTCTTTCATCTTCCAGTTTTAGGGTTTAAAAAGCTATTGGGCTCTAAATAGTCCCATAGAGCCTATTAAATAGTCTCATCTTCCAGTTTTCTAGGATCGTTTCCTACCATGAGGCACCGTACGAAGAGCCAATCTGTTTTGAACATATTTCTTAATAACTTGTTTAATGTATGAATCTATATAGTATTTGTTTTAGATAATAATGGTAACTAGTTTCTCGTGATGGAAGAAATGGATTTTTAGAAAGAAACAAAAAACATAGGAAAATAACTTAAATCAAAGACCAGTCATCATAACTTAAATCGAGAATATTTTCCAAAGAAGTGAAACACGAATCATCTGCCGGCGAATTCACGACAGAAGCAGAGGATGCAGATAACAACTCGTTGGTGATTCCAGATTCTGATGTTGTTGTAGGAGACAAATTCTCCATCAGGTTTCTCCGACCAGTTATATTCTCTGTCTCGAGATTTGAAAACGAGAACGTTCTGAAAATCTCATTCTTGTTTTCCAAGTCATCGAGACTTAACATCGTTTCTTCGAATTTCATATGTTTGATTATATCAACGGATTGCTCAGCAACATGCAGCTCATGTACGTTGTTTGGTTCTTCTTTGGGCACAGAAACAACTGAGCTTTTGGTTGTTGATAGATTGACGTTACATGTGTGACTCTTTAAATACTTGACTTCGTAACACGACGGATCTGCATCTGATTTCTGTACTTGCTTCACCGCTAAACAACCTCGTGTGAATCGATGCGTACATCTATAATATCCTCTGTATTAAGAAAACAGAGTAAATTAGTTTTCAAAATTTGGCAATGTCCACACAAAAGCAAAAACAAAAAATGGAAAGTTTATATATATATATATATATATGTATATTGTATTTACCTAGGGTTTTCGGATCCGTGAATATCTTTCTGACCATATTTTCTCCAGCAATAACCATCATCAAGTTGAAGTTCCTTCTTGTCTTGTTCCAACACATATGTTAACTTTCTCGGACCATTTTTTCTCCAATGTTCTTCTGCAAATCAAGAATCAAACAAGAAAAGAGAATTTAGAAAAATGTCTTTAAAACACAAATAACTAATGATCTCTCTATAATTTTACCTTTTCTTGTAACGCTGATCCATTCTCTCGGGGCTTCTTCTCTTAAGAGTTTGCTGATCAAGACCCAACATAACTATTGCGTTTTCGTAAGAACGGAGGATTCCAGAGATCAGACTCTTGTTTGATTCTTTAGAGGAGAAAGGGTTTTTCAAATCCTTCATCAACCGATTGGCTAACTCCTTCCCATGCTCCAGATCATCTTTCATCCCAAGCTTTTCTTCCACCAACGTTGTCTCTTCCTTCATTTCCATATCAGAGAAGAGAGAAGCTTTGGAGACTTTGATTAGATATCAACTTTTGTCTCTGGCTAGTGTTTATGTGTAAATGTATATATCACATATGATGTGTGTGTGTCTCTTGATTTTATTGTGTTTGTTTATTTATTTATTTTTAAAAATGGTAAAAGCTTAGGCAAGAAGGTGAGGGGAAAAGAATATGAAGTTGGAAAGAAATTGACAAAAGTTTTATGGGTTTTTCTTTCTTTCTTTTCTTTCTTTTCTTTTTTTGGGTTCTTTCTAGTTTGACTCCTTCAAACCTATTATTATCATTATTCGTGAACGGTTATATATCTATAACTATTAATTAATTCAAAGTACTACTCGATAAAAATTACAATAAATTGTATAAGATAGGCCAAGAATATTGTAAATTCTTTTAATCCGCATTATAAGATATATAGATCCCCGTCGAATGTGTGTTTTCCATGACGTAAGGGATTCGTGATGTCATTTACATATTAAATAATTTTGATATTGATCTAGTGTTAGATCGTAAAATCTCATAACAAAGTATATAGATTGGCGTTCATATACGATGAATTGATAGTGACGTGTCCATCATATGTTATTGGCGATAATGTGACATAATTAACGTTATGATGATGTTTAAACCTATAGTCTCTAGAATCTTTTTAGTATTTTAACTTTAATATCTGACTAATGTTATACCATAAATATATAAATACCTATACATGTACATACAATACTTGTGTAGATGCAATGATTCAATTACGTTATATTTCTACAACATGTGATGGGGATAAAGTGGAGGGGAAAACGATTTGTGAAAAATATGGAAGTTTCGGGGAAGAAGGACTTATTCAAAAACAAAACTTGGTGCGCGTAGAAAATGACATGATCGATCAACTTTGCTTGATCTCTTTAGATCGGTTAATTTGTTATGCGTCGTCCTATTGGCTATTCCCACGTAATGCCAATTTCGTATTATAATTTATACCATATATATATAGTTTGATTAAGATATTATTGTTTTAGAATTGTTATGCACGATCACAAGTAGATCCATCCCGGCCCTATATTAGCTTTGAGCCGAAAGAGCACGTACATATTAATTAAATCCATCATAATGTATTAATGTGGCCTAATGTGATATTTAGACCTAAATCGTAATAACTCGGAAGATTCACCAATCATGAAATTCATAACCAGTTTTAATGTAGCTATACCTGACTCTGATAAATTTGTACATCGATCAGCTTCGTAATCGTGATTTGTAATAATATCGTCATATGATATGATATTCAAAGGTGCTCAGATCCCAGTGACATGTACGTGGAAGTAGGGAAACATCATCGTATGGTTCATTAATTAGTTTCATCTTGTTTTTTTTTTTCTTTCTAATAAACACTACAAAGTTGTCAGGCTTTTCAGTGTCGTTTAATTTTGGTGAATGAGTTCTGTCGTATCGTTTGTTAAAATGAATTTTATATATAATATGTTAGTCTGATTGTATTATTAATTAATTACGTAGAAAAAGACACTACTGGTCAGTGTACTTATCGGAATCTATATATATATGATTGTATATGCCTTGCTACATTTGCATTCGTCGTTATGGAATCTTTTCTACTCTTCGAAAAATACAATTGAAAACAGTTGGACTAATTAAGTTTATAGTTTATTAACATACATGTATATAGTTTATCGATAAGATAAGACACACAAATACAACCAAAAAAATTATCAAAAAGCAGCATTTAATTTTACTTGTTCAGAATAAGACTCACGTTAATTAACCCTAAAAACTTCAGACAGAGAGCTAAATATTATTAATACAACATGCAAACAGTGTATAAACTAGCTACTTCGCTGATTACTGGGGGTGAGAAATAGCAATTTTTTAAACAACTCGATATTTTTTTCGTTTTCTTTTGCAGTCTCTGTTCCACAAAACCTAGTAGTTTTTTTTTTTTTTGGGTAATCTGTATTTGTTTTAAGAAAGCTTTCTCTAATTTGGTTTTTAAGGAAAAATATGAAAAACTATATAGAAATCTTTTTCTTTCATTATTACCAGTAAATCATGTTTTTTTTACCACACAAAGTCAGAAACCCTGAAATTCCAAGATATCTGAGAAAGTTCAAATGAACTATAGGATTTGTTTCTAAACCTAATTAAACACAACATCACGTAAAGTCGTAAAGTCATAATAAACAATGTCCTACACTATTTTAATTAGATATCTTCGAAACACGGTTGGTGATTATTAAACAAGACTGTTTTTTTATTTGTCTTCCACATGGGGTTAAAATATAGAAATACAAACTTCACCACAGTGATATTTATATATTAACTAAACAACAAAAGCATATCCTTCGATTCATCAGTACTTTGTAAAAAAGCAGCCGTGTTTCATAAGCCAGTACCTCTCTATCACCTCCGGCGTACGCCCCGGGATCCTACCGGCTATCAACGACCACCTACTCGCCACGTGTTATATCACAATATTATTATATATGAAATTATCCTTTGAAAATGAGTAGAGACAATGGAGATCAACACACATATACTTTTGAAAATATCATAATCGTAAATCAATCGAACCTGTCACCGACAAGTTTATACATCCGTAAAATGAGATCTTCTTCTTCTTCTGACATAGTCACAGCTTTCCACTCAATGCTAGTCACCTCTGCTAACACACAGATGAAAAATTAAGCTTCGAATATAAAGCAAAGGAATTACTAAAAAATAATAAAAAATAATAAAAAATAGAGAAAACGTACGTAAACCTTCGGAACATGACACATAGCTCGTCGTCTTTCTCGTATTCCACCGGCGTTTATCCATTTCCGGCTTGTCGTTGCTCGTTGTCAAGTTGTCCGAGACTTGTATATAAAGAAGAAATATAACGAAACTGGAAACAAAATAAGTGATAACTTCCTTTGTGCGTGTTACAAAAAGGTAGAGGGAAGGTGGGAAATTTAATCCATTGGACATGGACCATTATGCCACAGTTGTCGACTCTATTTTACTAGTATGTTTTTTTTTTGTTCGTATGAAATTTTGAATATTCTTTACAACAAGGTTATAAAATATTTAAATTTATGTATAGAGACTAGAGTGAAGATTATTATTAAGTAACAACAAGATTAGTACGTCGTATCATGTAACAATTACCTTGATTCAATAGGATTATAACGAAGCTTTTATACACTACAATAAAAAAATGTGGATTATGGAAAGCCACAAAAAGTATAATTTTAAAAAATATATATATATATGTACTACAGACAAGCCACATGATTAAAATCTCATAGCTTTCTATATTATAATTATAATTTTATGGGGAAATTTATTTCCTACTATATTTTTCTAATCATGTTTTCCTTATACGAAATGTCTTGCCTTAAAAAAAACAAAAATTATTGTTCGTAATAGGACTATGTTTGTTGTCGATACATTATTTTATGATGAATCAGATGATGATAGTACCGGGTTAGGTACATTCGTCATTTTCAAATTATTTTACAATGATCATTTAAGTATAGATATGTTACTACTTACCAGCGGTATTTAGTACTATGTTAGATTATTTACTTCGACTACGTAATGTCTACAAATAAAAAGGACATATTGTCACAAATTAAATACTCAATAATCTGATTATATATACTGTATATCTTTTTTATATATGGTGGTGTCATCAATACGGAGTTTGGGGTGGGGCTACAATAAAGGTGGAGAACTGGAGATTATATGTTATTTTTTTTTTATTTTTTTTTTTAACAGCTGATTATCATTATACGTTATTTTCATTTCTTTAAAAGGGATGCTAAAAATGAAGTTATGAAAACATTTGCAAACTAGTCACTCATACAAACATTTGCAGATGCTAAAAATTAACCTGCTTTTGCGTAGAGTAGAGAACTAGAATTTAGTTTTAAAACGGCGCTTCAAACGAGTCCGGCCTTCTTTCCAAAACCTAGAATTTGTGGTTTCAAAATATAAGTTTGATTTTTAAATTATTTTTCGTAATCATCGGATCTACTAACACGTCTCACAACATTATGTTATTACGTTACGTACACGAAGGATATGTATCTGTTTCGTCCAAAACCCTAGCCGTCGTTTCAATAATTTAGTTTCTACTTTTTTCTCAAGAGCTAGCCTTCGTTGTGCCCATCCAATGATAACGTCTCTGATCCGCGGCCTCGTTATTGGTCGGCGCTTCTGCACCGCCGTGCCAAGAAGAGCGGAGGACATAATGTCAAACCCAGATTTGCGTCCTACGCAGCTATGCTTGAGAGTCTCGTACTTGATCAGATTCGTTGGAGATCTCGACACGGCGGCGAAGTACGCTCGTTTGGCTGCTTTCACCGAAATCGAATCGGAGTCGACAATAATAACATGTCAACACATCATCGGAGCCATGATGCGGGATAAAAGGTACAAGGAAGTTCACGATCTCTACTATTTCTTCTTCAGTCAGAAGCTAAAACCCAACAGCCATTGCTGCAACTACGTCATCGAATCTATTTTCCAGCAAGGTCATGTTGACGCAGCTCTCCTTTTCCACAGATGTATTGCCAATTCTGAAACGGTACACGACTACCCAAGCAACGATACTTTCAGGGTGTTGACTAAAGGGTTAGTCCACTTCGGTCGATTGGACAAAGCCCAAACCTTTCTTAGAGACAGGACATCCGATAAGATCCGCGACTACCCAGATCACGTGGCGTTCAACTATCTCATTCGCGGGTTTTTGGATCTTGGGAATTTAGACATGGCGAATCTAGTCTTGAACGAATTCAAACAGTTGTGTTATGATGCCATGTCCTATACCAAAGATATTTATCTCGATTCAATTTCAGACTTTGATAACAGAGTGGCGTTTCTGAGGGCGACATTCATGGAGTACTGGTTTAAGCAAGGTAAAAAGGTGGAAGCTATGGATTGTTACAACCGCTCTGTTCTATCAAGCATGTTAGTGCCTTGTGCCGAAACAGGTAACGCCCTTTTGGTAGTCCTGCTTAAATACGGTGAAAAAAAACTTGCTTGGGAATTGTACAATGAAATGTTGAAGAAAAGTGAACCCGACTCTGATACCATTAAGATAATGGTCGACGAGTGTTTTGATATGGGTAGATTTAAGGAGGCTGTTGACACCTACGTCGACGCTAGTGACGCATATATATATATAAAGTGTTGCCAAGGAGCAGACTCTTTCTCCTTTCCTGTATTTAGTGGCGGATACGTTATTGCAAGGTGTTGTGAAAGCGGGATCGCCGAGATGTGGGATACAGCAGAGTGTCTCTTTGTTGAAAATATCGTTAGAGATGATTTCGGATACGTTGAGGTTAGCCACCTTAAAACATTGATCGATACTTACGTGAAGGCTGGGAGAATCGACGATGCCCTAAATGTTTCCAATACGTTGTTCGATTTAGTTGTAAAGGAGGTCTTCAATCTCTTCTGAGCATTGTTCGTCGCTTTTTTTTTTTATTTACTTGTTTTAGTTAAGACTTTATAATACAGTTTTTTATTTTACTAAAATTTTTATTAAAAAAATTACTCCATTATGTAAAAAGCTTAACACTTGAGTTTACAGATTTTATTTATAGGTTTGAGTTTACAAGTCAGACCCATTATTAGAGTTTCAATGGTATGCAATGCAAAATTTGAAAACATGATTCTACGGGAAACATAATATATGATAAAGCATAAATGCAACACTTATGGCTTATGGGTCTCGATGAATAGCAAGCTTTCGGATATTTGAAATGCGCAACTTGTTCAAGGTCTTGATAGCATCATCGACTCTCCCTACTTGAACATACCCATTCATCATTGCTCTGAATGTTGGAAGGTCAGGCCCTGCCAAGAAGTCCTCTCCGTCAACGTCCGTTAACATCTCGGCGAAGAGTTTCTCTGCCTCTGACACTTTTCCATGCTCGCAGAGACACGCGATCATCGTCCTATAACATGCTTTCCGAAGCCGCTCGAGTGGCACAGTCTTTTCACTAAAATACTCGGACATTATGTTAACCGTCTCGGGATCACAGGTTTCTATCATCTCTCCAAACAATTCCCAGGCCTCTGTCTTCTTACCGTGCTCCACAAGAACTTTTAAAACCCTGTTTCCGACAATGGGTTTCAGCATTTGAGCATCTTCCAGAGTTGCGAGAATCTCCATAGCTTCCTCATCTTTGCCTTGCTTGAAACAATAGTTCATAAACGAAACGTTGAAGATGGCAAGTGCCTCGTGATAATCTCTCCGTGCAAGTTTGCTATCCAATCCTTTCCATTCCTCCAAGATTTGGCTAGCCTTTACGGAATCCCCTATATCTAAGAACCCCCGAATCAGAATGTCGTAGACCATAAAACTACTACTAGTACAGCGCATGCTCATTGATCTAACTAAACCACAAGCTTCATCGAGTCTTTTAGCATCAACCAAGCCTTTGGTGAGCATCATATATGTCTCGGTCCCTGGAACTAAACGTCCGTCGAGCAAAATGTGGCGGTAGAGCTCAAGAGCTTCGTCGACGAGACGGATGTCGCAGTTTACTTTGATAATGAAATTGCAGGAGAGCACGTTTGGGAGAATCTGAGACTCGTTGAAAAAGTAATTGAACAGAGAGAAGGCTTCGGAGTACCGTCTCCCTCTGGCGTTGCACATGGCGCTGATTACGGAATTGCAGATGAAGAGGGTGTCACTGTCGACCCGAAATTCGTCCAAGACAGCGAGGCGCGAGAGCTTCGAGGCTTTGTCGAGATTAGCCATCTCGATCATAGTCGTGACTCTGTGGCGCAGAGAAATTGGGCGGTCATCCATATCCGTGATGGAGACCGGAGCAAGCTTGAGGAGTTTGGAAGGGTCTCTTCCGAGTGGGTAAGGCTTGAACGCCTTCGCAACCGGAGCAGCCTTCGTCGAATTACGGACAATGCGGCGGAGGAGGGACATGACTTGTAAGTTAGGGTTCAATTTTGCAGGTGCGTTAAAATATCGATAATGGTAAGACATTCCTATTATATTAATCAATGTTCAAAAAATCGCTAGGCGGTAGCTAGACGCTACATAGGGGCCTAGCGCCTAAGCGGATTAGTCGGGTACTAGACGGGGAATAGGCGTTGATAAATTATTTATATATTTTAACATTTTTAAAATATATAATTATGTGACATACTCAAAAATCTTGTTTTGATGGTGAAATGCCTTCTCCCCAATCTAACTCTCGTAGGTTTATTTATAAATAATTTTGAAGGTAGAAAAAAATGAAAGAAACCTAAAAACATCTTATTCTAAATCTGGAAAAAATGACAGAAGTTGAAACTTGATTAAATATATAAGTATAGTCATAATTGATTAAAACATAAATTAAGAACAAAGGTTGGGAAGGATCATAACTGTGAGAGATGAGGGGAGTTGACTATGTCTTGGTATTAGGTATTAGTGTCGCCGCCGTTTAGAAGAAACATACAGAAGCAAGAGTGCAAGACCAAACATAATTGTGTGATTCGTGAAAATATTGTCTTTTGTGTTATAGTTTTTTTATTTAAACTTAAACATGGTCGTATTCATATATTTACCAGGGAAATAATTAAAATAAACCAAGTGTTAAACCAGAAATTAGGGCGCCTATACCGATTTTGACCGAAATAGACCGCCTGAACCAGATGTCCGATTTGTTTTTGCCGATTATGAGAAAATCGTTTCGGCTGGGTTAATATGAGCGCCTAGTCCTCCGCCTAGGCGGCGCCTATAGCGATTTTTTGAACACTGATATTAATAATATTTTATCATAAAAAATAGTTTGGACATTTTTATTGAGTTTCACCAATGGTCTTGCTACGCATTTCCAAATCGGTCCATTTATAAATAAATAAAAAGAGCTCCTAATAGTATGGTTGGGCTTCAAGTTGCAGAGGGATTGAGCGTCAGCTTCATATTCCATCGAATTTTTATTTTTAAATCAATATGATAAATATCTACATTCATTCCGACTTCCGAGTCCGAGTAAGTTAAATCTACTGTTTATGGCATACACAACCACATTCACATGGAGGAATCAGACATGATGAAGTTGTCCTAAATGAGTACTATAGAGGTTTAAGACTTGTCCCACCACACTCGACAACTGTAATATGCACGATTCTACGACTATATGATATACAAAGGAAGCCAAGGACCAACAAAGACAAAAAGCCCCAAAAAAAGTTGGCACGTCGTAATTGAGCCAATGTTGCTTTATGATCCTACAATTTGGGGAAGAAGAAAACTTAGTAGCTACTTCTAATTAACTCATATCCTGTTCTGAGTAGCCATTCTCTCACAAAACATTGGACAAAGATTTGAGATTGCATCGTATAAGAGATCCACGAAGTAACAAGTCTCGTCGTTTTTGCTTATTTTTCAAGTCCATGGTGACTGGTAAGTTAGGTAAAGTGTGTTCTTTACATATGTTGTTTGCCCATTATCTTTTTTTTTTTTTTCTTTTTCTTTTCTGTGTACATATCACATGCAATTATGAATATTTATTGATAAATCAAACCATTACTTATCAAACTCGTCTAACAAAAAAAAATAAAAATAGCATCAATATCAGAAAGCTGTCTAAGGTTTAACCTAACCTTCTTTCAAATTAATTATCTTACGATTGTTGACTGTTTTAAGTTTGAAGCTTTTATATAAAAATCTGGTCACTATCATAGAAAAGTTCCAATCTAGAGTCTTCATCTTTTATAAATAGAGTACCATTATCAATGATATCTTAAGATTATCAATGGTATAAGAGAGCCAATAATGGAAACTATTAAGTGTGACACAATTTGACTATCTTAGATAACACAATTTAATCGAGTGTGACATATCATGATGTACTTACAAAAATTTTACCGACCATTTTTGACCTATACCCAAAAAAAGGTTTAACGAGGCTACATCTCATATCAATAATGGGCCTTGTTTACAGCAATCCAAAACATAATAAGTCCAGTTAGCTAATAGCCCATGAATACAAAATGAAACGGAGGTTTTTAAACGATATAACAAGTGGCAAGTCTCCTTGGCAGAACACTAAACCCAAAATATGGAAATATTATTGTTGAAAACCGGCGGAAAGAAAAAGGCGGCTGCCCACCACCTGGGGGACGCTATGTGGAGATTACTGACTCTCTTTGCTTCATGCAACCGAACATTTGGCTCGTCCTGGTCGCTTTACTCTCTTTGCAATGACCTTGTTACCCCTTCCTTCCTCCGTGGTCAAATAGATATCTTCATCTCTCTCACGCACGTTTCCGGTCTTTGTTAATAATACCCTCACCTTTTTCGTTATTTAATCAATTATTTATTATTACACGAACAAAACGCTCGCATCTTGTCGCATGGAGAAAATTCATTTCATTTTGGTTATTTCTTTCGACACTCCAGCGAATCGATTATGTTAGTCTTTTTTGGGGTTTGACTATAACCAAAAAAAGATCTGTGAAGAAATAAATCTTCTAGCAAACTTGTGGATACAAATACGAAATTATAACGACAATTTTTATTTTTTTTCGTAACGACATTTACCAAAACTTCTCTCGCTAATCAAGCAAAAGAATGCCTAACCACTCTCCAACCACCATTATGGTTTTGCCAATCTGTATAATCAAAGACCACGATGAGGAGGACATTTACGTCTTTACATAGCTTCTCTTCCTCTCTCTCTCTCCGTCCACGTGACCTAGTTCTCTCTCTCTCTCTTCTTTCATTTTACGTATATATATTAATCGGACTTCCATCTACATCTGTACGAAAGAGAAAGAGAGAGAGAGAGACATTCATGAATCTTTTTTTTTTGTACAGAAACAAGAACAAGTTTCAGAATCTGGTCTGACTCTTTGTTAACCTTTCCCCATTTAAGTTTCATCGTATTCGTACGTATTTAAATCTTCCATTTCGTTGCCAGTGTTGGAATCTCCGCTCTCGCTTGATTATTATTATCAAAGGGATCTAGCTAGTAATGTTCGATCGACGTTTGTTATCTCGTTCAAAGAAGCTGTGATCTGATAATGATGATGATGATCCTAAAGCAGATCTCCGGCTGATCATCCTCTGTTTTTGTTTTACATTGAGCAACACCCAGAAGAAATAAGGTAACGCATCTCAGTTGTTTAATCCAATCTCTGTTTTGTTTCTTCCATGATATTATTATTCTCGTGAATATCCGTAAATTCTCCGTTTTTTAATGAACAACACATATCATATGCTTTTGTCTCTGTTTTGTTTTTTCTACTAGGATTTACCCCGTGGTACACCACGGGTCCATAATTTAATATATTTGTTTGATTTATCATTTTCGTAGTTGGTTTATATATTCTAGTTTTATACGTGTTTATATCATTTTAATTTTATATAATTTTATGAATTTGTATAATAAGTAGACTCATAGATATATGTGGTCAATCCACGATACACTTTCCACCAAAAAAAATATGTGGTACACCGCAGGACGATTTGTTGTAAATAAAATTTTATATTTTAACTTAACCCGTAAAACCCGTAAAACATTTTCAATATAGACAACTCGTAAGAAACATATAATCATGTTTATATAAACTCAAAACCGTTCAATCATATTAATAATATTTTAAATTTTTGTAGAGTTTAAATATTTTAAATATTCTATAAAACTTTAAAATTTTAATTTGGATACATGAGAAATCAAAGTTCCTGTTCCTTTGTAGTTGTGAACATATTAGTACTATTTATAATGGTTTTGAACTATTATCTAAAATTTTTTACCTTATAGACGTTGTACATATATTTTTTCCTTTATCGTTTGAGTTATATGCGTCCGCTTTCAAAAATTTAAATTGCAAAATGTGTGGAAAAAAATTTGTATTTTTATTATAAATATATTTTATGTAATAATATAAATTAAAAACAAATAAGATTACATAAATATATTGGAAAGATATTCAATTTATTAACGAGACATTTTAGGAAATCGGTTTGATGAAATAAATATTTGTTTCCAATTCTACGATTTGCTTGTGATTTAATTACAAATTTTACTTTTAAGTTTTGTTATTTATTCAATTGGCAATGGTTTGATTATGCAAATATTATAAAATTAAAGGTCATAAACCTAAATAGATTTTAGTACCAAATGTACTTCAAAAATGTATATATAGATTTTCTCTTTAAAATTTATATAATTTTGTCTCTTTTATTCGATTCTAAATCAATGGTCGTTTTAGTTCATAATAACGAGTAACCAAAATTATGACAAAAAAAAAAAACGAGTAACCAAAAAAACGAAAAAAAATCCAATAGAAGAAGAAATTAAAGAAATGCATATTTTTGAGCTGGGAAAAACTTTCTTTGCTTTTTTTCTATAGGATTAGTAGTATTTTTATTTGTAATACGATGAGCACATCTATATCGTACGTGGCGCACGTGGAAGCACTTCTGTATGACGGACCCAGTCCAACTGGTATTAAGATTCGAACCCCACAATTTAGACCAACATTATCAGCAGGATTTAAGTGGTATCTTAGTATTAATAGTATTTAAATTTTAATCAAAAAATATAATAAATATTAAGATACCTATGTTGGAGTATGTTGGAGAAGATACCATTGCTGGGTTAAGAGACGCCTACGTGGCAGACTTTGATTGATTGATATTTCTTTTTTTTTTTTTTTTTTAGAAATTCTGATTGACTAAGATGATAAATATTTAATGGGAGAAACAAATTTTACTCAGATAAAGATGAACGAGATATGTATACTCAGTTTGATATCACTGAATTTCAACAAGCGGAAACTGCCAAAAGTACACGAATAGATTTCTTGTATGATACAAATACAGTAAAACCTCTATAAATTAATATTCGATAAATTAATAATCGTATATAAATTAATAATATCTATAAATTAATAATTTAACCCTAAAATTTTTTTTCAAATCTATTTTTAATATCAAATTTTATTTTTCGAATTTATAATTTTAATTATTAGTTTTGATGTTTTTTTTTTTGTTTTCAAACTGAATATTCAGCGTAAAATATTTCTTATATTATATTTACTAAATCACTAAGAGTATACTTTATTAGTTTTTTTAATTAAAAGTTTAGTTAAGTAAATCAATATTACAATTGTTATCATAGTAAATTTTGAATTTATGTTGTCACATCTATTTCAAATTCAAAAGCTATGTTATACTCCTATATTATAAGGATTTAACTTTTCTCATTTTTCAAATATATTCATTTTTATGTCATGATTCAATTATATTTATTTAATTATACTTTTATTTGTTTATTACTCATTTCTCATAATTATTTTTAAAATACACGGGTTTTTACGGGTTGGTTCTTTTATTTATTTTATATAATTGTTGTATCTTAAATCTTAATACACACTTTTCCCAAAGAACTGAAACCAAATATATGCCTTCAAATCTCGTCAATCTGATGGCCGCTATAACTCGATTTCGAGATCGAGATAAGCATGAACAATTGAAGAACGATTTGGTCGAGCACTCTAAATTTTCTCGCAATCAAGTTTAAATTTTTACTGTAATTTATGTTATAATTTCTATCTTATAATTTATCTCTTTTGTATGTTTTCAAATTCTAAATTTGCAATAATTATAAGATTTTCTTAAATTACAAATTATAAATTTATTTAATTTATTTAAAAATAATTTTTTTCTAAGATACCCAACTTAAGATCATACCTATAAACACTTCTCAAAACTAAAAACAAAATTAAAACTCTTAAATTCTACTTTTTCAAATTTAATACTAAATTAATGTAAGATACCCTAATTAACATACTACCTATAATGTTGCTCTTATGAGAGAGACATGAAGCAAAGGTTGTTTTTAGTTGGCTCGTAGGTATATTGATTTTTGTGACGTGTCTTTTTTTTTATATTCTTTTTAATAGCTGGCTAATCACCTAATTTAAATCGCTTCATAATAACAACATCCTAATTCCAACTATATATATACCAACACTTGACCTTGGTCAATCTAATTTAAAACGTTTCTTATTACCTTTTTAGCCTATTTAATTAAACGTCTCTCATTATTATGTTCCGCTTTTATGTTAAGTGTGAAATAGTCAAATATTGTTACTACTTGCTACTTTTTGTTAAGATTCTTAAGAACGGTTAGAAAAATTATTTAAGTTTTTTTCCTTCTTCTTCTATTTGTGTTTAATAATCGGGATTATATGCGTCTTCTCTTGGTTGCTAGAGTTGGAGTTTTGTTCATAAAGAATGGCGTTCAATGCGGCTATGGCGTCTACATCTCCAGCGGCAGCGAATGACGTTTTGAAAGAGCATATCGGCCTCCGTAGATCTTTATCGGGTCAAGATCTCGTCGTGAAAGGTGGTGGAATACGGCGATCGAGTTCGGACAATCATTTGTGTTGTCGCTCCGGTAATAAGAACCGAATTCTTGCTGTGTCTGTACGTCCTTCTGGTCCAGGGATGAAAACTAGTCGATCTGTTGGAGTGTTCTCGTTTCAGATATCGAGTGCCATAATCCCGAATCCGATTAAGACGTTGCTATTTGAAACGGACACGAGTCAAGACGAGAATGAGAGTGATGAGATTGAGCTTGAGGCTGAGCCTAATATAGATGGAGTCAAGAAGGCGAATTGGGTCGAGAGGCTGCTTGAGATAAGACGACAGTGGAAGAAGGAGCAAAGATCCGAGAGTGGTGGAAATGGTGAAGTTGCAGAGGAAAGTGTCGATGTTATGTGTGGTTGTAAAGACGAAGACGCCGGTTGCGTTGCAGATTACGGATCTGAAAACGGTGATTGGGAACGTGAATCGTTCTCTAGATTGCTTGTAAAGGTTTCTTGGTCTGAGGCTAAAAAGCTTTCTCAGTTGGTGTATCTGTGTAACTTGGCTTACACGATACCAGAGATCAAGGGAGAGGATTTGAGGAGAAACTATGGGTTGAAGTTTGTGACATCTTCCTTGGAAAAGAAAGCCAAAGCAGCTATACTTAGAGAGAAACTCGAGCAGGATTCGACACGTGTCCCTGTTATTACATCTTTAGAATCAGAATCCAAGAAGCAACCTCAACGATCGTCTTCATCTTCTGCTTCTGCTTACAATATCGCTGCTTCAGCTGCGTCTTACATTCACTCATGCAAAGACTATGATTTTTCAGAACCGAACAATCTGGTTTATAAATCAGCTGCTGCGGCTCAGGCTGCAGCGTCTACAATGACCGCGGTGGTTGCTGCCGGTGAGGAGGAGAAGCTAGAAGCGGCAAGGGAATTGCAGTCGCTACAGTCATCTCCTTGTGAGTGGTTTGTTTGTGACGATCCAAACACATACACTAGGTGCTTTGTGATTCAGGTATGAATTTCAAAGACGTAACTACGAGAGCATCTCCTCTGTTTCTCTAATATCATGACCCTTCAATATGCTAATTAGTGTTGTGTCACTGCAGGGATCTGATTCTTTAGCTTCTTGGAAAGCAAACCTCTTCTTCGAGCCAACTAAGTTTGAGGTAAAGATCTTGATCTCTCTACTAGTAATGGATATATGGTGTTTGGTTTTGTTATTAATTTCAGTTTCTCGATTACTTATGTTTCATGAAAATTTGTTTATCTATGGTTTTCATCTTATTGAGTAGAGACCTTAGGATATTGATATGTCTACTGTAGGATACAGATGTATTAGTCCACAGAGGAATCTATGAGGCAGCGAAAGGAATATACGAACAGTTCTTACCCGAAATAACAGAGCATTTGTCTCTACACGGAGAGAGAGCTAAGTTTCAGTTTACAGGTCATTCTCTTGGAGGCAGTCTCTCATTAATAGTGAATCTGATGCTTATCTCTAGAGGACTTGTTAGCTCCGAAGCTATGAAACCGGTTGTCACGTTCGGTTCACCATTTGTGTTTTGTGGTGGGGAGAAGATTCTAGCGGAGCTTGGTCTTGACGAGAGTCATGTTCACTGTGTGATGATGCATAGAGATATTGTCCCACGAGCCTTCTCGTGTAATTATCCTGACCATGTTGCTCTTGTTCTCAAGCGTTTGAATGGGTCATTCCGTACACATCCTTGTCTGAACAAAAATGTACGTACGTCTTACTTGGTTGAACGTTTTAAACATCTTTCTCTATATATATATTAGAAGACGGATGCTGAAGTAGTTGGTTGTGTTTTGCTTTATGCAGAAACTGTTGTATTCCCCGATGGGGAAAGTATTTATTCTACAGCCGAGTGAGAGCGTGTCGCCGACGCACCCTTGGCTACCACCGGGAAATGCTCTCTACGTTATAGAAAAGAGCAACGAAGGTTATTCGCCTACGGCAATACGTGCGTTTCTGAACCGTCCTCACCCGCTGGAAACACTGAGCCAACGGGCAGCTTATGGTTCGGAAGGATCAGTCTTGAGGGACCACGACTCCAAAAACTACGTCAAGGCCGTGAACGGAGTTCTCCGACAGCACTCGAAGCTCATAGTTAGAAGAGCCAGGATACAGAGGAGGAGTGTTTGGCCGGTGCTTACGTCAGCAGGACGTGGATTGGACAGGAGCTTGACGACTACTGAGGAGATCATGACACGTGTCTAATGAGGGAAAAAAGTAAATAAATCTACGGTTGTATATAAAGCGGAATCTAACTTCCGATTATGCGTTTGTTTACATTTAATTGTGTTAAGCCAAAACGAGTTAATAAAAAATGTTGTAAAGACGTAAACTAATTTTTTTTTTGTCGATAGGTTAAACAAAATATATAAAACGGGAGCTATAAGTTTTCACGAAGTTGATGACTTGATGTGTTCATATAATCAAAATATAGGTTAGTGGTGAACATAGTGCTTAAATTGTTGTTTTTTTCTCCTAATCCATGGGATGATAAACTCCTATTTGTGGGCTTCTAAACATTCGATAAAGCAGGCCGATTTCTAAGGCTTATGTAAGTGATATTTATTTATCGGAAGGCCCATTATAAAAATTCTAATTTCCATTGTAGGTGTACAGTTTGTTAGAGAAAAAAAGGGGAAAAGATAAATAAGTAAATCTTCATAAATTTCGTAATTTTCATAAATCCGGACATAATGAACGATTGAACATTCGCTTTCACTAAAAACGTAAAAAAATTTGGTTTGAAGAGGCGAAAATGACACATGGACTCTCTATCTCTCATAAGTCATAAACATAAAAATTAAATAAACGAAGACGTCAGATAAAAAAGTCATGATGGTCATTTATGGAATGGTTTCGTTTCCATCCATATATATAAGAAAACTAGTGAGATAGAGCTCGTGGAATATTTGCAGACTCAAAATAGAAAACACGAACATTTTTCATTTAAATTGTTTATTATGATTTGATGATATAAACACGTACATTTTATCTATAATAAGGATAATTAAAAATTTTAAGCCAGATTACATTTACGAAAACAGCCCTGAGAGAGAGAGAGGCTGAGATTCCCCGGAATTGGCTATCCTCGTCACCAAACACTCCCACTTTTTGCTCCTCCTCGAGCAAAAAAAAATAAAAAAAAGAAAGAAGAATAAAAATAAAAATATCAACAGAAGATAAAAAAGAAGAAGAAAAAACCTAATCAATCAATCAATATATACATCTTTGGTCTATGTCTTCTTCATCATCTTCTTCCGCACGATTTCAGTCCGCCAGTGTAACCTTTGATCAATCTCGCATTTGCCTCTCGATTCCTCGATACTGCTAGATTTTCTCTCGATTCATCCTAGGGTTCCTATTGATTTCCGCCCTCCTCCCCTATCTGTTTTTAGAATCTTACTCTCTTCGTTTTGCTCCTCCTAGGGTTTTCTTCTGATTCCTCCTTCTTCTTCAATTCGATTTCCCCCTCTGCAAATTTCTCCTTTTCTTGCCCAATTTTATCGGTGCCTGGATTTTATATTCTTACCAATTTTTTTTATAATATGTTTGGGGGTTAATTTGTTAGATTAGCTAATTAGCAGATCGAAGCTTCTTCAGGTTCCCAGGCTATTAGATTTTTTTCCCCATTTCCTGTGACTTTTTGAAGCCGCGATAGATAGATAACCACGGAGGTTGCTTAATAGCAACCATTAAAAGCAAACGTTACGGTTGGTGGAAGGTCTTTGTTTCGATTTGAGGGAGAGAGGCTTCGACTGTGACGGGAGAGATTTGCATGGGTGAGCATGAATCATGGGCGGCTTCTCCGCCGTCACCCACTGTCTTATTTCCCAACGGTTTATTGCCTGGCAAAGCTGCATCTGTGACTAGGCCGCTTGATGCTGACCGATGGGCCAAGGCCGAGGATAGAACTGCCAAGCTCATTGCTTGCATCCAGCCTAATCCGCCTTCCGAAGATCGCCGCAATGCTGTTGCCAGTTATGTTAGGAGGCTTATCACCGAATGCTTCCCTCAGGTTCATGTGAGTTTGCTTTGGACTTTTTTTCTTTTTCTTTCTTGGTTGTTTGGGGATTCTTGGTTTCGTTTATCTGTTGTCTAGTTCTTATTTCCGAAGATAGAAGCTCCGGTTAATTTTCTTGTTTTTGGAAGATTAAATTTCATATTTTACCCTGAGAATATGTTTTCGTAATCCATATCTGATCCTTTACTTTAATGCAACTTTTCGTCTCCTACCAGATCTTTATGTTTGGATCTGTACCTCTGAAGACTTATTTGCCTGATGGAGATATCGACTTAACGGCTTTTAGTCCAAACCAAAATCTGAAAGATTCTTGGGCGAATTTGGTCCGCGATATGCTGGAAAAGGAAGAGAAGAATGAGAATGCTGAATTCCATGTCAAAGAAGTCCAGTATATTCAGGCTGAAGTAGGCAAATTAGAATGCTTCTTTTATCTCCCGCTTCTAATTTTGGTGTATGAACCATTTATATTAGGAGAAGTAAGGGCGAGTCTCTTGACTTACTGGATTGTCTAATTATTTTTCACTGGTAAAATGTTTCAGGTAAAGCTGATTAAGTGTCTGGTGGAGAATATTGTGGTAGATATATCATTCAATCAGATTGGAGGCCTGTGTACATTATGCTTCCTTGAGGAGGTTAGCTGTCCACCAAAGACAACATGTCACTTGCTTTCTCTTCCTTAGTGATGTAGATTTTTTTATTTCTTTACCTCTATGTTTTTTTCTATATCAGGTTGATCACTATATAAACCAGAACCATTTATTCAAGCGTAGTATTATATTGATTAAAGCCTGGTGTTACTACGAGAGCCGTATATTGGGAGCTCACCATGGGCTTATTTCAACGTATGCCCTGGAAACCTTGGTTCTTTACATATTCTATCTTTTCAACAACTCATTTGCTGGACCCCTTGAGGTAATGTCATTTTTGAGCTATCTTTATTCTGTCAAGATTGCTTCTTCAACCTTCCTGACTGGACTGCTTGCATTTGTAGGTCCTCTATCGTTTTCTTGAGTTCTTTAGTAAGTTTGACTGGCAGAATTTTTGTCTTAGCCTCTGGGGTCCTGTTCCAGTTAGCTCACTACCAGATGTAACAGGTATATACGAACTGCTGTCCATCGTAATTTTGCATTAGTTGTGTATAGTAAGTTCGTAACTGTCTCTAGTACTGATTGTCTTGCTATGCAATTTTTGGCAGCTGAGCCTCCTCGAAGGGATGTTGGAGAGTTAAGAGTTAGTGAAGCATTTTATAGAGCTTGTAGTAGAGTTTATGCAGTTAATATAGCTGCTCAAGAGACACAGGGGCAGCCTTTTGTTTCCAAACATTTCAATGTTATAGACCCTTTGCGTGAAAATAACAACCTTGGACGCAGTGTCAGTAAAGGTACTTTCTTGGCTTGAATGCTGCTGCCTATTCTTTATAAATGAGTATCATTGAATGCTAATTTGTGATTCTGCAATATGCATTCTGTGCAACTTGTGCCTTAGAAGCTTACTGGACCTTTTCTTTCCTTTATATAGTATGAAGTAGAAGATGCACGAACATGTTGGCGTTGTTGGCTTCCTTACATACTTTAATTTTGTTTTTGTTGTGTCAGGTAACTTCTTTAGGATACGAAGTGCATTTACCCTTGGTGCCAAGAAGTTGGCTAGGTTACTTGAGTGCCCAAAGGAGAATTTGATCCATGAGGTTAACCTATTTTTTATGAATACATGGGAAAGACATGGCAGTGGTCGACGTCCTGATGCTCCTGGAAATGACTTATGGCTATCAAGATTGGGAGATCCTGAGCCATATCATCAAGCTGAAAATGTTAGTAATTTCCAAAGCAACAAAAGAAACCAAAATGCCGCCCGTCTTGGTGGGATTCATGGAGCTCGAAGTATGCCCGCTCAACAGAATAACTGTGCAACGGAAGTTATATCTGGAGCAACATATCAAACGCAAAAGAGTCGAGGCAACTCTTACCAATCTGCCAAGGAAGTAAACTCCAATCAAAGTGCTTCAAATGATAAGCTTCAGCAAACTGCTAAGCCAGAAATTCTAGTGAATAATTTTCATGGTAGGCATCTTTTTGCCAGAACCCGGTCTAGCCCTGAGCTTACTGAGACGTATGGTGAAGCTCTTTTACAATCACGTCGTAGTAGAGCCCCAGAACCTGGGAAACGCCAAACTAATTCTACCAGGGTTGATAACATCAGGAAAAAGAATCTGGAGTCTGAAACTTTGTCAAGCAATGTCAGATATTCGGCCGACTCATCATCAGTTAGGCATACTCCATCTCCTCGAAGTCCTGATAGTACTGCTGACATGAGCAGTGCAGTGAACAGTTACTATGATGAACTAGGGTCAGTTTCTGTGAATGAAGACTTCTCTGTTGCAGGGGAACAGGAAGACCAAGATATTGTTAATTCGATGTCATCTGTTACTGGGCAAGGTTTTAATGGACACTTTCCTTTCCCTTTTAATATTTCAGCGGGTCACTTACCGTTTCCAATTTCACCTTCTACCTTAGCTTCAATAGGATATGGTCAGAGGAATGTGCCTGGTATGGTTCCTTCTAACCTTCCTTTCATCGAGACACCTTGGAGTACAAATGTGCAATTTCCGCAAAACTTTGTTTCTTCACCTTTTACCCATTATTTTCCCAGTGGATCTCACCCAATTTCAGAAAAGCCAAACAAAACTGGTATTGATTACATGGGATCTGCAGAAGTAAATGTCGACGAGTCTGACAATGATCTCTGGCACGAGCAAGAAAGGGGAACTCATAGTTTTGGACTTGAAAATGGTGGTTATGGAATGCATCAGGCAGATGATAAACATCTGTCATCTTCTGCAGAACGCAGTTTTGTACCCTCAAGTAGGAAAAACCGGCTGACAAGGGGAGATGATTTAGAAAATTCACACTCTCCAGTCAGAGGAAGCAGTCAGATTCAGAGTGAGGAGAGAACTGCAGGCTCTAGATCTGTGTCTGGTGCTAGTTCCGTTCGAAGCAGGACTTCATCTGAAAGCTCTTGGGATGGGTCAACTACAAGGGGGTCAAAGCCAGCTAAGGATAGACGGAACAGGAAAGTGGTGTCTGGGTCTGCATCTGTTCTGTATGGAAAAGGAAAGAGTGTTCCTGAGCATTCAATCCAGATTGATGATGATAACAGAGAATGGATTCCTGTATCTAGCAATGAAATAACAGATAGAGATGTGGGGCCTCGTCCTACTGTCCCTTCATTTCAAGTTCAGAGGCATCAAATACATGGGCATGAACTAGCTCAGGCCAGTGGATCAGAGTCCTCATTGTCTCTTGCTCCTTTTCTCCTTGGCCATGGTATGCAACAAAATGAGGTTGATAGTTCTGGATACACGTTTTATCCCACAGGGCCACCTGTCCCGATCGTTGCAATGCTTCCAATGTACAATTATCAAACTGGTGGTAATGCGACATCAGATGCTCTGGCAAGCCACCACAGTGTGGATGAAGGAGTAGAGAATCATGATCCCTGTAAAAGTTTTGACTCGTTCAGGGGACTTGACCAGTCTGATATAGTAGTTTCTTCGCACTCCACAAGAATTGGCTCTTCTGCAGAACAAACAGAGTACAAAAATGATATCCTCAATGGTGATTTTATAAGCCATTGGCAAAATTTGCAATATGGCCGCTCTTGCCAGAATTCTCAACATCCGCCTGTGTTGTACCCTGCTCCTGTTGTAGTGCCACCTGGTTATCTTCAGGGGCGTTTACCATGGGATGGTCCTGGAAGACCTCTTGGTTACACCAATGTTGTAAATCAACTCATGACCTACGGACCTCGTCTTGTACCTGTTACTCCTGTACAACCTGTTTCAACCAGGCCACCCAACATTTACCCTCGTTACGCTAATGAAACACCCAGATATCGAAGTGGGACGGGGACTTATTTTCCAAATCCTGTAAGATATTAATACCTTCCTTGAGCTTCTATTATACTTGTGTGCATTCTTTGAATTGAGGTACAACTTACATTTTGTTGTCTGATCTTGTGATGTATTGATTTCTGTCCAACAATGGTCTTTTGAATTTCACCAAACCTGAGATATTTTCTAATGCTAAAACGAAGAGCTTTTACCTTCGCCTAAATATCTTTAATGAATATTCAGCATGATCTATCAGCTTCCCCTACTCGCTTCCAGGTCTTCAACTAATTTGGTCATGTTGCAGGCTATATGGTTATGTATCTTTTCTATTCCATCTATACCTGCCGTGTTTGTTATGCTATCCTCATATTGATGCGCATTGTTGTCTCCGTTACTGTTTCTGTCTTGTCTTTTCTATTTTTTTTCTTCTGATATAAAACTCATGATGGTTTTGGTTTGCCACACTGACTTGTGCTGAATTTGTTGCAGAAGATTTCTCCGAGGGAGCAGCGGCCTACATCTGGCATGAGGCGTGGTAATTATGGGCATGACAGAAACGACCATCACAGTGAGAGAGAAGGGAATTGGGTTGCTGGTACAAAGACACGAGGTTCCGGACGTAACCACAACAGTCGTAACCAAGCTGATAATAAGCCAAATACAAGGCAAGACCGATCTGATAGGCATTGGGGGTCGTCGTATAGGCATGAATCGTCCTCATACTCTTCTCATCATTCTCAAAACGGTCCAGTTCGTTCAAACACATCACAAGATGCTTCTGGAAATATTGCTTATGGCGTGTATCGATTGCCACCGGGCATGAAGCAAAACAGTGTGATGTCTTCAGAGGGACACAACGTCATGATGGTTTATCCATATGATCAACACCATGAGTTTGGGTCTCTTGGACAAGCGGGCGAAGCGCCCCATTTACATGACGAGGATCAGCCAAGGTTTCGTAGTGGTGCTGCTTCTGCTCATATGTCTTCACCTGATGATCCTTCCTCGCCTCACTTCCCCAGGTAATTTTAGTTATAAAGAATTCCGATTGCAGACGAGTGATAGGGTTACAGCGAGGAACAACATTCTTATTTAAAGAAGTATTTTGGACCTCAGATTTTTTCCTCTTGATTTTACTGAACAGGGGAAAGTAACATTAATGCTTGGTCAAGTTTAGCTACAATAAACTCAAGAACTTAGAAGAAACTGGGCGATCACATCACTAGGGTCTTGGAAGTCAAAAGAAGGCAAAAAGTTGTGAAGCCGTGAAAGAAGATGTCTAGACAGGAGAGACTTCTGTTCAAGTCTGCTCTTGAGAGCAACAAAGAAGGGAACCAAGTCAAGAGGAATCGGTAAGCGACGCAAGCCTGGTTTGTTCTTTGTATGTACACTACCATCAAGTCATTACCGTCCATGATCATCGGTTTAATCATCAATTCAAGGAGACTGCTGCTTGTTTTAGTAGCCCAGATGGATGAAGAAACGCAGGAATTCTATCTCAGACATACGGTTAGGTAACTTTGTCTCTTTTTGTTTTTTTTCTTTTGTCTTCCTTAGAATTTCTTTTTCATAGAAAATGTAACCTTTTCGCCCACATAGAAACGATTAGAATTCAGGGCTTATCGTCAGTGTTTCAAAAAAATTCAAGAAATAATTTCTCTAGTATTTTTAGAAAAAGCAAACAGTACATTTTTTAAGCTGTACGTGTAGCTTTATTTTTAAAATTATCGATATGGCAGAAAATATAAGAAATAATTTCTTGTCTATTCTTCTCACTTAAACTTTGCTCTTCATGATCTTCCAAGTTAAGGTAGAGTAATGGCTATGAGCAGAAATAAGAAATATGTCCTATATACGAATACGACACAGTTTTTATGGAGGTTTGTTTTTTCGAGGTCGGGGACGTGGTCTAAATCAGGGTGGGTATGTTGCTTTCCTTATGTTTAGGGCCGTTACTGGGCTTTGAGTAGATATATGAAATATTTTAGTAAAAAAACAGAAAAGCCCGTTATTATCGTTTCGCCGTCACCTGCAATTTTCATATTGAAATAAATGGAGATAATGCCAAAAACAATAAGTGTATGTCGCTTTAACGTCTAATTTAATTACACTAATACGAAGTAATAAATAATTTAAATTTCCATTGTAAAATTAATACAAAATTAATAATAATAATAAAACGAACAAAATAAAGTTCATATACATGACTTATGAGTTTGTGGAAGTGGTTTGGAATGGAAATAGTAGTTGACTAAACACATTGTAAAGATTTAAAGTGTATGATATTATAAAAGAAAAAGTTGGGGAAAAGCAAGTCAACATAGCATAACTCTGCTACATACTGTATATATAAAGCTCGCAATCAGAAGATCTTGTTTGGTGCCTATTGCCTAATGACACAAGCTCTTTTTTTTTGTTTTGTTTTAATGATTTTGTTGTTTCACATAAAGAGTTCGAAGTCGGACCACTCGTTATTTAGAAAATCAAAATTTGATATCAATTAATGTACAGAGATTTCTCCATTAGTTAAAAAAGAAAAAAGAAGGTGGTCCTGAAGAAACTGCATAATGGTAATACCCAGAAAGTTCCACAGAGCAGGCCATGCCCATGCCTTGTCGTAACGCAACAATCAAAACAACTTGACGACCACTACGTCGTCTACGCTTGTATTTGGTTTATTCCGATTTAGTTTTTTTGGTTCGGTTTGGTTTTGACGATTACGGATTTTACCGCAACGTAGTATTTCTATTTCTATTTTCATTAAAAGGGAACAATAATAATATATACATATTTTAGAAAGCATTTTTTTTTTTACCTTGTCTTGTCCAGTCAAGTCTACAACTTGTAATGTATTTGATTTTTTAAAATTTACTGCAGATAATTATAAATAAAAGAAAACGATATATATTTTAGAAAGCGTTTTATTTTGTTTTTCTTTGGTTCTGTCTTCTCCAGTCTACTCTACTGTTTGGTCTTGCTCTCTCTCTCCCTCTCTCTCTTTTTTTTTTTTCTTCTTCTAAAACTCTTATCTCTGCAACTTCGATACTTCTTATAATGACGTACCGATATCTTCTCTCAGTCTCCGTCATCGGAAGATTTGTTTGACTTCAAAGAACCATCGGATCTTATTTTACACTATCTTCGCGATTTCAATTCTTTTGCTTGGTTTCATAAGAGTTGTTGTCTCTCGTTTAATCATATCTCTATAATAGCTTCTCAGTGTCTTCGGCGTTTATAAGAATTGTTGAGACTCGCTACGTGATTTGTGGCTTTAGAAGAAATCAAAAAATTCGTCGATATAACTTTGTTTTTGTTTGCAAGTGTGTGAGTTTTAGGGTTCGCTTAATCGCTACAGGCTTCGAGTTCGCGGGAAGGTGAGATTAGATTGGATCTTTTTCTTTTTGTTGGTTTGTTTATTTGATTTTTGATTTCGTATCGTGCTCATTATATATAAACACTTTTCTGCTTTTTTGATTTTATTACAATATTATATTTCTGAGTTTCTGTTCATGTGGGGAGGTCTTTTGTTCTTCTTTTGTTTTTTTTTTACTAAGTTTTTTTTTTTTATTAAATTATTGTTGTCTCTGTTCATCGTCTCCGGCAATTTTCCTGAAGCAGGTGATGATGAGTAACTCACTGAATCTGTTCTCTTAAGATTTCATTTTTGAAAATTAGAATTTGTTCTTTTAGCAGGATGCTGCTCTCTAGTTCCATAACTGGCAAAAACATAGTTTAATGAATTAGGTTTTTCAATTATACTGCAGGTTGTTCTTTGTTTGGGATACTCTAATAATTCTATGTGTTTTGATGATCACAATGTCAAGTTTTCACCTTTTTGTTTGTAGTTTAGATTTAGTGTTTTAGAAGTGGGGGGAACCTTTTTATGAAACAGTTTTTATTTTAATGAGATAGAGATTCTGTTTGTAAGAGTGTGCTTAATTGGGATCTGAAACCTTATTAAACAACTGTTTGAGAGGGACTCACTTTTCTATGCTTGTTGGATATTAATTTAACACAATTACTGTGCCAAATGCTTTCCCTTTTTTATAATTTGTATTGCGTTGGTTGTTTAGTGGACTGTTTCCCTTACTATTATCCAAGTTGTTTACTAACTGTTGTGAAGATAAACTATGGCTAAAGTGTTCTTTTTTTCTTTTCTTTGTTATTTAGGTTTATATATTTGGTTTAAATTTTTAATCAAACTGACAAAGTTGTTGAACTCTATGGACTGCATTGTTGTATATGGTGCTAAAGAGAACAATTCTTATTGAAGGATGCAGCTACTTTACATTCAGCAGTAATGAAGAACGGACAGGTACGCTTCTTCTATAATACACTCTTCTCTACTACCTTTTGTCATTTTTGTTGTGTTGCCTTAGTGCTCTTCAAAACCTGTGTAACTTCTGCTATGTTTTTTGCCATTCCTTGCTTTTGAGATGCAAGTAAGGTTACAAGTAGTAGTTCCCTAGTCTCTTATCAATTACTAAGATTGGTGGATTAGGTCAATGTTTTCATATAAGTGTTTGGAAAATGTTTAAGATTCTTTACTAGCTTTCTAGCAATAATTAAGGCGGTGTCAGTACTTGTAGATTTTGATTATGAAAAACTGAAGTATTAGAAATAACTATTATCTAATAACAGTGCGTAAAGGAGCTACAATCTTCCACTCAAGCTTCACATGAGTCTCAAGGTGAACAGAAAACCAACCAATCAATAGATGCACCTATACAAGATTCTGGTTCTGTATCTGCTTCAAGCAATGATAGTAGGAAAGTTTCAAGACAAGATATTGAACTTGTAAGAGATCCTCCTTGTCATTTTAACTAAAGAATTAGGCTTTACCTCTCTATCACTATTTATGTGCATGTATATACATGTGTGTGTGTGTGTTTCCTCTCGTCGTATATGTGAAACATACTACTAACATCTGATGATATACACTTTGGAACTAATTGATGTAGGTCCAAAATTTGATAGAAAGATGTCTTCAGTTGTACATGAACAGAGATGAGGTCGTGAAGACCCTTTTAACTCGTGCAAGGATAGACCCTGGCTTTACAACCTTGGGTAAGCTTTTGAAGGTTCTTGACTATTTCTTCACCTTCTTTCATTATTACAGTCTTAGGAGTTTTGTTTTCAGATTCTTATTAGCTTAGAAGAGCTTCATAGGATACTAGGTTGTTGAAGAGTGACACAGTTTTGCATGTTCGCTATAGTTAAATTATATATAGCAGTAGCAACATGAATCATCCGATGAAATTTGTATTTCTGACTCCCACTATCTCTTTTTCTTTTTTCTTTGTTTTGTTCTGGTGATAAACCAGTTTGGCAGAAATTGGAAGAAGAAAACGCAGAGTTTTTCAGAGCTTATTATATCAGGTTGAAACTGAAGAAGCAAATAATTTTGTTCAATCATTTGCTTGAGCACCAGTATCATCTCATGAAGTATCCTCCTGGACCTCCAAAAATTCCTCTGGCACCGATACAAAACGGAATGCATCCAATGGCACCTGGTAATAAGTCTGAAACCCTATATCACCTGAAAACTTGTTTATATTATATAAGCAATCACAAGTAGAAGTGTTTAATATTTAACTTCACTGTTATTTAACACTGTTGTTTCGCAGTGCAGTTAACATGCCAATGGGATACCCAGTACTACAACACCCTCAAATGCATGTTCCAGGCCATCCCCATCTTGATCCAATGGGAGTATCGAGCTGCCATGTTGTTAATGGAGTCCCTGCCCCTGCTAATTTCCATCCTTTGAGGATGAATACAGCTAATGAGTAAGAACTAACTCGCAGTACAAGTCAAAACTTATTTTGGGTAGAATGAGTTGATGGCATGTCCTAACCTAAATCTCCAATTTTTCTTAGTATGGTGATCGATACAAGTGCGAATGATGCAACTCCTCAAGTGATTCCACCAAACAGTGGTGGGATGCCTGAGATGGCAGCGAGTCCAGCTTCTGTGGCATCAAGTGGACACTTTCCATTTGCTGCTTCAGACATTTCGGGTATGGTAATGGACACTTCAGTGCTTGATACCGCATTCACATCTGACGTTGGTCCGGATGAAGGAGGAGCTGGGAATTCCAGAGATTCCCTCAGGTCATTTGATCAGATTCCTTGGAACTTTAGCCTCTCTGATCTCACCGCAGATTTGTCAAATCTTGGAGGTAAGTTTAAATTACATCCATTATATTTTTCAGGGTATGGAATTCTCACATTTATAAGGAGCTGATTATCAGATAAAGATATGTATGTTGCAGATTTAGGTGCCTTAGGAAACTATCCAGGCTCTCCATTTCTCCCATCTGATTCAGAGATTTTCTTGGATTCTCCTGAACAAGAGGACATAGGTAACTCTCATCTTCTTCTTCTCCTAGTTTCACCAAGTCTTGATACATTTCAGTAGAAAACCAAACTGGAACATAAATAGATATCTTACAGAATCAGATTGAACTAGATTTGGAACACTGAAAAACTCTACAAATCGAATAAAAAACCCGATCTGAACGTCAACTTTGGTTCTTCATGATATTAATGCTATGTTCTATGATCATTATCCTTCTACTTTGATTGTGATTAATATTAATAATTTTCTGCATGAACAGAGGAGTTTTTCGTGGATTCCGTGCCTGGACCCCGTTCTAATTCAGACGAAGAGAAGCCTTGAATTGAAGGTAGAGGCCATAATCATCTTCAGACTTCAGATAGACACCAAGCGTTATTAAAATAACATATATATATATATATATATATACATATATATATAGCTTTTGTTATCCCTTATATATAAATTAAACTCTTATGAATAAAATTGAGGCTGCGGTTGTAGTCTCCTTGTACCCCTTTGTCAATTTAGTTGCATGAAGAAAATAGGCATAGACTTAGCTTTTTGTATTTGTTTCAATTCTATGCTGTAGTCGTATTTTTATTATTCTAAATGGTTGAATGTTTTATTTTAACTTTAGGAATGTGTGTTTTTCCTACCATGAAAGATTTGTTAAGAGAGAACAATAGTTAAAACTTGTACGTGAATAAATAAATGGGCCCTAGGGGCCGAGATAAAAAGGCCGCGAAGCAATAAACTAGCCACAATTACAGATATCACGGAGCTAAAAAGTAAAACCTGTAGGTTAGCCAACCCATTCGGAAATAAGCGGTTTTTTTTTTTTAAGTGTTAAAAATTAAGCGTGTGAGGCTTTCCCCTAAAGTCCTATCCTTTTTCATTTTTTTTTCTCATGCATATGTTTTGTTTTGTTACCCGGCAGCTAACGATGTTCATCATGTTCCAAATTATGATCTACTATATATTTTGCGACGACTAACCACATTACTTTCTACAATTTAGTCAAAAAATCTCACTTTCAAAAGTTTAAATTAGCCTCTAATTAATGTGTCTCGTAAACATACCCTTAAAAATACAACTGCACAATCTCTTAATACGATAGACATGGTCCACATATAGATTTTGTTTCAATTTCTATAATTTTTACGACGATAAAGAACTAACTACAATAACACCAAATCATTATATATATATATGTACAATAGGTTATAAGCATCAGTGTTATTATTATTTGACATGTATCATAACATAAATGCGTAAAACTATTCACACAAGTCAGCTGATTTTAGTTCAATTTCTCACAAGTTTCTTTGGTTTTTACCAGACGGCTTATTATTAGAATCAGGACCTCGCTTGGTGTACAAGGAACCAGCCGCTGATACATCAGAAGGCAAAGAGACCGTAGCAGAGAGAGGTTGGAAATTAGTGTTTCCAACAAACCAGTAGAGAGCCCATTTGAGGTTGCAGAGAGTATACTTCAGTGCTTTGGTCCAACTCTCTTTCTTGTTGAAGCTCTGTGTTATTGAATATGCCTCCACTTTGTCATTATCGATCCTGCAAAAGGATTTCACATGAGAAACTTTCAAGGTTTTGGATTGCACGGATTAGCCAAAACAAAGTCGAGCGACAATAAATATTTTGGTTTTGAAAATAGTGGGAACTTGCTTGAATGGAAGTTTGAGGCATTTCTCTGGTGGAATATTGTTTTCTTGGTCCTTCGAGTTTGCGAAATCAGCAAAGTCTTTCAGACACATCAGATACAGTGTCATGGCTTTATCATACCGAGTACTCCAAAACAGATTTACTGGGCCAAACCTGACGAAGATCATTAAACAGGTCATACTTTTTAGTTACAAAAGCTGAAGAAACAAAGACAAAACTCACTAAAAGACTCGTGTAAAATCAACACAAGACATGTTTTAAGTTCAACTCCACGAACAAACCGGTACAAAAATATGACAGTTAAACAATGAAAAATACTTACAGCTCATAAGTTTCGTTGTTGCTGTCTACAATTCTAGGATAACTCCCCATTGGCTGTATTTTAACTCGACATCTAAAAAAGGGTTACTAGTTAAGGATAACCTTAAACAGTAAATAGTATCACACACCAAAATTAAAATAAGGAAAAGAGTTGTGAGAAAATAGTAACAAGGATACTGAAATTTTGGCCGGAAATAGTTACACATTGTGTGGAGGAGAAGACAGGCTTGGCCCCAAGCAGCATTGATCTCATCCCACTCAACCTAATAATGTTTCATATGACCTAAGTTTATACTTTATATGAGCAGGAAGAGGTTATAACTTCCAAACATGCTACTTAACTTGCAAGCTTACCTTTATGTCAGGGAGTATTCCAAGTCGAAAATTGTTAATTGTACCAAAATCTCCATCATACCGTATGGGGAAGGCATCAATCAGTACATTTGTCTTATTTAATAACTCTAAATGTGCTTGTGAAACTTCAATCTTTGCCAATATTGCATCTCTCTCTTCCTGTTAACAAAGACATATTTAAACACTAGATCTAAGAAACAAGTGTAACGCTGATCAAGCATAACCTTTCACAGATACAACAGTGACTACATAAAACCTATTCAAGTGCTATTAACAATAATACAAAAAAAATAGAGAGAAACTGTGAAGCAAACGAATGAAAGTTCTGGACTCTCCAAAACATCATATATTGAAGTGAGGAGAACCCTAAGAGCACAGCAACGCACCTGATGGGCTATTAGTTGAAATTGGAAATTATTGAACTCTTGCCAATACCTATATACCAGAAATTTTTTTTAAAAAAAAACATGTGAGAAAATAAGAGATAGCATTACAAATGTATCATTTTCCAATGAGGGAACAGTGAGAGTGCTTAACCGATCTTCGAGTTCGTTAAAGCGATTTCCCTTTGATTCTAGCTCCTTCAGTTGATAGTTCACCTCAGCATTTTGTTTCTCTGTTTCTTCTATAGCAGCAACAAGTTTTTTTTCTTCTTCCTCAATCTAAGCAGAACAGTAAACAACAAAATGCTTATCACTAAACAGTATCCGCAATTCATCTCATAGTCAAACAATATGATGAAACCTTAACGCTACCTTCTTTTTTTCCTTCAGGAAATCAGATTCACTAAGAACATCTTGTGTCTCCCCTTCTAACCGCTGAACGCATGCTTCGTATGCCTCGACGTCCCTTGTCACATCCTCGACTTCCTTTTCAAGTTTGTCAGACAATACTCTCATGCATTCTAAGCACAATGGCTGTTCAACCTAAGAACTCAAGAAAAGGGGAAGGCAAAACATATTATCAGGTCCACGTGACTTCTATGTATCCAATCCAACTAAATTTAATGCGACTATTAATGATTCCAATTTATCCAGCAGATAAACTCTTTAATAAAGAACCATAACTAGACTGTATCATACCTGTGTCTGAGTTCTGGCAATATCGAAAGCTCGTGTTAAGACATTGATGGTTGCATTGAAGCCGGAATTATTTGAATGCAATGGACCATTTTGGCCCACTTCAAGTGATAGATTATGAGAACCACCTGAATCAGAAGCTGGCTCAGACTTGTACACGACTACAAACGATTCTTCCATCGCCTTTCCAGATTGAGTTGCATCAGGCTGAGCTGACGCCCCACGGGGACGTGGAGGAATGCCCTGAGCTGGAGGCTTCTGACGAGGTAAGACAACAAAAGAGTTGTCCATCCGTGTTGAACCAAGCACACTGTTAGCTCCATGGATGGAGGAGCCCTGCATTGCTGGAAGTAACAATCACATTCATTCATTATGAGAGACTTTACTAAGAACCATTTTAACACATCATGAGAAAAAGCACATGGACAATTCATTACATATAGGTCTGTTACTGATTCTCATAGTAATAACTTCTAATAAAAACAATTGCAGGAAGAAAATAAATCACTACATACAATCTGACCAAATAGAGAAAGTTATAGTGAACAAACTTAGTTAGATAGGTAAACAAGAACCTAAGGCAATCATTGTGTATATTAAAAAAATGTTGATATCTATAAGGAACAAGAATCAGATTACCAAACATGAATTTCCTGAACTCTTGATCCCCTCTGAACGATAGCAACAGTTTTTTTTTTGTTTTTTTTTCCAAGTTGTATGTAAAAGGGAACGAGAGAGGGAAGAAGAAGGCCTAACCGGAATGAGGGGAATCATTGAAAAACTTGCCGGCGTAGGAATCGACGCCGACGATGGTAAGGGAGTGGTGACAGTTTTGGCAGACCCATTTCGGCAGATTCGGATCGACCGGGATTGTCCGAGTTTTATCCAGAACCTCCTCTTTCCTCATCACTTCACTATTTGGGGGGGTTTAAAGTTTTAACACAAGAGGAATCAATCTAGGGTTGGGTTTGGGTTTGAATTTCTCTACCAGGCGATATAAATCCGATTACTTCCGATACCAAATATGATGAATTGAAGACTTTGATGATGGATGTTGATAGACAAAACTCACAAGGAAGCTATAATATTGGTTAGAAGTTACCTTGACCCGAATCTGGGTGTGAAATACAAGTCCGTATCCTTAACTTGATAAAAACTGGACTTGAGGCCCAAATTAGTTGAAGCCCGTTAGTATTGGCCTCGAACTCTGGCTTCGTTTAGGTGACGCTGATAAACTACACTCACTCGCTAAGAAAACGCGTGTTTCGCACGTAAGTCTTGGAGATTTGACAAGAGGAGGAGAGATTGAGCCGGCAAGATCTGAAGGTGTGCGAAGAAGAAGGTCGTCGTGTTACCAAGGCAATGGAGGTCGAATCCTGGATAGCCACAGGACGAAGATTGCTTGGGAAATATCCAGAAAGGGAAGCTGACATCATCAGAGGAACTGTAGCAACGTTTTGGTTCTGAGTCATTTACGAGAGGGAAGAGCGAATTGTTTTGAGGAAGTCATAATGTGGCTAGGCACTCAGGGAATTTTAACTTTGTAACTACTTATAAAATAATAGAAAAAAGTTAGAGAACAGGAGTAAATATCTAATTTTGCAACAGAATTGTCGACTTAAAATCTTCTTACATTCATTGGTATGTGTTTCGTATAGAGAAGAAGTTCAGTAATCTTTCATCTTTTTCTTGGAACATATTGTAAAGCTGTAAGCTTATAATGAGCTAATGTTTATCTTTATTTTACTGAAGTGGTAAAGGATTTGATTACCAGATATACTTAAAGCTTTGTGCGACTTTGAGACAAAGCACTGTGAAGGAATCAGAGAAGCTGCTGGGAGATTCTGATGGAAACAATGTCACCGTCTGTTCCTGCTTTCATTGTATGGTACTTCACAAGGATTCCTGCAATTTTTAGATTTGTAAAATAATTGTAATTGTATTTCTTTCTTCCTAGATAAAGATGGTTGATTATGTAATGTGATTTGGACATATACCTTCATTTTCTTGCAGCCTTGTGTGAACAGCGACAGCATGGGGTGCGATAACTGCTTTAGGTTGGGAATCATTTGGCTCTCCGGTCCAAGACTTGAGGTTGAGAATACCTATAGAGGTTTCATGTGAAAGGTATGAGATGGAGAATGATTTGAGGATGAAGAACCATAAGAGTTTATCTAGGATTTCAGTTACCTGAGGATGAAGATTCTTTAAGGTGTTTGAGATCAAATATGGCTCCACAAGCTGCACCTGCGTCTTTCTGTAACTTATGAGATCCAATAAGATTGTATTCCCAGCTTCCATCTTTGTAGCCTTCACTAAGGAACAGTTCAAAGTGCCTAGCATCAAGTGTTTGCATTGTTCCTACACAGTAAATAGAAACACTCTTAGTTATAATTTCGTCATTGCAGAGACTAAAAGACTAGCATCAATACTAAAGTTTCAGCAACAGATTTGAGTTGATTAGTGTCTTTTACCATCACAGGTACTGAGGTCACAAACAGGGCAACGCACAAGCTGTAAATCTGGAATTAGGATAAGCCATGTTATAGTTTTTCCTGTTGTTGATAAGTTTTTGAAGATCATGAATAAATGAAATTTCTTACCTGCAATCCAAATACCGCTTTTGATCTCGTTGATAACACATGAACCACTGGAATGTAACATTTGTTCTATGGTTCCTTCCCTTGGGACTTTCAGACGACCACTCAAACTCTCAGTCAGGAGTGAGGTTCGAGAGTCAAGAACAAAGGCACCAATCCGCATCCAATCTATAATTACAGTGTCAAAACCAGATAAAAGTGAGGCTGTGATCAGCAAATGAGTACTTCAAAGTCAAAGATTTTGACTGTGATGATGTTTATATCACTTCCATAGAGAATCAACATATATCCTGGTATCTTATATTAACATGACTTTTTGACAATTAGTAGACTAAGAGAGTATGATGAACCCAATTCAGGGACTAACCAATATGCTTCTCCTTCTGACGGGACAAGTAAGAGTGACTCCCATCTGCAGTTTTCCATATTGTTTCTAAGTTTACAATTGTATAAGAATGTATAAGTTGGAAGTTGATGTGAATGTCATTCTTACCAAAAGCTGAAGCATATATCTTAATCCAGCTGGAAGAAACTGGAAACGTCTCAGGGACCTGAAGATCACGCAAGCAGACAAACCTCCAAACTGTATCCTCCATTACGATCTTGTTGAACCATTTGTTTGTTGCTCCCAGCATCACCAATGATTTACCATCCAAAAACCTTGTAATGTATGTCCATATATCTTGCTCAAACCTGTTTCAGCAAAGAAAATTATAAAATAACGCTGAAAATGGAGACTTAGATCTACGAAACCTGATTCGTAATTGGAGAGACTAGCGATTGATTTTCAAATTCTTCCTCGTTAGTATCTGGATTCAGTTTTTGATAATTGAAAGCGAAGAAATATGAAGAATAACTCAAATCCCAGTTTCCATCAACCACACAATCATGGACAGAGATCGATATACACAACTAATTCTCATACAAATCAAATTGATTCCGAGATTTCTTTTCCAGAAGGTGACGAAGATGATTGATCGAACTCCATATCCTAGATCCATCAAATACAGTAAGATTAAACACCGTACAAGCATTTCAAATTCAAATTGGAGCTCAACCCAAGCTCAGACACAAAAACTATTCAAACTCAGATCTATTTCGCTCATCAATTCGAAATTTCGAGTAGTCTAGAGAGAGGGGAAGAAAAAATACCATGAGAAGCGAGACTGGTAAGTATGAGCAGAGCACCGAGGAGATACACAGCCATGGATTCCTCTGAGGATCTTCCCGTTCTTCAGTTCATTGCTCTGAACGATTCTTCTCTTCGCTCTACCATCGTCTTCTCTCTGAAGATCGTTGCTCTGCGCCAATTTTCTCTTCCGTCCACCATTTTCGTCTCCCTCTGGAGCTTTCCTCTTCCCTCCACTCTCTCCTTCAACATCACTAGATCTCAACTTCATTCTTCGTCTCTCTCTCTCTGCTCACTGAGTATCTCACTCGTCACTAGTTTGTTAAGAATTTGTTTCAAAATTTGGTTTTAGCTCTGAACCGTGTAGCTGTGATATATACCCGCGAGGGAGACACAGCGAATTTTTGAAAAAATTTCATGTCAAAAATGACGTCTATACCCCTGTAACAAACTTTGTGGGGCCGCCTCTTTACAATTCGAAATCGGCTTGAACTTCGAATCCGGTTCAGCATCACCAGATGAAACCTAAACCAAGCCATAATTTTTCTTTTCTACCCAGTGTGATTTGCCGTTTTCATGAAAAAAATAAGATCGGCATAGTAAATTCGACATAGCTTATAGAAACTTTGGGTACCGAAACTATATAAATGCAAGATACTAAAAAGCTATAGACACTTGAACATTCTGTGGACCTTTAGGGTCGAATCAAAATTAATGTCTTCTTTCTCTATGGAGGTTTTTTCCTAGAGTTGGTTAATTCTACAAATTTACAAAATTGCCACGCCGGCTAATGTACGCAGCGAGCACACACTTTAACCGGTGTAACTAATGAATCAATCGGGAAGAAGTCAGCATGAGCTAGCCACCGAGTAAAAAAACGGTTAACTTCCCACCGTCGTTACTGTTCAAATTTGCAGCAAGTTTGAACGTTTGCAAGAATGGTTTAGACTTCAGACTTAAAAAGCTCTATCTAGTTCATGAATTTGCGGCAGTTCGGAGCTTTACAAAGGCAAGGCACTTTGATTTCTTCAGATTCATCAACCTCAAAGAGATAATCATACCTGTAGAAAAACGGGTTTTCATTGTTAAGGTAATCAATGTGTAAAAATCGGAATTCTATGAAAAGAGAAGCTTATTTTTTGTATTTACGTAAGCTCTTCGCCAGCTGAGACATTGGTCTTTGCAATGAGGACGATTCTGTTGTCTTCGCCATCACCCATACTCACTATACGGGCATAGCAATTGGGCATACACTGCACAAGACATGACCATCGTTAATATTAGATACCAGGCTTCGGTATCATGTGTCCATTCACAGAACTTACTGAATGATTGATCAAGCGTGCTATGTTTCCAGAGTCTGTGGCATCAATCACTATCTCTTCGCTTATCTTAAATAGCTGCGTTGTTAAACAATAAGTTTTAACCATTAGATGCAGCTGATAATGTTGAATGTAAGCAAGCAATCAGAACTTACGTAACAATCTTTGCCTTGAGAACGGTACTTTGCCTCTCTCAGATCTGCAACACTTCTCCTAACTTTCACCCCTAGATACTCGATAATCTACACAGGAATTTCAGTATCAGTAGTTTGTTTAAGATGCACATTCAGTTTGGCCATCGAAATCATGCGTTATACGAAGTAAACTAAATACCATTTCTCCCTCTTGAATACTTGTCCTTGCAAACAGACCCCATCCATGTATGCCAGATTTACCAAAGCAGACCCGCAAACTTTCCGTCCTCTGAAGAAGATATATTGTTTATAATGTTCTAGGATAAATAGATGGATATTAACTCTTCTTGAATCAATGATTACCTGCAAATGTTTTAGCCGGTCTCTGAATGAGAGAAAATCTGCTTCCTGTTGTAACAAGGTAAAAGGAAATTAAGATCTTACTGAGATATCCAAAAAAAGATGCCCCAAGAAAGAGTTGAAATAGTTTAGATGAATCTAGTTCTGAATGAGAAAGTTGCCTTAAAAGAATTTAGATTCTCGATTTCAACCAAAGAATGATGGCTTGGTCCCTTGAGCCTGTGGTATATCGCCTCCAGATCAATCTTCTGAAACATCAGAGCAGTAACAGAGATGAAATAGTTTCTTTGCCGAGACATACTTAAGAATGAAAGACTATCCAATGTCCAAGAATAAACAAGATCCCCAAAAGCATACCTTTGTGTTTGATCTACGATATATACGGCATCTTGCTGCAGACTGAGAATCAAATACATGACTCTGTTCAGCTTGTGTTTGGATTTCGGAACCTGGAACCTTTATCTTCTTAGTCATAACAAGTCTTGAACCTTTGGTGCGCCCATTTTGATTCTGAAGCAAATTTCTAGAGCCAAATACTCCTGAGGGTGTGTGCACAACTACAACACTATTTGGATCTGGCTTCCTACATAGTGGTAAAATGATACAGGCAATTAGTAAGTCCTCGTATCGCATAACAGATCAATTATAGAATATGTCGAAAAAACAAAAAACAAACCTGTGAAAAGAACAGTAAACTGATTTCCTGGTTCTCTGCACACCATTTTTCTCCAGGCAGTGCAACTAAATTTCAATAGACAACAGTATCAGTTACATATCCCTAAAAAGATTTTCTCACAGAACACCGTTGAAAGGGAACTAAGGTGAAATATGAAGAGTATCATCAGCACATAGAGATCAAGTAGTTTAAGGACTAACCTCCATGTTGTAACCTGCCCGTGATGCACACATTGCGTGGAAGTGAGTGGCACACTTGCAGCAATGCACGCAGGAACCATGTGTCTGCTTACAAATTGTGCAAACCTAAAAGGAAAAATATCAGATGTGTATTATTAGAAAAAATTTCATTATTGTTTCTACTTCTACCATTTCATTATACCTTAAGAAATGAATTTGCTGGAATTTTAAAAAGTCCAACAGCAGGCTCCATAGTTTCATGATTCAGAAACCCAACTTCCGGTCGGAACCAAGCACATGTTACATGAACCCAAAAACCCTCGACATCGCTTGGTTTTAAAGCACCGCCTGCATATATGGAAGAGAAATTGTGTTTAACTATCATGACGGAAACAGAGATATGAAAATGAGTTCAAATTATAACACCTTTGTACCCAAAACGACAATTCTACGACTGAGTTTACTTAACTTGACCTTGTGAAAGGACAGTCAATAATAAACCATTACTATAGCAAGATTGTGGGAAAGGGGGGGAATCATAAAGATAGCTACTTCTGCAGTAATACCTTTTACAGGACAAAGACAACACTCTCTCTCAATATCTGGTGTTTCACATGCTCTACATACCCAGGAGGTGAGGTCTTGTGATTTGCTTACCCCATAGCATTCTTGGTGCACAGCCACCTGACATCTAAAGACATATTCATAATACTTGTCAGATTTACATATTTATGACATCAAGTTAGTTATAAGACCGCTGTAGAATTCAGTATAACCAAAAATGCCAAAAATTTACCTGTTACAGATGATCATTTTATTTTCTTCCCAGTCTTCTACCCATCTGCATACAGCACACCTTTCAGTTGTCCACTTAGCACTGACTGGCTCATACTTTTCTGTGCATACAAAATAAGTAGTAAGCAAGTTTCAAACCAAATTTGAATTCCAAAAGAAGGGACCCAAGAGTTGAGCTATAATCTACCTTCCAGCAAAGAGAGCATCTTCTGCTTATCTAACATCTGGGTTTCTATAGTGTAGGTACTAAACTCTGCAATCTGTAATATATTGTTGTCAGTATTAAATCTCTTACATGCAAATTTCAGGGGTATATAAGGGCAATTTTATGAGAGATTGTAGCATAAGGGCTGTACCCATTTTTCTAGAGGTAGCATTGTGCCTTTCACTCTTACGCTATACTTCCACTTTTTTGCTCTGCAGCCCGTATGCCGTTCCCATTCACTTGGTGACTGCTTCCTTGACCCACATGAACCACACTTGCACTCAATTCTGAAAACAATAGTAATGTGTTGGTCTAATCTCTAAAACAACAAGAGAATAACAGGAGCGTAGGATTGATCATGGAATTATTGTGTTGCATAGTTATAAACATACAAGATCCTTTCTAAATGAAGAAATTGAAACAAGGCTGAGACATCTAATACGTACGCATGAAGTTTTCTGATATACGTTCCTTCCATGCCATTACAGACTACAGTAACCTCATCAGGCAGCTCAGTCTCTGTCACCTTTTCTGTAGACCTGTCCCAAAGAGGTTGTGATGAGGAAATTTCGCAGATTAAAGAATTAGCGTAGAGAAATGCAAACAATCAAAGCAGGAGAGCATGAGATGTTAACAACATACTTGAACACTGAGTTCTGTTCTTCTAATAATGCTGGTGAAATCTCATGCCGACCTTTACAACTTGGGCAATAGTAATTGTTGTGCTCCAGTTCCTTAAGATAATAACCAAATCAGTGCAACCGTTCGACAAGAGCCTTACAATACTTAGAATCAAAAGTTAAAGATGCACATAGATGTACCTTAAAACGCTTGTTTGAAATGTTGTCGCACCCAGCATGTACCCATACATCACACCCATCACAACAAACCTAATACATTAAATCAAGTCAGCTACATAGATATAATAATTTCTTACTCAGGTCCGTATTTAACCAAGCATGGTCACATATATTCTCACCCAATCTCCATCATCTGAAGGGTGCCATATTCTCTTGCAAATGCCACAATACTGATTGGATTTCCGCAACTGAAACAAAAAAATTTGGTTTATTCCTTTTATTAGCAAAAGACAAGAGAAAACCAAAGAGTAAGGACAATTAAGAACCTTAGAACAGTGTTTGCATAAAAGCTCTTCAGGTTGTGACCCTTTTGTCCTTTTTAGAGATTTTAATGGCATTACTGAGCCACAACCGTCACAGGTCGTTATGTCTGCATGACATGAACCCTACACAAATTGAATCAGCATATCGTTATAGGGGATGCACTCCAATATTTGTTGATGAGATGGATACAAGTACAACATCACAGATGTAGGTGGCGATGAACTACACAGGATGCTTAAAGTTGTACAGAAGTTGTCCTTAATTGATTTGCATTGTCTTCCTAAATCACTAAAACACCAAACCTGAAAATCTAACCCAAAAAAAATGAACACGTGTCAAGAAAACGTGCCTGAGTTTTAGAAGTAGGCCCATACTCCTGGTCGGATTCAGTCGCAGAGGAATCTGGGCAGCTAATTTCAGCAGCTCCAAAATTACCCTCGACCCCATTTTCTGCCAAAACTGCTTCCTCTAGTGCCTTCTTAAATTCACTTGGTTTGTAATTGTACAAGTTTGTCTGATCCTGAAATCTGAAGAGATGAAAGACTTAAGGAACAGAAACAAACAGGCAATTATGAAAGAATCAAGAGAGAGCGTCTCATGAACTTACTTGTCCATAAATTCCGTAAACGGATACATCATTCCTTGTCTTACCCATGCATAGTCCTGTTAATGACCATAAGTTTCAGAAAAAAAGATCGAACAAATAAATGCATCAAACGGAGGGACAGAGAGATTAAGGAGATACCCTCTGAGTTCCATTCTTGGAATACCCAAAAAACATGACACATATTGCTCCAGGGACGCAATGTTTCAAGACCGCAGTAGGCGCTTGTGATAATGGATCGATCACCACAGCCGGCCATGCTGGGAATTTTTTCCCACACTTGGCCCAGACAAGATCGCCGACCGTAAAGTCCTCTGGTTTGTACACGCCCTTACGCGTGGCGTCGGACTGGTTCAGCATTCCAGAATTAGCGTCGTCGGAGGAAGACAACGTGGAAATTTTAACATCCCACCCATCAAAATCTACTTCGCTGCTGTCTCCGTTATCCTTACGTGGAATCAGCTTCGAGCCTTTGCTGCGATTCAGTCTCGAGCTTCCACTGAAACCTTTGGCCTTCTTCCCGAGATATGCATCGTCATCATGGCTAGACTCCGTCGACTCGACCTTACGACGGCTGACTTTCCATGAACCAACAACCGAATCGCTGAACCTTGAAGGAACCGCTCGAACTCTGCCCCGCGAAGACTTGGACTGGTCTGAGACCGGCTGAGAATCTTTACTGGTCAAGGAGCTTGAGCTACTGGTAAGAAGTTCGGGTTCTGAACATGGTTGATCCACGGTTGCTCTTTGTCTCTTCTTATACACCATAATCTCACCCTTTTTGCTCCCATAATCAATTTCTGAATCAATTTTGCACCTCTTCAGATTCTGATTCTCGAATGTCAAGGTCCGTTTCAAAATCATGTCCCAACTCAACGATTCTGGGCTACTCAGCATAAAGGACCATCCAAATTCCGACTCGAAAACCCTAATTTCATCAAACAAACAGATTCGCTCCTCAAACCTCCGGGAAAGAAAAAGAAAAAAACCTCGAAACGTGTTCAATTCCTCTCGCAAATCGGCTCAATACTCGATGAACCCAATGCGAAACCGCTACTTGAACCCTAAATTCGAAATCCTCGGAATTCGTATGTTTCCCCTCTGAGGATAGAACTAAGAAATCAAACGACGGAGAAACAGACGACGGAGAAACAAAGCAAACACTCGTCGTTAAAAACCTACGAAAATTATAAGTCTGTTTTATCACTACGGAGAAGATAAAAACCCAAAAGCTCCTTGAAAAATTCGACGGCGAAGGAAAACAAAAAAAGGAGGAGAAGGATCTTGTTTGGGTTTGAGCGTCTGTTCTGGTGAAGGAGACACAGACCGTCGGTTTATATATTTTCCCTATTTATTTTACGGTTAATTTGTGAAATTAATTCGCCTAAACAACAATAAAACGAAAATTATAATTCGAGTAATGCTGACGTGGCGGTGCAATGGAACAGTGTTTGGCTCCAGGGATTGGGGACGGAGGGAAGACTACGAAATTTCAGGCCTACAAGAGCGCCAAGTCGAAATCTTCTTTTTCATTCTATCCGACGTGGCGCTTCACTAAATAACTCTTCTTTTTATTTTTTTGAACAAATTATGTGAAAAAATAAAAAGGTTTGTTGGGCCTATATTTTCGCGATATACCACATATTTGGGCCTATGTTTATTTCTTTTATCAGTTTAGGTTTCTTTTCGAAATGAAGTTTTTTCCTATCATTAATTAATTTATAAACATGTAGGCTTTGTTTATCTTATGAAAAAGTTTCTCATCTTTACGATCCTGCAAGTTAAATTTTTTAAAAGTACATGTACAGTATAGTCTTGGTTTTAGTTTCCATATCTTATAAATTTATAATTTTATAGAATGCAAATGGTTGCTAAGATAAAATGTTTACCAAATAAGTCAAAATGTTTTAGATGTTTAATTTGTTCCAACTCCATTTTAAGTAACTTGGAAACAAACATTTTTAAAAAAATTTCAATGAAAGCAAATACGTGTATTTCCATGTGGTTCTTAATGCAAACCGATCTGCTCAAAATTATACACCAGCACCAACAACAAGAACCTTCAAAACTCAACTTACATCTTAAACGAGAACAAAGTAAGATCCAAAAAGAAACAAACCTTTTACAAAGAAACAATCATATAATGGTCGCCGGAATTTATAAAAAAAAACAAAAAAAATCACTTATCGACCATAATGATATTAGTCATTAGCCAAGAACATGGAAAAAAATAAAAAGAGCCTTTATATATGTACAAGAAACAAATGAATGACGATCTTGAATCAAACACTAGTAGAACTTGGATGTGCCTCAAAAGAGGGAGGGGTGTGAGAAGATGGTGAACCAATGGAGCCACGAATTCTGAATATTTCAAGAACAATAAAAGCAAGTAATGTCACTGACAACACAAATCCATATCCAATTTTCCAGCCATCTCCTCCATTATTCGCCATTCGAATTCCAAGAAAAATGTTCACAGCTCCAAAGAAGAGAGAGATTCTCCCAATCCAATGATGATACCAATTCCAATATCTCCTCATCTTTGTCTCCTTCTGTGGCCGTGCAAAGAAAGCCAAAACCTGTAAAACATATGGTTCAGCCAAAGCTTAAAATTTAAAACCCTTATCCCGATTCTTAAACTCTAGAGAGAGTACTTCCAAGTCTTGATTCTCAAACCTGAAGAATGCTAAGGACTAGAAGACAGATCCCAATGCCTCGATGAGCAGGTATAATCGGCTGGATCCTATTGTAAAGCTGAATCCCGAGAATAACAGCAGCTAAACCGAAGATAAATCCCGTGAATTGAAATCCGATATGAAGATAGTACCAAAGAGGGTCTTTATGTCTAAGATATCTCGCGAGGATTGCCCCTACAGGAAGTAAGAAACCCCATCCCAGTATCGCCATTACTCCATGTTTTGTCATCTCCGTAGAAGTTGTCGTCTTTATGGAGGTTGCTCCACTCGCTGCATAGACCAAGAACACACGAGACACTGAGTATTAGATTGTCTAAACGACTATATATGGACTTTACTGTTATAAAAGTTTGCACTATGTATTAGACTGTCTAAACGACTATATATGGACTTAGTGTTTTACTATATTTCAGTGTTTTGCAAGTTCATGTTCATACACATACCTTTGGAGAAATCGACGATGACTGTAGTTTTATCATCATGCTTAGTCAAACGGCCTAGTTTCGAAGGATAAGCGGTGCTAAACGCTAGAATCACAGCTCTCCGAGGAACTCTAACGGCGAATTTCACCTGAAAAGCTAAGTAAATCATTGCTCCGTGAAGAGCCACCACCGGAGGCACTTTTTGTAGTTGCAATTCTCCTTGATCCGGCACAACTTGGTCTCTCTCCGTTCCTTGGAGATAGTATTGTTTGATTTTGGCGTGACCCTTTTTCGAAATCCACCCGATCATCGCGCTTGATCCAACCATTCTTCCGTCTTTCGAGAATCCTATCCCGACCCACCCGGTTGTGTATAAAGCTGATACTATGATCGTCATCACATTGTCTCTGTTTTCTGAGTACTGCAAAACAAAGACATTGGAAAACCAAAAATATTGGATCATCAAAATCATGGCTTTATTGAAAATCAGAGAATTATCAAGTGAAATGGAAGATTAGAGTCGTTGCTTAATAAAAAATTAGAGAAATTGAAAATCGAAATTGAAAAGCAGAGCAACAATTAGAAAACAATCAAACTCATGAGGTTACTGAAAAGTTGGTTATTGTTTATTGCGTACCCGTAAAACGAATGTGTTCCAAAGAGGAGTACATGGCATGTTATCGGAGATATTGCTGTACGGTGGAGGGAGAAAATCGGATAATCGGTTAGCAAAACAGAGATTCTGGGTAGAATCGTTTATGGCATTGCTGTCATCTGCAGCTAGAAAGGGCAGGTCTTTTCCGATAAGGAGACAGAGGAGATAGAACCCGAGGAAGGTTCTCATAGTTGGAATCGAAGCAGGGACGAGAAGGAGCAAGGGCGGAGCGAGGAACGATGCGGAGGGTGTTTTTGGTGTTGGTTGCTTGAAGAAGAGTGATTGAGTTTGGTGGTGAAAGTGGTTGAAGATGGCGATCAATCATAATCATCTAAATTGTTTTAAATCAGCTCCCCGATTGGATTTTGAGAAAGATACTGGAGTTGATGTTTCACTGGTTAAGTATCGGACAATTTATGTCCCCTCTGTCACTTAACCGACACGTGAACCGACAAAAATATACCAAGATGCGATGAAATAATTGCTTTTTGCCAGTTAAAACAATTGTCAATTGCTATTTGAGGTTGAGAAACTATATTTTTTAAGATATTGAGAATCTGGAGTCTCTTTTTTGTGTGTTAACTTTGCTTATTTGAGGGGAAAAAGAAGAAGACAGAGATGGGAGAGAGAGAGTGGGGTCGTAAACTGGACCAGAGTGGGAAGTGGATCAGTCTTAGTCTGAATCATAACTCATTAGGTATATTTGGTCAGGATGATGCCACGCTCATCAACATCATCTTTTCTTCTTTTTCTCTTTTTTTTTTTTTTTAGGGAGGAGATATTGGAACAAAACTTAGAAACAAAGTAACTAATTAACCTAAGTTCTTTACTTGTGATTTTTTAAAACTTTCATTATTTTGATACGAACCTTTACAGCTTCAATGAGTACCAATCACACAAACAAAGTTCATTTGTTAATTCTAAACACAAACGGGAAAAGAAAAGAAAATATTTGGTGTCATTGGAAAAGCTAAGTCAGTCTAAATATTTTGAGTTAGACTGTAACATCAAACAATATGGGGATGTAGCTCATATGGTAGAGCGCTCGCTTCGCATGCGAGAGGCACGGGGTTCGATTCCCCGCATCTCCACATTTGTTATATTGTTTTTTTTCCCCCTTCGGAACCTTTTTGTTTATCTTCTTCGAATCCAGAGACGTTCACATGACTTCTACTAGTTCTTTTTGTAATAATAATTTGATCAACATATCCCTGCCCCAACTACATCCTCTTACAAAACTTATTCAGAAACAATGTCAATTCGAACACCAAATAAAAAGACAAATGAAGAAAAATAAACAAAAAATGAAGAAGGAACGTCTACTACAGAAACAAAAAAAAAATGTGAAGTGTGAAGAAGTATATCTACTTGGACCAAGCAACTGCTTCAATATCCGTCTGAGCACTTCTATACAGTTCCAGCCTCTTTGCAATTGAAGTCCTTCGCTGCTGAACTGCAGGATCCTCATCCAACAATTTCGACAATTTGCTCATCTATATTCAACACCAAACCATTTTAACATTCTTACTCATATAGTAATATGTTATACATTTGTCAATTTGCTTAGATAGGTTTAGTAATAATGGCTAGTGCATTACCTCTTTCTGGCCAAGCTCGGTGAAGAAGAAGTCAAGAAGGCTTCGTTTTGCTTCACGGACTTGACAGTAAACAATCGATTTTGGTATGGAGTTTCTCAACCCAGCGCAGACCATGTTCACATAAGACAACACATTCGAGCCGATTCTTCGGAGATAAGCATCGTTGTATCTGTCGAATATTGAATGTGTCGGATTCCCACCTTTTTCTGAATCTTGTGGGAGTTTCCTGAAGAACTCAACCGTTAAGTAACCAGATTCCATGTCCACTAGTAACAGAGTTGCTTTCCTGCTCTCTTCTCTCATTCGATCCAATGAATCCACGGCTGCACCTGATACTTCCACTCTAAGTGTTGGATATTGTTTCAGTTCCTGTTGTGATGATGAAAAAGAATAATATATAATCATGGGTTAAAAGTGATTCTGATTTTGAACTCTGTTGAGACCTGAGAGAGATTATCTTACAGATGTTTCGCCAATGGACTTGTGGATTAGATCCTTAAGAATGGAATGAACCGCATCAACAGCTGCTTCAGCAGGGCCTCTAATGGAGACTAAGCATGATTCTATGAGACGACGATAACCTTGTTCAGGAGCTATGAGATGAGGTTGATATCCATCTGCTTCAGTGATCAGTTTCCGTACATTGTCCATGGAGAGATGCTTGTCGAATTGCAGTCTTTTGATAGCAGCTGGGAATTGATTGTCAAACACAGAATTTATCTTTTCACCACCTGAACGTCTGTGAGGTTATTAGTGGTAATCATAAAGCCAGAAAAAAGCATTAGCAACAATCCAGAAACATGCGGTGACTTACGTGCCATCGAGGTGTTCTTTAAAAGTTTGATCAAAAGCACGGCAAATTTCCATGATCATATAAAGTTTTCCCTGCATTCAAGAGAATGGGTATTAACGAAGGAGGGATTTAAAATGAGAGAAGAAACCGAAGAATGAAAGGCAAAAAAGGTCCTAAAGACATAAGATCCTTACACCAGCGTCAGCTGCTACAGGCTTTCCAAGACGGCTTAGCTCTGTCTCTAACTCCGATATTGTCTTTGTGATAAGAGACTGCAGTCCTGGGATTCTCGACTTGATAACAACTTCCAAATGCTGAAAAAGGTATAGCTATTTTTAGAGAAACTACCAAACCTTTCATGTGATAAGCTTCATATACACCAAGCTTCTCAATTATATACCTTAGAGAGCATTTTTCCTAAGTACTCTGAACCCATTCTTTCAGATAAATGTCTATATTCTGGGCTAGACTGGAAGTAATCACGTTCACGCCGACGAGCAGCAATCATATCAACACTTTTATTGATGTCAGCTTGAGACCGGTTTACAACACCAACCCAAGGATATCTTAATTTGTATCCCCTTCCTTCAAGTATCTGAAATCTCCAAACATTTAAAACACCTAGGACTCTTTAATATTACTCACCACTATTTAGTAAGATTCTCATATTTAATCTTCATTGTGTCTTTTTCATATTGCAGTCAGAGATAAATTGTTGTCTGAATATAAACTTACATCAACAGCATTAGTGCCTTGGTCCATGAGATCAATTTTAGTTAAAACTCCAAAAGTCCTGTCTCCTGATAACAGCAAGTGCAACAAAGCAAACATTAAACAAAATGAATCAATCAATTCAAAATAATATCAAGGTATAGTAGTTGCAAGGATGGTCGTCTTCGTTTACTATAGATAATTTCAATATAAGATAACCACTAGCCACTGACCACGCAACTCAATCATATATACAAAGCTCCATAGAACGTAGTTGTATCAAAATATAAAAAGGGAAGAATATGTCACCTTTTGGATCAACTTCACGAGAGATCTTAATGGCATCAGATGTAGCAAGATCCTGATTTGCAGGGGAAATAGCTAGTATGATGCAGTTGGGCTGTCAAAAAGTGAATGATCAATCTTTGTTACTCTGCTTGAACAATGCTTTAGAGGATAAGAGCATCATTCTTCTACAGTTGTATTCTGCTACTTTCTTTCAAATCAGAGTTACCTTCTCAATAAACGATCTGACCATGTTCTCGATGTCTTGAACAATGCTTTCAGGCTGACCATCTACCACATCATTGGCACCAATTTTTCATTAATGTTTGTCAACAAAGAGGACTTGGGTTGTGGGATATCACAGGAAAAACAAAGACTAGCTCACTTACCAACAGCTACCTTTGTCAGCCCAGGAAGATCGACAAGTGTCAAATTCACAACTACAAACATAAGGAAATAAAAGTGTTAAGCATGGAGACTGGAAGACAAATGGGAAAGATGGTAGAAAACATAAACTAAGATTTGAATGGATTCCTAAAGTAGGCTCTTAATGCAAATGTAGGCTCTTACCATTGGGAGAGAAGATACTGAGATGAATTGGAACTGTAGATATTACTTTGCTGCAGCGACCAGTTTCACGATCTGTCTCGTCCGAGATCTCCTGCCTCACAGCAGCTACATACCAAGATAGAAGAAATAAAGATCTCAAACTTAAGAAAACTAGATGAGACGGATCTTTTGAAACTGGTCACAAAGATAATAAGGAGCTACTCCTCCCAAAGAAATATACCAAAATCAGAGAACTTCTTCTTTGGAAGATGCATAAACTCAGCATACTCTTTGCCTTCATCAATTCGATGGAGCTGCAGGACAAGAGGTCTACGTGTAACAATCCCTACAAGGACGACATTGTTGTTCTAAGTAACTGGTATATCAGAAGATGAATCTTGAGTTAATTACCATATACTTTGTAATCTGTTGATATTGGTCTAAGCAAGCTTACCAGCTCCACGAGGTAGAAAATCTTTCCCTACAACGCTCTCTAGCACTGAAGACTTTCCAGAACTCTACAATTTCATCAAATCAATTGGATTAGTTACACACATTGCATTGATACGCAACAGCTTCTGATTAAAAGCAAAAGATCTCAAAAATTTTCACTCAATCGAAAGACTAATCACAAATTTTCCCATTGGTCTCGAAGACGATACTAACGTCATAATGAATTTGGATCAATTCAACGATGCAAGGGGAAGGTATCAGACGATAACCCCAAACGAGATCAGATTATTTCTGCGGACTAAAACCCAAAATGTACGGAAAGGCAATGCATAAGACTTAAAGGTAAGGTCACCGATTCAAAAATTAAATCAGGAAAAAGAGACCAAACCTGACCACCGACGACGGCGATTGCAGGCAATGAGTCCCAGAGAGTTGGGAGGGAGCTTCCTTCGCCGTGATCTCCCAGAGCTGTACAAGCTCGCTGTATCTTGTTCACAAGCGCAATCAAGCTCTCCATAATGAAATCAGCTCCGATTACTAAACAGGGGAATCAACTTTCCGGCGAGATTTGGTCTCCGACGGGTCCGTAAGAGGAGGAGAAGAGAACGCAAAAACGTTATAATAACCGCGAGAATTGCTTGCTATCGTCCAGGCGACCGTTGAATTTTTCTTAGAATTATATAGAGACCAAAGTTTCATTATATATCCAAAATACCCCTTGTTGAAATAGTCAAACCTTGTAGCAAGGCCTAAGGCCCAATAAATAACATTCAGCCCATAATTACAAATGATTAATCGTCTTTTGGACCTAAATACGCAAAAAGACAAAAACAAAAAAAGACCTGCACATTTTTGGGTATATACTTTTAGATGTTCCGTGTCACGATACTGGAATGGGTATTTCCGTTATATTCTTTTGTCTACCACCACACAATTTATATGTTAATTACCAAAAAAAAAAAGAAAAAAAAAAGTGTTTTAATCAACAAAACTAATCTTTTCTTTCTTGAAGAATTAAGATTATGCAGAGAGATTAGGCCCACTTGGTTTGAAGAAATCTCCAATCTTTCTTCGCCAAGTCTCCACACACTTGTGTTTTTTCAATCTCTCTGTATGTCGCAGAAGAGGAGTAGTAGCAGCAGCAACTTTATTCTCTCATGGAGTCTCTTACTACATCAAATCCTTCCTTCGCTTGTTTCTCTAAAACTGTATCTCATTACCCTTCTCGGATATCCTTTGTAAAGCTAGCTTCTATCCAAAAGTTCGAAGCTTCCAACAACAACACCTTATCCTTATTTTGCTGTAAATCTTCTTCCTCTTCGACTCCCAAACCAGATTGGGGCAATCGTCATATCAAGTTAAACCCTTTTTGTGTGTTGCGCCCAATCATTCGAACAATAAAGGGTTTGGTTTCTTCTCAGTCCAGGCTATGGATGTCTCGTTTCCGAGCTTACAGAGACGATACGGCGGCGTTTTCCGAGGACATGGCCGGAGATTTGAAGCACAACGGTGGGTTAGGGATTGCCCTTTTGAGCGTTACGGCTTCGGCTAAGATTAAGATTAGCCCTTTCGTTGCGACGCTCTCGGCGAATCCAACATTCGTTTCAGCTGTATTCGCGTGGTTCTTTGCGCAGTCGAGTAAAATGGTTATCAATTTCTTCATTGAGAGGAAATGGGATTATCGTCTACTGTATGCTTCTGGTGGGATGCCTTCGTCTCACTCGGCTCTTTGTATGGCTTTGACCACCTCTGTGGCGCTTTGCCATGGAGTAGCAGATTCCTTGTTTCCTGTTTGCTTAGGTTTTAGCTTGATTGTGATGTATGATGCAATTGGTGTTAGACGACATGCCGGTATGCAAGCTGAGGTAAGAGATAACCATATCTGCTTCTATACCTTGTTCAAGTTCTTGGTCTTATTAAATGCTTTCTCTATTCTACAAGTTTGACTACATTTCCATGTTGCTGAGTGTGTGTGTATAGCTTATTGTAATACTAAAATGTTAGAATCTGGTGATGGATTCGACTTTCATAACACTCTTGAATTTGGTTGAATGCCTCTATGTAAAAGTTGGCTTACTTGAGTTTTCTGTGTCCACGATTGAAATACATCACTAGATTTGGAATTATGGACATCATCAGTTAGATGTTGATGTTTGTTCCTGGTTCTTGTATCTTTTAGATTATTTAGACGATGGTTTTGCATTGTTGAGCACCGTACAAGTTTCTCGAAATTATGGACCTTAGGCACATGTTGATGATAGCTGTTGTAGAATGATTGATCTTGATTAAGTCTCCAGAGAATTTAAGAGTTTTGAAGAGGCCAGAGAATCTAAGTCTTGCTTGCTCTTTGTGAGGTAAGATTTAACATTGTTTTGTCTTATTTGTTGATGTCAGGTTCTCAACTTGATCATAAGGGACTTGTTCGAAGGACATCCGATCAGTCAAAGAAAGCTCAAGGAACTGCTCGGTCACACTCCTTCGCAGGTTCTTGCTGGAGCAATGGTTGGTATTGTCATTGCTTGCCTTTGTTGTCAAAGCTATCTCGTCTCAGCCTAAGATCTCTTCTATTCAAAGTTTTCTGGTTGATTTGGTTAGCCCAAAAACTCAGTATCGCTTAGCATCGATTTTGGCTAAGATTCTTGTTGTTGTAGTATCATTCGGCAATAGAGAAAACTCATTTCTTCTTCCTAATGGGTGTTTTTTTTTTGAGGTTTTGTATTCCCTGAAAATGCAAAGAGAGCTTGTTTTGCAACTTTAAAGTTAATTTATATTTGTATTTCCGAGGAAGAAGTAGAAAGAGAGATCTTAGAGTTATAAACTTTCTGTTGGTTATGATGGTGTTTTCAAGGATTGATGAAAAAAAAAATTAAGGAAAATTGCGGGACAAGGAAAGGTAGTTTTAACCTATACATAATGTTGCAGCAAATTGGAAAACTTTTTTTATTCAATATTTAACTTTATAAATGTTTTAACTTTTTGATAAGTTAATAAACAAGTTAGTACTCACGTCGATGTTATAAGAAAAAACAGAAGACAAATGCCACCATCAGGTATTTGGCAACAATCCACGTCCCAGAAGACAGCCGTCCTTGCCCTTTCAAATCGCTTCGAATAATCATCATCCGCCATGTAGACCGGAGATAAATAAGGGCTAGGCGACATCTACTTTTAACCGAAATTATCATAGTTCATAGGGCATATATATGGGAGTACATCATATTACCGTCATTGACTATGCATTAACTGTTGTCTTCTTGACTAATCTTGATAACTTTCTCACCAAGATTCCCTCGACGTGTGTACAAACATTACAGCGTTTCCGTTCTTCCATTGATATGATATCGAAAAAGAGAAACTTAAACTCTATTTAGGCATTGCTATATCAGTATGCTTTTAAGTTGGCTTGGTGCCTTTGCTACTTTTCTTGTAATCTTTCAGAGCTCGCTTAGATTGTCTTCTTCCTCGGCCAGTAGGTTTCGTCTTCAGGTTAAAGACACCTTTCATTAACGAGCTTATATCCACAGATCGATCTCCCATGATCTTATCATGGTACATCTTGCTTCCTATCTCACATATCTCTTCCTCTACTTCTTCTAATGGCTCGTCTATATTCAACTTCAATTCTCCTTTCCTAATAACCGTTACACTAAACCCATTTGCCTTGGCTTCTCGATATGCATCCTGTATATGTTAAAAGAGAACAAATTTGAATTGATAACATAATAGATCTAAATAAAGTTTCTTCCTTGCTTAAATTCATTACCTTCGGTGGGCGTGGAACAATGAAAACGTTTCCAGTCCTAAGCATATCCAAATGAGCTTGAATAATATAACAAAGGTTCCTACAGTCAGCAGCATTCTCGAAAGCAATCACGTGATGTGGTTTGGGTTCTAATTCGAGATCTGTTGCCATTTCCAATGTGTAGAATCCAATTTGTTGCTCTCCTTTGTCATCAACCGTATACAATTCAAGGCACTGAAACTCAAAAGAAAAACGATTAGATCTTTACGGATTTTGAGTTTCTGCAAAGTTTAAATGTTAAGTAAGAAAACATACGAGTACATGCGGTAGATCCAACCACCATAGATAATCTTCTTCCTTATCTTCTCCATACTCGCGGTATTTGCTCAATACAGCTTGAGGACCAAACAACTCCATCTCTCTCTTGAGTTTGTTGAGTTTCTTCTCCATGAACTTCTTGTTCCTCTCTGGCAGCTTTTCCATTATATCAGCTGCGTCTTTGATTTCGTCTTCTGTAATCCACCGGTCCAAGTCTTTTCCCATGTCTTTCATAACAGCTTTCACCGCTGGATCAGTCTCTGCATTGTACAACTCAAGGAAACCGCGTGACCATTTTTTCGTGTGCTGCCAATACTCCTTTCCTGATTTTTTACCAGGTCTAACAGATCCATCACTTCCTTCTACAGAAATCTTTGGCTGCCTTGAGGTTATTTCAGATGAAGGGGTGAGAGTGTTCTCAGAGGAAGCAGACTCTGATAATTCCTGATGTGAGCTCTGTTCTTCATATTTCACAGGAGACACAGATGCAGCTTTTCCAGAAAACAATGCTTCACGCTGTTCATGATAGTTATTGAGAAACTCGGGGTTGTTAGGGTTCTTATCAAGCAAAGGCCCTTTCCATCTCGGTATGATCTTTTCTGGTGGATCATACACACTGATCCCATCTGAATAATAAGAGGAAGGGAGATGAGATATATTTTGACAAGCTGATTAACGCATAAACTGTGAATGTTAGATATTGAGAAAACATAAGTCTCAAACAAAGTTGTACAGAAGATTACCTACTCCGTAGTCCAGATTTTCAACATTTGCGTGAATCCATTGATGCAGATGGGACAGTTTCTCATTTTCTTTCTCAACTTTCTTCTCCAAGCCTTGCAAAAACATAGCTTTATCTTCAGCATCAATCAAGTGAAATGGATCCCTACCAGCCAGCTCATTGTCTCGAACACAGAAGACAATGTCTCTTAGCTTTTCGTCCTTCATCCACTCAAGCTCATCATTATATTCACTGCGGAAAAGTTCTGCAATTTCAGCAATTGTACCAGGCTCCTGAGTTTCTCTCTCTCTTGCAGCCATATAATTATCCCTAAATCCTGCTCTCATTTTTTCAACAACAGGCTCAAATTCATGGTAGTTTTCCTCTATCCAATTTTCCTTCACTGATGGTTCTTCCTTTTCTATATGTTGAGTACCACCAGAAAAACTTTTGGCTGATTTGAAAAAACTTGTTTTGCGCTCTTCTATTTCATCTAAAGAATCTCTTTGTTTGCTCGATCCCTTAACTGTATTCGCAGGTTCTGAGAGTGTCTGGTACTCATCCTTTTGGGCTTGAGAATCAACATCCTTCCCAAACGGTTCAAAAGAAGTAGACTTATGTGCAGATTTCAAGGTTCCATTGACAGTTGCATGAAGGATTTTATTTTTGTCAACCAATTCGTGTTTTCTAGCTACACCATGCTCTTCAACGCTCTGCTTTGGGAATATTTCAGCACTGTCTTGGACTATCGTCTGAGACGGTTCCTGAGTGAGCTCTTTCTCACCACTTCTTCTTGAAAGGAACTCTTTAGCCTCTTTTACAGACCGTATGACCCGTGACTTACGATCAGTGCTATTCTTCATCATACTCAACTTACCCTTAGAAACATCAGAAGATTGGATGATTCCGTCTGTAGGAACTAGTGGTACCACATTACTCGCCTTTCCTGCGTCAGATCCTGCCATTTCATGATTCGGAAAACCAGAATCTACCATAGCCCCATTCACCATTTGAATAGCCAAACCAGAAAGTTCAGTGGTTTCACTGTCAGTCGAAGTCGTCAAGCTTTCATCTTTATCATCATCACCTTCACTGTGTGTCAAACCCACATGTGGAAGACTCTTCTGTGACTGCATGCTTATATCTTCATCATCGTCGCCCTTCTCCTTTTCATTAAGTTCTATGCCAGCTTCTATCTCCCGTGCTCGTCTAGCCATAGTTTTGATTTCATGAATCTTATTATCAAAGTCTATAGATTCACCACTCTCAACCTGAGAAGAATTCAAGACTTCCAATTTCCTCTCTGAACCCTTTACTTTCGATATGCTACTCATAAGTTCTGTCCGATCAAACTTAGGCTTCTGAAACGAAACCAATGGCTTTTCCAAACCCTTCTGTAAAACTTCTACAGCACCTTTCTCCGAAATTTCCTTTTCCTTCCAAGCTTTCATCTTTCTCCTCATCATCTCCTTCTCCAACTCTGTACACTCGACCTCATTACTCTTCCTATACACAAGCACTGTCTTCAGCAACCAGAGTCCAATATAACCACACAAAAGAGCTCTTCCAATCGCTGGCAACTTTGGAATTAAGTCGAGACGAATTATTGCATTTTGGATTGAGCTGACGAAACGAAACTTTTCATCTATAGAAGAAGAAACGAACTTGACAAGAGAACTATCCTTATGGATCACATTTTCCCCATTCTCCATTTGTTCAGCTAATTTCTTCGCATATATAACCCTAGAACTCGCTGATTCCATATCCTCGAGACCTGATCTTCTACTCAAGACCTCGTTTTCATCAACCTCTACTCTGACCACGTTTCCTACCAAATCCTGATAGACAGTGAAAATGGGATTCGAACCGATCCCCCAATACTCTGCTTCCTTCTTATACCTAGCAACCCAATCTTCAAGCTCATTCAGCAAATTCGAATTTTCAGGAACCCTATCTTTCAATCCCTCGGGGCTACTTAACTCGACCAAATCACCACTATGATCGAAATTATGGCTTTCGTTTGGAGGTTTCGTACCTGGGTCAGACGATTTCGGAGTCGAACGCCAATTCTCATCACCGATGATCTTCTTCCTCAAAGAATTACGTCGCCTCGAGGTCTCTCCAAAACGAGCCGAGACTCGGAGAATTGAAGCGCGATAGTACTGGAATTTGGAGAAGGGCAAGTGGAATCGATGCTGGTTTCTCTTGTTAGTGAGTCTCCTGTTCGAATTGGACGAGAAAGACGAGAGATTGAAGAAACCGTTATTAGGAAGAGCAGAGTTCAGAACCTCCATTGATGGGAAGGGGATAAAGCTCACTTCGAAGTGAAAACGTCAAAACCTCAAAGCTGGGTTTAACAGAACAATGATGAAAACGTCGACGTTTTCAAACAAAGCTAATGCCTCGAAGACTCTTTTACTACAGGAGGTGAAAGAAGGTTCAACATTTTACATTTTCCAGATACAGCAGAACTGTAAGTACTAAGTACTACGTATTAAAAAAAAAACGCTCCATGACATGAGAAAGAGAAAGACAGAGAGAGATACATAAGAACAACCCAAGTTTATCTTCAGATAAAACCCTAATTACATATATCACTACCAAGAACCATGGTTACAGAGACTGAGACAAGTAGGCAAGGTGTTCAAAATCAGTTTGATTTATTTTTCATATTATTCAAGACAAGTTTGGAATACAAGCTCCTCCCCCTTCACCACTTTGTTGTTGCTCTTTCCAGATCCTTCCAGTGACTCGCAGTTTCAGCTCTTTCCTATCTCCACCAGAGAAGAACAGAGCCATGTTTCTTTGTATAATTAGTCCATCATGACTGTCTCTAACTTTCCTGTGGCTGTCTCTTACGCTTCTCGGTGTTCCTTCCCATATCAGCTTCCGACCATAACCTCCCACTTCTAAACTGTAATTATAGTTCCTAGCTTCTGTCTCGTCCCCCATGAAACGCAGGAAGGCCATGTAAACTGGAGCCATTCCGAGCTGGAAAGCCTCAAAGTGAAGACAGAAGTATTGACCAAAGCAATGAAAGACCTAATTTGTAGATTAGAACCATCAAGGAAACCAAAAGAACTATGATAAGCCTATCTGTCAGTTGAAGTATAATGACTTATTATGTGTAGAGAGATATGGAAGATTCACAATCACTGATATTGCAGAGCAGAGCTTAGCCATATAATTTAGATTTTAAAAGAAATGTACATATACAATGGACCTTCTATAGGAAAGAGACTAAGTTTTGATTCAGTTTTCATATTCCATAAACCGAAACTGGACATCCCTAAGCAACACCAGTTGAAACTACTCGCAACAAAAGCAAAACTTGACTCATATGATTGCTTCTTCACATTACAGTTTATACCAGAAAAAATCAATATCATGACATAAATAATCCTTAGACTTTAAACAAAGGCTCATAACTTATCTAAGGTTATAGATAGAGCTCTGAAGCAAGAATCATATGTACTTACAGTTAACATCCAAGTGGCGTTTTCGACTTCACGAGGATTAGACTTGACATAACGATGGTTGAAAGTACAGCCAGAATGCATATCCACTTTATGATCATCCCTCAGATGAGCAACTAGGAAAGGGATATCGCCATTAACAGAACACTCGGATCCAGCATACGGACAGTTATAAGGCCTGAAGTTACATACAGTCTCATGTTTGAGCTTACTGTAATAAGGGAAGATTTCAGGACATCCAAGTGACATGTGTTTACAGGGTAGTTCAAGTGATTCGGCTACTTTTTCCAGTGCCAAACAACGGATATCACCGAGCTCTTGTCTACAAGTTGGGCAGCGGTTGTGAACTCTATTTTTACAGGTTGAACACAGAGTATGTCCATTATGACACTGCGGGGAAATCAAACAATTGTGTAAGTGTTATTCCATAATTCTCTAAAGGGACAATAAGAATCTTAAAGAGAGTATCAAAGCTATTAGAATATCAGGATTAAGGATGATAATCAATGGAGATCATTGATACATAGAAGCACAAACCATGATAATGTGAATGGACGGTTTGAAAAAGGAACATACAATTAGCGGAACTAGCGAAACTAACAATCATACCCATTAGCGAAATTTCAGATGAACGAATGTATAAAACTCAATTTCAAGTCACAGCTTCATGTAAATCCAAATAGTGTATGTTTGTGGTAATGATGTTTCTAATCAGAAACTCAAAACCCCTAAAATCAGTCAAGAAATTAAAGATCCTCACCTGATGAATAGGAGGGTACATAGAATTGGTGCAGACAGGACATTCGAGAAGCTCATGAACACTGGTGGTGGTCGGAAGAAGACCAGAAGCAGCATTCACGTTGGTGTTGTTAGTATGATGCTTGGAAACCGAAGCGTAAGAATGGCGATCTTGGTGGATCTCTTCATCATCTGTCACATCCATGGTTGATGTACAGTCCATGCTATCCAAATCCATTAGAAACTCCCCCACGAGATCTTTGATTAATCTTCGATCGAAACGAGGATCAAATCCGGGATTTTACAGAGAGGTGAATACGAACACCACCGAAACAGGTCAACCCTCGTGAAGTGTTGTTAAATTTCAAAAAAAAAAGATAGATGCTTTTCTTCATCAATTCTAGAGAGAGAGAGAGAGAGAGAGAGAGAGAGTTGCCGTCAAATGAACCGGAAACGCTGATTTAAAATCGGACGGTCACGAAGGCGGCTGTGTGGTACAGAGAATGTTATTGGAAACAAAAATTGAATTCTAAAGAGAGATTTCAGAAGAATTTTACTGGATATGCAAAATTTTAATCATTTTTTTATGATTATTAAACAAGTCCCCTCGCACTCAATGATTTCTTCGTTTTTAATTAAATGGTTTTTATAACTAATAAAGGGCCCTGGTCCAGTAAAGATGGGCCTAAACATGTATATATCGTGTACATGATTGCTTCTTTTTTTTTCTCTCTCTCTCTAGATGTTTTTACCCGGCGTCTATTACTCTATTACTCTGCTATTAGTAACCTTAATTAACCTTAATTATTTGTGTTTTTACATTACATCTATTCATTTGTCTTAAAAGAAAATATGTTTCAAAAGACGATGACGTCCCAATGAGTCAAAACTAACGTAAATCAACCACTAAATCACTTGAAAGATTTTCATGGAAAAAACCCTACTCATCTTTCTTTTTACTTTAATAAAAACTTAAAAGATATGTTTAGATAAACTTAGAAGCCTTTAAGTATGCTATGAAATTATAAGAGATATAAGTAATGCGATGTGGCTTGGGTTCAAAGTCACTTCAAAGACCAATGATAATGTAAAAGAACATTTTACTCTTCTTCATCTCAAGCAAACTCTCACAATCTAAAAAGAAAATTATTCCATAAATGATTGGCCTTCGTGAGTGATCGGCCTAATGAGTGATCATCCTTAAAGACACAACACATAAAAGGAAAAAGCGAACAACAACGATCCATCCAGCTCTCATGATCTGTCATTACTTTTTAACACAACATGTCACTGTATTATTCTTTCTCTTGTGTTTTGTCTGAGAAAAATAAGAAAAACCTCCACAGAATCTGAGACTTGATAACTTTTTCTACATAGTTTTCACAGCTAAAAGAGACAAACTACAGAATTTGGCTACTCATCCAATATTCGTTATCTTCTCACTCCTATTTGCAATTGCATCAAACAATCAAATTTTAAGGCCTTTCTGAATCAAAACTAGAAAGATTGTAGTTCTTTTGTTACCACTGGTTAGCAGATGTTTCCCGGCACTTCTCATCATTGCCCTGAGCCAACTGTTGTGGTTTAGAACCACCTTTTACCCGATTACTAAACAGTCTCTGGGATATTCTATCTTTAGCAGTTGTTTTCTTATGCCGCATCGAGGAAAAGGTTTGTTTCTTGTTTTTTCTTGCAGCAAAAACTCTATCAAACTCTTCATCGATAGCATTTGATCTGGAAGTTGAGGCTATAGCAGCATCACGCAGAACTTCTTGATTATGTTCTTTAACCTTCACCTTAACAACCTTTGCTCTTTTCCTCATCACTTCTTTGTCTTTCTCCCTTATATTCCTTAGAGCCTGTTTCGCTATTTGCCTAGCTAACTGATTAGGGTCAGAGTCTGAAGCTGTTACATCTATAGGCACATCCTGGTTGATCTCTGTAGTTGAGGAAGTTTGGTTTTCACTCTCATCTAATGGAGATTCCTGGATTATGGGGTTCCCTTCATCATCCCGGGGTACAATGGGTCCGTGAAACGGACAGATTCGCAAATCTCTTCTCTGACAAAAACCACCTTTCTTTAGAGGAGCACGGCATGGAGGTGTCTCTGTTCTCTCTTCCCTATAAACAGTAGCCTGAAGATTCAGTTCTGCTATTTTCTCTGCTGGAATTACAGCATCTTGATCCACCCTGCCCCAGTGGCTCTCGAGCTCTAAACCCCGGTAATTAGCTCGAACTTCCGCAGTTGAGTCCCAATTACTCAACTGTGATCCCCAATTCATCACGGGCGCTTCAGAAATTAGCTTATCCCTAAGAGAGTTTCCACTGCTTCCAACTTTTTTAGTGGTCGAAGCTTTGTTGGACCTAGATTCTGATGTAGACCTATTTGTGTCACTTGATGATGGTAAAGACGAATTCTCGCTCTGCTGACATATCGTCACAGGAGCCACGTTCTTGAAAACATCAGTTTTAACCTTGCCATCATCCTCCTCCCAGATATCATCTTCTTCCTCGTTAGTTTCTTCATTCTCGTGAGTACTAGTCATACTTGAAATTGTAAAACCAGCTTCTTCCCATTTCTTTTGAGCTGCCAAAATATTATTCCTGATATCGATTAAGTCTTTAAGCATGGAATCTCTCGTTCTGTTATCGCTTACGTCAACCCTGATGAGAAGAGAGATCCCTTCTTGAACCGAGATCAGATGCTTTGTCACTAGAAGCTTGCACTGTTCCCTCAATACATCAAATACAACTCTGTTTTCAATAGTTTCTTCAACCTTCTCTGATTGCTGTAATGAATCAAGACGGATTTGCCTAAGATGAGAACAGCGGATCTCCTCAAAATCTTCCTCATCTAAGATCGAAAGCGGAACACCATCATCCCCTCTCCACAGAACAATTTCCATGCACTCCTTGATCTCCTTAATCGTTACATCAATCTCATGCTTTAAGAGTCCAAAACTATCCCTCAAAGAACCAAACTTGTTACGTAAAATCTCTTTAGTCTTCATCTCCCTCTCATGTCTCTCTCGTTGCACACGTGCAGCATTTGCCTGCAAATCAGGGAACTTCAACTTGCGGGTGTTCTTAAGGTAATCAAAACCAAGCCTAAGCTCCTTGTAATGTAACCCAAAAGACAAATTCCACTTCTCCAAGAACTCAACAGCCTTAGAACGCAACATAGTGGCAACGGCCGGTGGTGTAGGGAGAGGCATATCGCTTCTAAAACCAACACTTAAACTCAAAAGCTGGTCAAGGTTCTCAATTATCAGAGTTCTAAAGAGCTTTGATCTCATGAAAAGTTCGTCGATTATAAAAAGCGTCAGATATCGAACCTGGCAAAGAAAATTATCACTGCGTTATTGACCAATAAAACGTGGATCAATCACGATTGAACAATTCCATGAAAGGATCGGAGATAACCTGAGAGTGGTTATCTCTCATGAGCTCCATTAGGGTTTGCGAAGCGATACGGACCTCCGAATCAGAATACCGAACAATAGATTTGATGGCCTTGAGTAGCCTCGGGTCAACCTCTTGAGCAGTTGATTTTGTCGCTTTCTCTATCAACCCCACAACTTTTCCTCCGCCGTCATCTCTCCCTTCCATCGTCGGCAATCAGAAGAAATTCAGATTTCTCCGAAGAAGACTAAAAATTAAAAATAAAAACCCCCAAGGAAAATTTTTGAGAGCAAAAAAAAAATAAAAAAAGAAATATCGAATTTGCGTTGGTTTAATATACTATGATAGTCAAAAAAATATATATATATATATATATATACTATGATAGTCGGTTTACTAGGTGAATCGAAATGACTTATTTGCCCTCTTTCTCTAACCTCCGTGCAATAGATTCTATGGGTGTTTTATGTAACTACCATAAAGATCGTTTATATAGTTATAAAGTCTGTCTTCCCACCAAAATCACTCAACACAGTCCAGGAAAAAAAAACAGAAAGAGAGAAGATGAAGATGCTCATGATGACGACGATGCAAGTACACTACGTTTTCTTGATTCTTTTGATCTTTTCCATCTCAATCGCTTCTTGCTCCATAGTTTCATCACTTGAAGGTAACTAATCAAACACGATTCTGCAATATTTTCCCGAGAAAAATTGAATCAAACAATGCTCAACTCATTGTGGTTTCTTCTTCGTTGTTCATCCTCTTTTTCCCTCTCGTTTTCCATCACTTTGTCGCTTATTTTCCAGGTCCACAAATCGGAATCAACTACGGACGATACAGCTCCAATCTTGAAGGTAGTAGTACTCTTTCTTTTGATTCCGTTGTGAGAAAAATTGAAACTTTTTCATTCTCGTAGAGTTTCTTGTTCGTTTTGGCAGGTCCAGTGATCGGGATCAACTATGGTCGTTACGGCTCAAACCTTCCTCCAGCAGAAGCCATACCATCACTCGTCACCTCTCTCTCCATCAAACACGTCAAAACCTTTGACTTGGATCCAAGAATCACCAAATCTTTCGCCAACACAGGGATCACTCTCTCCCTCTGCATCCCCAACGACAAGATCCCATCTCTATCCACCAATCTCTCCGAAGCTGAATCAATCATCAGAAATTCCATCTTGCCTTACCACAAGAGCACAATCATCACATCCATCTCCGTCGGAAACGAAGTCTCCTTACTCCCGCAATTCTCAACCCACCTAGTCTCAGCTATGGTCAACGTTCACAGAGCACTCAAGAGATACAGATTACACAAGAAGATCAAAGTGTCCACAACACATTCCCTCGCGATTCTCTCCAGAAGATTCCCTCCTTCGACTGCGATTTTTCACAAATCGATCGGTGAATCAGTCTTGAAACCACTCATAAGGTTTCTACAACGAACAGATTCACCTCTCATGGTCAATGTCTACCCGTACCTCGCTTATAAGCAATCGTTCCCTTCGATTCCGCTCGAGTTCGCTTTGTTTCAGCCGATGAACAGCCCCAAACGCCGGAGATACGTCGATCCGTACAGTGGAGTTGCATACACCAATCTGTTCGACATAATGTTGGATTCGGTTGACTCCGCCGTGAAATCCTTGGGGTTACCTAAAATACCGGTGGTCGTATCGGAGATTGGGTGGCCGACGAGTGGAGAACCGGGAGAAGTAGCTGCCAGTTTGGAGAACGCTAGGGTTTTTAACCAGCGGCTGATTGAGCATCTGAGAAGACGATGGAATAAGGTCACTGTGTATATCTTCGCCCTGTTCGATGAAGATCAGAAAACTGGAGCCGCCGTGGAGAAACACTGGGGATTGCTTTACGGTAACGGATCGAGGAAGTACGATGTGAATATCTCGCCGCCGATTTAAAGTTCGAACGGCGCACATGCTTGAAAAATATGATGGGCAAAGTGGTCATTTTCGTATATGGGCTTTTTCAAAAGTAATGGGTCTGTTGTTTTGTTATGGGCCTAAGGCCTTGTTAATTCACCGGGTTTATCCGTATATAATAAAAAGATAAATAAATAAATAAGTGGAGATAATTGAGGAGGGATAGGAGTCATGTTTGTCCGGATATGTCACATGCAATACGATAGATTCGTGGACTTGGGAGTCAGATCTCTCTGAAAGTATCTAACAAAAACATTTGTCTCGGAATAAATCGGAAATGCAAATTGTCATCATGTTGCGTAAAGTTGTCGTACATTTTTAATATTATTTGACAGTAGTTTAGTTTTTAGAGAAATCAAGCAGTTTCGTTAAATAAATATTTTTTTTGGGTAAAAAGTTAAATAAAGATTTCTAGAAGGCTGCATTTAAAATTTCGATAAGCAGAGCATAAAAATGAGTCATCATCATCACATATATCTCTCCACGAAAGACGCAAGTGAGTGAGTGAGTGAGTGAGTGATCGGAGATATTTGCGGAGGAAAGAGTGGGATGGGAGTGGATATATAAAAAAAACACACTGGTGGATCGTTCGGTGGTTGCATTATTCTTACCATGTGGACCTACGTGCCGCACTTTGTCTCTGTATCCTGCTCATTGAGGATGTTCCAAATCACTTAATATGATTATTATAGTTACGGATTTGTTATTTTGTCTTTTGACTTTGTCAAAATGAGAGAGTCTGCTTCTAATTACGCGTAAAACCAAGAACTGCTCTGTCCGGTATATGGATATCCACACTCTCTCACTCACATGGAGACCCAAAATACCAAGAACATACGTCCACCTTACATTAACGATACCCATGTGTCGTTTACGATACACACACTGTATACACGTTCATATCCAAAATATCGAGATGCACTGAACCGTTTGGTATATTAGTGTTTATCACATGAGAGCACACGAGAAAAGCAAAATGTGAAGAGTCATGATGGAGTTTCATTTTACAACCAATCTATGGTAACTAATATTATCGAATCCATACAAAAGTAGGTAAGCTATATCGATGTATTCATTACGAACTAGTTAAATATAGCAAAACACGGTGAGTTAGTTAAGTGGATAATTGAGGTAAACATGTAACAGGTACTCCTCATTACTTTTGTAATCAAGCATGTATTCTGTATTAGTTGTTCTGTGCTTCAATCTATTTATGACCAAGTGCTATACAGTTGAGCAAAATGTTTTATTTTGGTCAGATAATTCATTAGAGAAAGTGAACACTTTTTATGTTTATAAATTTTTTTTTTAAAAAAAGTCAAAAGAGTGTTGGCAATCATTTTCACATTTTTGCTTTATGAATTTTTTTTAAAGGAAAACAATACAAATTACTCTCTCTAACTTGAGTGTAAAATCTGTAACCAGCAGATAGGAAAAATACATCTATCTCTGGATCTTCACTAATAAAATGACCATGAGTAGGGGTAATAGTACGATGAACCGATGATGATAACAATGTTTTTGATAAATTGATTATGATTATTTTTTGGCTCCCATAAAGACTTTGGGAATAAATCAGTCAAACTTTAAAACTCAAATTCTAACAGGCGCGAGACAAAAACCCGATCCGTGACCCGACCAAATCATAAGCGACCCGGAAACCCTGTTGCTGTATGTTTCCAATGATTGACAAACTCCCCATTGTTCCGGCGAACGCAAAACAGAACCTTCCTTGAGTGTTCACCGGTATCAGATAATTGCTCGCCGGCAGCGAAACGTCTCCGCCTCCGAAATGAAACACAACCGTCGGAACCTTCACCGTCGTCATCCCCGATAGATCGAAACACGTGTCGAACAGAGAATACGACGGAGCTCGTTTCAGCCTCGTAGCTCCCAGGCGGAACGCGTCTCTAAGCGCCACGTAAGCAGACTGCGTCAGCCGAGTAACCGAGGTCCCGGAATCGATTATTACACCGCCGTTACCGGTGGCGGCGTCTAGCTTGAACTGCGACTCCGAAACGCCGCGAACGCGCGAACCTCCGACGCTGATTCCAAGAAGCTGCAAGTAGTAAAACGTGTCGAGTTTCTGGTTCGTCAGCAACGGCGTGAAAACGGAGGTTTTGGGAACGGCTTCGTCGCCGAAGACGATGGTTGACGGCGGTTTAGAAGAAGAACCAGAACTCGTCCGGTCAACCAAACAGTAAGAGAATTTTCCGTTATAACGGTTTTTCGTCTGAGACGGAAACGATAAACCGCCACGGCCCAAGCCCAACAGGCCAGCCGCACCAACGAACAAGCCTTCGTTATCGTGACCGCATCCCAAAGGCACGTGATCAACACGCGCTCCGTGAAACGTGAGCGTCTCGGTTGCGAAGTCTCCTTGGGTGAATGATCCGTCACCGTACGATACTTGGTAGAGGCAAGTCTTGCTTCGACGGGTGACACATTCCGACGAGTCGTCTAGTCTCCGGCAGAGGCGAGATCCACATGGGACGGTGGCGAACGTTTTGGATCTTTTCGGGTCAAAGATCGGGTCGGATTGGTTGTAACAAGCTTTGCAAGGAGAGCACTGGAGCCAAACGACGTCGCTTCCTGTGTCGAGCACCATGTAAACGTCAGTCGCCGGAGTTCCAACGCCTAACCGCATAAAATACTCTCCGCTTCCTTGCGAGAGACCGGAGATAACGGTGCCGCTGAATCCACCGGCTGGGCGTGGAGTTCTTCTAGTGGCATTCCGTCCTCTTGATACAGCGGCGAGGCTTGTTATGGATTCGACGCGGAGAGAGTCTCGTTGGAGACGGAGGTTGAAAAGATCCGTCGGGGAGGCGTCGGAGAAGGAGGAGAGAGCATCGACATGCGATAAATGGACAGAGAGAGAAGTCGTGGATTCGGGTAGGGAGTCACCGGTTAAGGATTCGGAATCGGGCCATGAGAGGGTTGCAGCGGAGGGGAGAGTGTTGACGACGAGAGTTTGGTATTGGGAAGAAGAAGAAGCGGAGGTGGTGAAAAAGAGAACGGAGAAGATGAGGGTATTAAGGACTTTCCGCTCCATTGGAAAAATGAAAATGAGGATTGGAACTATAGTAGTCACATGGATCTTCTTATATAGACTCTACTCTATAGTCTTTTGTCTATAATAATATGTACATACTCTAAAAAAGTATTATTAAAGGCCAAATGAAGCTCGTGTGTGAAAGCACTTTGTTTAACTTTAGCTTATGGACTGACTTTGTTTTTTCCTTTTTCTTTCCCGAGTAACAATCATCATTACAGAATTATTGACTTTATCCCACCATTTCCTACTAAACGAAGTAATGAAGTCCGTTTAGTTTTCGTAATTTGAGATGACTATGTGTGAAACTGTGCAAAATGGTTCCATGGTCTAGTGGTCAGGACATTGGACTCTGAATCCAGTAACCCGAGTTCAAGTCTCGGTGGAACCTTGTACCTTTGATGTTTTTCTTTTCATTGTACACTTTTTAAGTTTTTATTATTCTTGTTGAGAAGTTAGCCCATATTCTTGTTGAGATATAACGGCCTGAAAGGCCTAAGCAAAAAATGTCTAAAAGGCCTTAATTGGCTAGTGTCAATAAATAAGTGATGACAATATGGGCTCATTGGGTTTGTTAACTACATCTTCCTTTGGGTTGTTTTTTTTTTGGTGTGATCTTCCTTTGGGTTGTACCTTGTAAATAACTAAATATGGACTACCGGAACAATCAGTTTGGTAATTTAAATTTAGTTAGGACTTAGGAGATATGGGAAGTACGCAGAAACTATATATGAAGATCATCAATAATTTGGTTTTTTTTTTCTTTTCAAACAATTAGAAAGTTTTTCCCAACAAAATTGGGGGAAAGCTCCCTCAATTAATTGTAAGAACCTTTCAAGTAGAGCTAAATAAAAAAAGTTGGAGTGGTATTTTATGATATATATTTCTACAATATTTAAAAGTCTTGTTTGAAAAACTTAATTTATTACCACCATAACGACGAGTCGATCAAGCTAATAGAATAAGTGTACGTAGCTTGAAACAGTGTTGAAGGATAAGTAGGTGGCACGCAACACATGCTCCATAACTGGAAAATAATTATTTTGCCACGACTTGAAAAAAGAAGAAATAAGTGTAGATTTGTTGAGGAGATCATGAGAGATAGCTAATTATGAGAACAAATGGGAATGGGAGCAAGAACACGATGAGCCCCTATCTACTAATCTAGTCTCTAGTAGTTTACAAATAAACTAACTAATTACACCTAATTAATTAATCGACTCCATTTCTCATTGTCATATCTTTCAATAAGTCTCTATGGTTTCTCGAGTCCATCCATAGCCTATATATAAAACTCATCCTCCACTTGGTCCCTCCCTACCCTTCTCTCAATAATTGTCAAAATCTTTTCTCATTGGGATATTCTGAAAGTTTACATTTTGTAAAAACGTTTTGAGTAAAAAGGGACTTATCCATGGAACAAGCTAAGAGGGTTACATGCAGGGACAAATAATGGGGGAGGAAGAGAGACTGAGGCCCATCTTCGCAGTCTGAGATCAAGAGAAGATCATGTGATAGATTTCTATCTCTTTATGGTCCCCCCCTCTTCTCTTAATATGATTTATTCATCTTTTTCACATCAATCTAAAAAAAAAAACTGAATTTATCACTCTCTCTTACTCACGGATTCATCCAAAGCCACACACATAACTTTTACAGAGTGTATAAATTCATTCCAGACTCGGACAGATAACATATATATGTTCATGTCTTTTTTTTTGTCTTCTGGCTGTTCTTTACTTTCCTTTTATAAATGATAGTAATTACATACCCAAATCAATCCATTGTGGTACGTTCTGTTGATTAGCAGAATAAGAAAATGAAAACAATATATAAATAATGTATTGGGGGAAAGTCTTCGGAGCCATAACTCATACCCAACCACTTCAAACCAATTTAATAACAGAGAACAATAATGGCTGAAAATAAAACACACTAGAATCTCTCCTAAGTTGGTTCTATATTGGTCAGAGGAACAATGTTTGTATTTTATAAATAACTGTTGCATTTGGTGCCATGCAAATGCATGTATTGATCGTATAGTCTTGAACCAGAAAATTAAAACTAATGGACTTAAAATTAACATACTATATATATAGACACATCAACAACAACAAAACAAATATGGACTAAATTAAAACATGATCTATCAATTATTTTGGCACTAGATTTGTGAGATGATAGAGTTGATGAACGTCAATTGCGATTCAGTATATAGTTTTATATCATATGTAAGATATGTGATATATCATTATACTTTATTCCATTATCTGTAATAAAGTGGTGTTGATTAAAAAAATGGGCGTAAACAAATAATAAAAAGAAAGATGATTAATCAATCAACCAATGAAAATAAAATGAATCGAAATCCGCAATACTAATATACAAAATCTCTTTCATTTTGAGTTTACCGGACTTATATCATCAAAAAATGCTTGACATAAGACATGATTCCTTTAAAATTAGACAATAAGAAAATGGGAAAATTGGAAATAAGAGATCTTTTTAAAAAACTTTGTCCATATATACCTTTTTTTTTAAATGGACAATCTTGACTAAACTAGCCCTACTAACATATAAATCAAATTTTAAAGGTTTTTTAAAGTTAAAAATTATCAAATAATGTAAATAAGTCATTATAAATTATATATAATGAAAATGCTTTTCAATTTTTTTGAAAAATAATAGTTTTTCACTTAGATAATTTTTGTTCTGAAAAGTTTAGAAAACGTTTTCTTATTTCTAAAAAATTTAGAATACGTATTCTTATGTTCTGAAACATTTAGATTATTCATTCTACCATTTTGTACATGTTCTACGAATTTTAGAACAGAAAACATGTTCCAAAAGTTTCAGAATACGAAATTTTGTAATTCAGAATACAAATTCTAAAATTATTCTATGTTCTGCAAAATTCAGAATATGTATCATACGATTTACTACATGTTCTGAAAAATGTAGAATATATATCCTAAAATATTTTTGAATATGTATTCTGAAAAATATTCAGTTTTTCCAAGTATGGAAACAAAATCGGATAATTAGGAAAGTAAATTAAGTAGTTAGAATCGAATATATGATTTAGATTCTCTATAGATTTTTTCAGAATATGTATTCTGAAAATTTTAAAAGTAATAATTTTTACAAAAAACGATTTTAACCCTAAAATTATGTTTCAAAACTAAGTCACGGCTTCTTCTTTTTTCTTTTTTTCATTCTCTTAAAGTATTTCGTTTATGTCAAGATCCTTAAATTTTTGAAATTACAACCACACAAATATAATATATATAGTTCTTCACGCTCGCCAAAAATTGTTATATATCAAAATAATATATATATATATATATATATATATATATATATATATGACATATCCCACATCTATAATGAGACGGATTAACGCAGTTTGACAGATTTACTTAGATATGAACTTTGTACCAAAATTTAGTTGTGTTAGATATGGTTAATTAGTGTTGTCACGACACTTTTCTAGTTAAATAACACATAACGTTTTTAAAATATAGTAATTCACATGTTCGTAACCTGTTTGCATGACACATATGCACCACATACTGAGACGGATTAAGGCTGTTTGACACATACATACTTAGTTGTAGATGGGTAAAATCGCATGCATGATCGACTCCTCTCTACATCGTATCATCTAATTAATTAGAAATGTCACACCACCAATTTTTGAAAAAAATAAAAGAAGACTTTAGCCAAAAGAAAAGAAGTTCACCGTACATTTGCAATATTTTACGGTTAGTTTTCATTGTCTAACAATTACATTAAAACTGAAATGACCTGATTACGTACCTGGTGAATGAAGTGAAAAATATGGGAACTTTTAGGACAGAGAGAGTGGAATTAGACAAAAGATTCTGCCAAAATTAGAAGATGATATACATATCATCGAATATCGATAGGACATATAATACATAAAATAGTTTTAATTTAAACTTAATTATACTTTGAGGGTATAAATGGATTTTAATCTTTTGAAAATCTTAATTCACCAAATTTTTAGATAGAAGATATATATGGACAAAGTTTTAAAAATATGTCTTTTATTTCCAATTTTCCCTAAGAAAATCACAAATAACCGTCTACAAACAAAAATTTATTTAATATAGATAAGTATATGTTTTAATAAAAATAAATAAAGAAAAGTACGGAGTCTTTTATGTAAAAATAATACAAATTTGGTAAATATATATATCTTCTTATATATATATAAAAGAAAGATTCTCGCAGATGGGAGCTTGACCTAACGGTTTAAGTGGGAGTGAAGTAGGTCGAAAGCGACCCTTTCGGAGTGTACGGACGATGATTTTCGTGATATTACTAAAATACCCCCTTTCATAATTTGACAAATGTGCGTGACTCGACTCCACCACTTCAGTCTTCAGGTTTGGGAGAAAGGTGCCAACAACAGAGTGCGAATGATATGATTACTAGTTTACTACACACACACCAATTGACTTCTTTTTTTTTTTATATTTTTTTTCTTGTGTTGTTATGCTAATAATTAAGTCTCACTTTTTCATATTTGGAAAGTTTCTATAATTCGATTCCTAATCTTACTATATATTATGATTTATGCGTATACATGTACACTATCAGATTCGAGAGCCAATAAAACATCAATGATACTATTATATATGTTACAGTTTTATACAATTTCATGTGATCTTGAACCAATTGATAAATACGTACGCATGAAATTTCTACTTAACGTATTCCCCTTAATCTGATGCATGTAATTCAATGAGTTTTTACTTTTTATCAATAATTATCCGTATTTACACGCACTAAAAGAAATATTTTTTTTTTTACCCGTAATCATTTAGGCCAACTAAACTCTGTTTTAGTAAATCATCAAAAAGAAAATATATATATCCAAGTTACGTTTGGTAACAAGGAAGGATCTGATTTCTTACCCTAATCGAATCAACGGATTAGATGCATGCATACGGCGCATCAAGAGCTTTAATTTGTAGATTAGTGTTATTGATGATAGAGATTATCATACTTTAATTAATAATTAACCACAATTACTTATCATCAGCCAACTTATAAATTATAACGAGTCTCAAAACACACCTTACCCTTTACAGGTGGGAAGAGTCGTTTTTATGATTTTAGCGAGGCTTAGAATATATAAGCTTTTTAAAAAAACTCAAGTCTACTTCGATCGATATATATATAATAATACTCCACAGAAGATACTTGGAAGTAATCATCATATTAATAAATATACAACATGAGTGCGGAATAATAATCTATGTTTCTACAGTTGTTTATTGTCTAAACAAGACCTATGCTACGATTTATTAAAAATAATTACCTCTAATGCTCTTGTTTAGGCTCCACCCAAAAGCAAAGGCAAAGCAATGTTACATACAAATAACTAAGTTTGTGTTTCTCTTAAAACTCTTCAAATTTTCTGATATTAAGAAGTACTATAAGCATAATGGAAGACAGGGAAGAAACATGGTGTACGGTCAAATAGAGAAGTTGTACAGAACACATTTATAATAAGTTTTAGCATGTGTAAAGTTTGAAAAGTTAAATTATTGCAAGGTTGAAGATATATACATACAACGCTGGAATCAAATCTTTATTTTTTGACTAGGTTTGTCCATCTTGAGCGAGCCAGCCAGTGATTTAGTTATCAAATCAGGCTAAATACAATGGTTTGATTGGTAAGTCTTACCTCAACCATAAGTAGTGTAGGTAGAAGAGAGAACCATAACATTATAAGATATGACCATTTTGTGATATGTTTCTTATAGAAGATAGGACCATGATTGGTATATTTCCACCTCATTTATATAACAATATATAACGAATGAGTAGTACCGTTGAATGGTTGATTAGTTCAATATTTGTAAATATAAAATTTACGAATATTCCTTTATTCTTGTTTAATGAGGTGGCGACTATGACTAAACAGGTGATTAACTATATTATCAAATATATATCAATGGAATATAGCAGTGATTAATAAGAATAAACAAAACTAAAAGATTTTTCTGTAATGGATTCCACTAAACCACTAAAGCAAATAATAAACAAATATATAGTTATATATTCCCATCCATGGGTTTATATTCACTTTGAATGATGTTCGGATGTTCCTATAATCCTTATTTATATTTTTAATTTTGCTCTTTGAACCTTTTTGTGTTTAAAATACTTTCAACTTGAGAGAATATACTTAGCAGCTAATTAAAATTAATCACTGACTTTAGGAAAGATATATTCAAATTTTCACCAAAAAGACGAAAAAAAAACGAACGCAACTAAAAATGACGTTCAAACTTCAAAGTGATTCAATAAAAGCCATGCAGGCAAGATACGAGTATATTGTGGTAATCAATATACCTCATCCTCTTGCCTTTTCCAAAATTATGTTTCTTTTTACTCTTTAAAGTTTAATATTTTGTGATGAAAAGAAATTCGATTCTTTCAAATCCGCTCGTCTTGCCTTTTGCAAGGATTTGTCCGTACAATCTTTTTGCACTGTTTTAAGAAAGCCAAGTTGTTTAGATATATAGACTTGATAATTTTACTTTTTCGACCCTTGAAGATTCATCGTTTATTAACTAGTTAAAAGAAGTGAGACTCTATTATGACTGACTCCGATATAATCATTTCTTTCTGTAATACGTTCACATATTTTATTAAATCAACGATGCTCAATAGTGTTTCGTGATGCAAAAGACACTAGTATATTTACTTAGCAAGAGAAACCTACACTATATTTTTTGAGTGGTCTAATTAATATATGAACTTATGATTATATAAACTTCCAAGTGGAAATAATGATTTTGTTTTTTGAACTTACTAATACACTAAATCACTAATAAGAGAATGTAGACATAAAAAAAACAAAAAAAAAACTCAATTAATAATTCTGGATCGTATGCACTCTAGTACACCATTGGGAGAGAGCAGGTTTTACTTTTGCCTCTGTAAAAAATGAGCAAGAATGGTAGGACAAGTAAGCATTAGACACGTGTCGGTCATGAATACGACTTAACAGCGTGGCAATTTCTCTAACTCTGACGTGTCCGTATGTAGGGACCACTTTCTCCTCCATCCGACACTTCGGCATGGCTTCTCTCATTCCTTCTTCTCCACTCTCATTTCGCTGGCGCGTGTCTCATACTCTCTCTCATTCCCGCCTGTATTCATTTGTTTTTTTTTTCCGTCTTCGACTTTCGTCTTTCATTTTAACGTTTACACAAATTATCATCGATGCTCTATAAAAGCAATGCTCTATAAAAGCAAAGCAAGCAATTCGTGATAGTTTAGTTTTCATATAAAAATAGTTTTTGATTTTTATTTGCTGAGTTTGTTAAATAAAACGCGTGAAGAAAGAAAACATGAAGGAGCTTGACTGGGGCACGTGCAAAGATACAGAAGTCACACACACACACGCTTCCCAAGACGCTCGTCCCATAAACAAAGAGAGAGTCATGGTCATGGCTGTGGCTTGTGCGAGTGTGGGTTTAGCCATAGCTGTGGGTCCTCTCTACTACTTATACCATCAATGGCACCTTCTGTAAATTTCACGACTCTTCCACACACAAAAAAAAAATCTGTAACGGAGAAGAAAATAAAATCTGGCTGGGGTATAATAGATAAGCCGACACGTTTGCCTGCCACGATCCAGACATGAGGAAAAAAAATAAAAAAATTGACGATGTGGGTTTACGGCACCGTCAAGTCTTAACGGCACAACGGGAGTATATAGGCTTCGTCCTTCACGCGCTCTCGTGTTTAGGGAGGGGTTAGCTTATTTATTACAATCGGTCATTATCGGACGGCTGAGATTGGCCCTCTTCTTTTTAATGCACCGTACGTTCTTTTCTTTTTTTCTTTTTTTACATGTATAGATTTAACCACGGTTTGTATTGAATTTAGTTTAGTTTAATCGTGGTTAAATTAGTTTTTAAGATCAAAAGCGATTCCCTAAAATATTTATTATGGTAAAACGTCGTGACTGACTCTTCGTTTGCCTTTTTATAAATTAGTAAAAAAAAATATTTTGTTTTTGGTAACAAAATCGAGTTTCCTTTTTTGCGGTGACATGATTATAAAACCGAATAAGCAATTTTAGGGAAATAAAGGGAGTTTTCAACTGGAGTTACTGTGTGTGGGAAATGACAGGTCTCCAGGATCTCTGAACTACGACAAGTATCTCTTTATATATATATATATATATATATTGAGAGAGATAGAGAGACAAGGAAGGAGAGAGTGTGTGTGAATATGTGCATGATACCGTGAGACTTCTTCAAAAAAGGAAGCAGCTTTGGTTTGCTGCAGATCGGGGTTAGGTATGGAGAAGTAAGCAAAGCTGGCTATCTTATTTTGAAAAACGGCGAGAAGTTTCTTATTGCTGAGGCAAAACAACAAGGAATCTGCGAGAAGAGGAGAAGACAAAAATAGATTTAAGAGAGAGAGAGAGAGAGACAGAGATCGGTTTCGTGGCTGAAGGAGAGATTTTTATTTTCTGAATTACGTTCCTCAATCAATACGGACATAACCGTCCGTTGTGTGTCCTCTGTTATAAAGCAAATAAACTTTTGCTTTTTTTGTTTCCTTTATTTTTCTTTCATGTTTGCTCCATTGATGGGTCTTTGCTTCCTTCTCTCTCGTGTTTCTTCCATGGGGTTAATAAGACTAGTGTTTACCGCGTGAAGGGTTTTTTTTGTCTCCTATTTCATTTCCTTCGTCTTCTTCTTTTTCTTCTACTGCTCTCATCTGGTGGTTCTTCGATGGCGAGTGTCGAAGGTGATGGTGATTTCAGAACTTCTTTGTCAAGTGAGTAAAAAAGGCAGAGACTTGAGAAATTAACTTAACCAAACAGAACAAAACAGAAAGCTTCAATCTTTTTCTAACGGTGACTCTGTTTGGGGTTTTGGCTCTTTAGAATCAAAATCAGCTTCGTAAAGTTTCGATTTTTTATTTCTTTCTCGGGAAACGAGCTTAAAAGAAAAACCCACTTTCTTATCTCTTCTTCTTATTAGTAGCTTCAAAGTTTACATCTTTTTTTTTTTTTTATCTCTTTTGGTTTGCCGCGGAAATGTGAGTGTTAGGGTTTGTTTGATTTCAGGCTCATATCACGATCAACTGTACACAGAGCTATGGAAAGCTTGTGCAGGTCCGTTAGTGGAAGTTCCTCGTCCTCAAGAAAGAGTTTTCTACTTCCCTCAGGGTCACATGGAACAAGTATTTCACCCAAAATTCATCTCTTTTACTTCATCATTTTTCTTCTTTTCCTTTTGTCACATTCTCTTTCTCAATTCTGGGTTTTGCAGCTTGTGGCGTCAACTAATCAGGGAATTAAATCTGAAGAAATACCTAAATTTAATCTTCCTCCAAAGATACTTTGTCGAGTTCTTGGTGTGACATTAAAGGTAAAAATTCGATCATGATTCTTGTTTTTTCCCTTCATTATTAAATTTCTCCTGAATCTGTTATAAAACGTTTAAAGTTTCTGATGTGAAGGCGGAGCATGAAACAGATGAAGTTTACGCTCAGATCACATTACAACCAGAGGAACATGTAAGTTCTTCACTTAAATAAAAGGCACAATTTTTTTTTCATTTTTTGTTTACAATTATTGATTGAAATTGAGTCAAGTTGTTGTTTTTTTTTTGTTTGCAGCAAATTGAACCCACAAGTCTTGATCCACCTCTGGTTGAACCAGCTAAGCAAATGTTCCATTCGTTTGTTAAGATTTTAACTGCTTCAGATACAAGCACTCATGGTGGATTCTCTGTTCTTCGTAAACACGCCACTGAATGCTTGCCTGCCTTGGTAAATATATATATTCTTATAAACTCTTCTCAGTCTAAGAAACTTTGGCTTGAATTCTCACTCCAATTTACACTCTTAGGATATGACACAAGCTACTCCTACTCAAGAACTTGTGGCCAGGGATCTTCATGGCTTTGAGTGGAGGTTTAAGCATATTTTTAGAGGTATTGACACTAATCTTGGAGTTTGAGTGTTTTTTTTTTGAAACTTTGTTTGGACTAATGAGATATGAGGTTGTTTGGGATTAGGACAACCTAGGAGACATTTGCTTACAACGGGTTGGAGTACATTTGTATCCTCGAAAAGACTTGTAGCTGGAGATGCTTTTGTGTTCTTGAGGTATTCTTCAACTGAGACTTCACTGGTCTTGTATTAGGTTCATGACTTTGATGTAATGTCTTGTGCTTTTAGGGGTGAGAATGGAGATTTACGGGTTGGAGTGAGGCGATTAGCACGACATCAAAGCACAATGCCTACTTCGGTTATCTCAAGTCAGAGCATGCATTTGGGAGTTCTTGCTACTGCTTCTCATGCCGTGGGTTCAAAAACATTGTTTGTTGTGTTTTACAAGCCTAGGTATAATTCTTTCGATGATTTTGCTTTTATACATAAGTTACTTAGTACTTTTAGTTCAAAGAAAAGTCTTCTGACTTTGCAGGATAAGCCAATTCATAGTTGGTGTGAACAAGTATATGGAAGCTATAAAGCATGGATTTTCTCTTGGTACCCGATTCAGAATGAGATTTGAAGGCGAAGAGTCTCCTGAGAGAATGTAAGAATCATTTCGTCTGATTATTCTTTTCAGTGTTCTTGATTCTGAACTCTGGAGCCTCTTTCAGATTTACAGGTACGATTGTGGGAACTGGAGATCTATCTTCACAATGGCCAGCTTCCAAATGGAGGTCATTGCAGGTTCAGTCAACCATTCCACGCTCTTTCCCTGTACTGATTTTCTTATTACGTGAACTTCATTTAACGTTCTGTCTTCATCTTTCTTAGGTCCAATGGGATGAGCCAACAACATTCCAGAGACCAGACAAAGTCTCACCGTGGGAGATCGAGCCTTTCTTGCCAACATCCCCAAATTCAAGCCCTACTCAACAACCACAATCAAAATGCAAGCGGTCTAGGCCCATCGAGCCATCGGTTATAACACCAGCTCCACCTAGTTTCTTGTACAGCTTCCCTCAGAGCCAAGATTCCATCAATGCAACCATTAAAGTGTTCCAAGATCCACCACTTGAAAGAAATTCAGGTGGATACTCCTCAAACAACAACTTCAAGGCCGAGACTCCGCCTCCTCCAACGAATGGTTGCTATAGGTTGTTTGGATTTAATCTCACAAGCAATCCTCCTGCTCCAATCCTTTTAGACAAGCAACCAAACGAAACTAGTGGAGCTGCTACGTGCCAAGAATCCATCACGCCAAGCTCAACCAATGAGCAGAGGAAGCAACAAACATCGAGAAGTCGAACTAAAGTAATCATCTTGACCACTTTAAAAACTCATAATATAACAACAAAACTGTTTTTGGAAATCTGATTTCATTGATATTGGAATGAAAAGGTGCAAATGCAAGGGATTGCGGTTGGCCGTGCGGTTGATTTAACGCTATTGAAATCATACGATGAATTGATTAAGGAGCTTGAAAAGATGTTTGAGATTCAAGGACAGCTTCGTCCTCGAGACAAATGGGTTGTTGTCTTCACAGATGATGAAGGAGATATGATGCTTGCTGGAGATGATCCATGGAAGTAAGTAAACCATTACCTATTTACCTTGTTTAGCTCCCCAAATCAGTTACTGGTTTAACATGTGATTGTTAGTTAATCCCTTTGTCCCTCTTACCTTAGGAGTCACAATGTATTATTGAATGGTGTTCTGTTTGTGTGTGTAAAATTGTGCAGTGAGTTTTGCAAAATGGCGAAGAAGATATTTATATATTCGAGGGATGAAGTTAAGAAAATGACAACAAAATTGAAGCATTATTCATCGTTAGAGAATGAAGATGGTAAAGAATGATTTGATGATCATCGTTAGTAGGTGGTGAGGGTTTAGCTGTTAATTAAGGTTTAATTCGGCGACGTCATTTTAGTACGTAAGGCTCTTCTTCTAAAGACTTTCTTCAATCTGTGTATATAAAAAAGTCTTTGGTATTGGGATCTCTTTTTTTTTTTTCTCCATGTCAATTTTTTAGGTTGGCGATTTTAAGTATTTCGATTTTGGGACAGTGGTTGATGGGTTGGTTCACATCTTTACGTACTTTGTTGTGTTCCATAACCATTCAATTTTCAAAACCAAGTACATCAACTATAAGTTATGGGTTCAAAGTTTCCAACAATTTGTCCCAAAAAAACAAAAACATTAGAGATTCGCTGAAACTGAAAGCGTGGAAATCTTGGCGGTGGGCATGATATGAAAGTCTGATTATATGATAAGTAAAAAGGATTCAACGGCGTTAAATATTTTTTTTTTAAAGAAAAATGTATATAGTGGACTTATTAAATGTATAGTGGACTTATAAAATGTATAGTGTTATTAAATTTGAACTTAAAAAACGAACAGAATCAAAACTAAACATTGAACTAAATTTCTTGTTCATATGAGGAAGCTACTAAATTTCCAACCTTATCATTGCAACAGATTATTCTTTGATAAAATGTTTTTAAAAAATCACATATCACATATATGATATATTTATAATACTTTAGTTTCCTTGACAATAATAGTCTACATCTTCGTTTAATTTTGATTACAAGCTTATAGTCACATACGAAACCAATACAGAATCTCAAACCTAGGTGTTGGTGTGGTGTTGATTATGTACTTATCTAGTGTAGACTGTAGAGTATCGAGCAAATGTTTTACTTGCACCAAATAAATAAAATTTTGGAGCTAGTGTAAAAACGTTTCTACTTAATTGAGGAAACAAAATAAAACATGTAAACAAAACACTTGTACTCAATACGAGCTACAGATCAAATATTGTATTATTCCCTTAAAATAGAATCAAACAAAACTTATAATCTTTTTATACATGCATTAAAAACTTATAAACTAATATAGGTGACATAAAAGAAAATTAAATATACGGTGTTGCAGTCGTAGTTGTAGTTGTACGCGAATTAAGTCTGACTAATTTTCCTCAACAATAAGGGCACGGTTTGACTTTCAGTTCGAGCAACGGGTTGTGGTAGTCGACACAGTACTAAAATATCAAGCGTTGGATGTTCAATGACAATTGTACATATATATATTTAATCCACTGTCTTGTTATTACGAATCATAACACAAGAAATGGTTAAAACTCCAAAAAAGAACAAGAAAGATATGGGTACTAACGAAGAGGAAGAGGAAGTCGAAGAAGACAATAAGGAGGCGACGATAATCACACCGAAGCTTCAACATGTCTTAGCCGCGAAATCGAGAAGGTTACAGCACATGTCATCACCAGTAGTAAAAAACCACGTGTCACTATCACACTTGATGTCTTCCCCTGAACCTGATGACTCAATCTCTCGAGCTTCGGTTCCTTTCTCCTGGGAAGAAAAGCCTGGCAAACCTAAACACCATACTCGTCATCCTTCTTACACCAAGTGTCTTGATTTGCCTCCGAGAATGTTCCTTCCTGGTGAATTCGCCAAAATGCATCTGACAGCGAGCCATCGTCGTCGTCTCGCCGGGTGGAAACGGTGGTTCCGGTGGAAGAAAGAGAGAGATGGTGAAGGCTATGTGGCCGGAAAGGGTACATTCGTCTATCCATCGGAAGATGAAGATGATATGAAGATGTACACAAGAACAGGAGGTCTCCACTGTTTCTCTTACGTCACTACTTGCTTCTGAGTAAAATAACTTTATATATGTCTTAAAATGGTATCATGTCTTGTCCAAGAAGAAACCATAGATTCCACGTGTTGTTTTGTTTTGCAAAGAGGTTCCATTTCCATGGAACAACGAACAACAAGCTAAAAAAAAGAAGAAGATTGCTTTTCGAGGGAAATATGTATGTTTTATAAATCGTACTAGGGTCATAAAATAATAATAATACGTCGTCTTTTACTTGTACGAATACCATCGATAAATGGGCTTTTTGTGGGCCTCATATACTTGTTATTGGAATATATATACTTGCCCCAATACCATTATAGTTATCCAATAACGAATCATTTCTATGATGATGATCTGGATCCAAATCTGTATATAATATAATATTGAATATGAAGATGGGATGTTTTCGAGAAAGTGATGTGGGGGCATCGCATATATAATGGACAAATAATGCAGAATTAGTGGCTAGGATGCGATCATCATTACATCAAAATGGTCCAACAAATTATATTTTGTATGTCAAGAGTTTCGAAATCTGGAGTCTAAATTTTCCCAAGAACTCATTTTTATTTTCAACTCTCATATATTTATACACGTTTAGATGCGTTCAGTCTCTATTCCAAATCTAGTTGGCGGGAGTCAAAACAACTAACTTATGAAATTATATGTTATTAAGCCCAATGATATTTATTAATGGGCCGTATATTAGAAAAGGCCGGAGAATAAAACAACGGAAGCTTCTTCTATCTGAACATACTGGTAAAACACGTGGGCCGTTTAAGACTGTAGAAAACGGCAGACAAGGTTAATCTAGAAGAACCAAACGACACGAGAGGGAAGCATCTTATTATATAAAACTTTGTAAACCTTAAAAAAACTGTAAAGAATTAATAAAACAAAGAAATTTGAGTAAAACTTCATGACTTTTAAGTTTTAACCCAAAAAAAAGTAGTAAAGATAATTCACATGAATCAGACCAAAGTGCCGCAATTTCACGTTGAGTATAAGAACCTAGAGAGAGAGAAAAAAAAACTCTCGTCGAGAGTAAGAAGAAGAAAGAGATGATTTTTTTATTTTGCAAATTATAAGCCTTTTCGTTTGTTTCTCTCATCTTTAAATTGAAGGACATAATTGTCCAAATCTGGGGTCTACAGTATAAAAGTAAGTAGAAAACGGTCTCTAAACACATAAGGGTGTTAAAGCGAGAACAAAGACACATAAACGGTGTTAACATACAACATTCTCTTTAATGTATAGGATAACAAAATGGGAGCTTCTATTAGAAAGGATCATATGAAAAAGTTTGAAAAATATGGTTAAATATATATATTTTTAGATATTACATATACGGTTATATATATATATATACTTATATTACAATATATGCGTGCTTATATAAAAGCCCAAAAATAAACATAGTAAAATTACTACACCCTTATCTATTAATCATATAATAAAAATATACAAAAAAACACTAAATATTTATCCAATACATATTTTATACACTACAAATTTTTATTTTTTTACAAAAAAAAAATTATTCAACCGTGTGCAAGCACGGGTTCTCCTCTGGTATGGTATTTATTAATGGGCCGTATATTAGAAAAGGTAGGAGAATAAAACAACGGAAGCTTTTTCTTGCTGAACAAACTGGTAAAACACTTGGACCGTTTAAGACTGTAGAAAACGGCAGACAAGATTAATCTAGAAGAACCAAACGGCACGAGAGGAGATATGATGTTTTGTTAGGGTAGAAAAAGAGAGACAGTTGTCTTTAGATTTCAGAAAAGCCAATCACGCCCCAAAACTGGGCCCTATCTTATTCCTTTTTGTCGCTTCCTGTCGGTCCTTCCTAATTCTTCTCCAGCCCCTCGTCTTTTAAATATATACACAAATAACCACTTTACTTTCTTTTGTTAAGTTTCAGGCCTAAAATTCTATAACTGAATCGATGCTAAAATTAAATAAATTCCACAAACAATCATCTGATTACATGAATAATATGATTTTAATCTTTTCTAGTAAAGGAAGTGGCATGTTGTATACATTAACGTTTTAATAACACGTGATTTTATTTTTGTTTAGAATGATTATTAACGCTAAAGCTATATGTCGTATAACATAATAACTCGTGCAGTATTGTTTGTTTGAAAAGTTTCTTTGGGTCGTTTCTTTCTTATAATTGGCCTCGATTTTTCAGTTTATGTGCTTTTTACAAAGTTTTTGATTTTTAGGTATTATCTGATTAACGCCACATTTGTTATGTAGCTTTGCCGATTTAAGAATAAAATCATATTAACTTTATGAAGCCATGTGTAGTGTAATATATATATAAATGGTCCCTTTACGAAATTTTAAAAAGCAGATCACAATTCAAATAAAGGATGAAATTTTGGTGTACCCTTCTCTTGAACTTCGTGGAAATAACTCAATTAAATTAGAGAAAGTATTATTGCATCCGAAGAATACTCCATATTCCTGAAAAAAAAATACAGTCAACACATATATTGTACTTTATATAAAAGTTAGAAATGAAAAAGCATATGTTTTTTTATCGACCATATTAAGTCACAACTTTATCATAAATTAATCATGTGATTATAAATTTCAAGTTCGCCACCGAATTTCGTAACCTAATCTACTACATATAATAGATTAAAATTATTAGAGTAATTATGATACCTATATAATAAGGATCATGAAATTGCCAAGGTAGTAATATATACAGACTACTATATACTGTATATTGGCGGATCGTAACCCAACATATAATACTATTAATTACAAAATGGGTGGGCGGGAATAGTATACAACTCATTATTCCACTCACATTCTTTTGTATTATTTAATATGAAATAGATCAACTTTGCATAAAAATAATGTATTCATCTGTATATGTTCGTATAAAAAATATCAATTGAAAACATATATCATCTCTGAACAAAACATTATTACACTGTGGTTTAATAATGACACAATTCAGTTGGAAATTATGACAAAGATGACAAGTGATTCAAACAAATTTTAAATACCATTGCACGATGCGCATTACCGTATATACTGAAGATAAAATCTTTTTTTTTTTTAAATCACTAGTTTATTGAGCCAGCCAATAAGTTAAATAGAACAATCAGTATTATAGCCAGATATGTTATTTTTTTCTTTAAAAATGTTATAAAAAGAAAATAAGAGGGACCAGAAAAGAACGAGAGAGGGAGGCCATGAGACATTATTATCACACTAGTCAAAAACAACAAACCCTCCTTTTGCTTTTTTCATGTAAAATTATTATTATATTTTCTTTTGCAGGTTTCTTCTCTTCTTCTTCTTCTTCTTCTTCTTCTTCTTCCTCTCGGCTGCTTTCTTTGATCATCCATAAAGTGAAAGCTAACGCATAGAGAGCCATATCGTCCCAAAAAAAAGCAAAAGTCCAAAACCAACAAAAAAAAACTATCTCCTAAAACATTCTCTCTTTGCTCTTTTAGTCTTTAGTTTCTCTCTCTCTCATCTCTCTCTGCCTTTCTCTTTGTCGAAGCTCATGGATGCTACGAAGTGGACGCAGGTACGTCAAAAATATCTCTCTTAATTTGCTTTATCCGTTTGTTTCTTCTTTCTGACTATTACTTCTCCCTCTCTCTCTCTCTCTCTCTCTCTCTCTCTTTTTATCTCTCTACTCACATACATGTGTGTATATGCACGTACATATGTATGTATGAAACAAGTTTTTGCTATGATGCATCTTGTGGTTTATATGTATATATAGTCGTAGAGAGATATCTGTATGATGGGTTTTAATTTGGACTTTTTCCATATGATGAAAATTGCATGGGGTATTATCTGTTTAAGATTGTCGAAGTTCTCGAATGGAGTTACGGGGCTTTTGTTCCCCATAAGATCACCTTTTCATGTGAATAATTTTATAAATTCTGATAACTTATGGATAAAAAGGTATGATTTGTTAGTTACCTTTTGTTCTTGGTGCTCTGGTCTTAATAAATTCTTCTTAAAAAAAACTTTTCTTTCTTACCGTACCGGTTTATTTAACCTTTTATAAACCTAGTATATTTTAATGTTCATTTGAGTAGAATTATTGCTTCAGCTTAATTGATCTTACTACCAAACATAAATTTTGGCGAGATTCAAGACTCCGTTTTGCTTGCTATTGTTCTATGTTTTTTTACATGGTTAGTGATTAATTAATTAAATTAGTCTATCTTAATTTTTAGGGGTTTCAAGAAATGATAAACGTAAAACCAATGGACCAGATGATTTCTAACGTCACCAACAACAACACATCGCAGCAACAACCAACATTCATCGCCACCAACATTAGGCCAAATGCCACCGCATCCAACGGTGGTTCCGGCGGAAATAACAACAGCACCGCCACGACGATGGAAACTAGAAAGGCGAGGCCACAAGAGAAAGTAAACTGTCCAAGATGCAACTCAACTAACACAAAGTTCTGTTATTACAACAACTACAGTCTCACGCAACCAAGATACTTCTGTAAAGGTTGTCGAAGGTACTGGACAGAAGGTGGTTCTCTTCGTAACGTCCCAGTTGGAGGTAGCTCAAGAAAAAACAAGAGATCCTCAACACCATTAGCTTCAGCTTCTAATCCCAAGCTTCCAGATCTAAATCCACCGATTCTTTTCTCAAGTCAAATCCCTAATAAGTCAAAAGATCTCAACTTGCTGTCTTTCCCGGTCATGCAAGATCATCATCATGGTATGTCTCATTTTCTTCATATGCCCAAGATAGAGAACAACAATACTTCATCCTCAATCTATGCTTCATCATCTCCTGTCTCAGCTCTCGAGCTTCTAAGATCTAACGGAGTCTCTTCAAGAGGCATGAACACGTTCTTGCCTGGCCAAATGATGGATTCGAACTCAGTCCTTTACTCATCATTAGGGTTTCCAACAATGCCTGATTTCAAACAGAGTAATAATAACCTCTCATTCTCCATTGATCATCATCAAGGGATTGGACATAACAACATCAACAGTAACCAAAGAGCTCAAGATAATAATGATGACATGAACGGAGCAAGTAGGGTTTTGTTCCCTTTTCCAGACATGAAAGAGCTTTCAACCACAACCCAAGAGAAGAGTAATGGTAATAATACATACTGGAGTGGGATGTTCAGTAATACAGGAGGATCTTCGTGGTGAAAAAAAAAGGTGAAAAAGAGATCATGAACTTATATAGCTTTCTTTCTCTTTTTCACTTTTTTACCTCCTTATTTTATTATATATATTTTTTTACTTTGATGATCTTTTGTTTTTTCTCACATGGGGTACTTTAATTAAAGTTGTCAGAACTAAGTTTACAGATTGTCTTTTTATTCCTTCTTTCTGGGGTTTTTCTCTTTGTTTTGTTTTTTTAATCAGTCTTTTAAAAAAAAAAAACATAATTGAGCTTGCTGGTAATTTATATTTGTAGTAATCATATAGGGTCTACGTTCATGAGGAGTGCTAAGGGATATATGATCAGTAGGGTAGAAGAATAAGTGAATACAAGGGCTTCGTGTGTAATCAGTGAAATCTGTATTCATCATTTCTTCTATTTAATTTCGACAAGTATTTGTGTAATTTATTCCTCTTTTTATCTAATCATAATCCGATCTATATTTTGAATTTTGTAAACGTAAAATTTTATACATTTCATCCGTCGTATTTGCAGCTTAGACATTTTATGTACTTACCATCCAGTTTTATCACTTGTCATTGTGAGTAACAATTTATTTCTTATTTTAGTCACGAACCAGGCTAGAATATGTGGTATGATAAAACTAAGCAACGAGTGTGGTATAGTGCAAAATATGGAAACATCGAACAAAGATACAAGAGAAAGAAAAAAAAAGATTGATGGTAGTATTTAAATGTTGTTATTACTTATTGCTTATTGTAACAATTTTATTACATGTTTTTGTTTTTTAGTTATAGTTTAATGTTTGATGTTGATACCGAGTACCGACGGATATCAAAGTTAGATACCTAACAGATTAATTACAAATTATATGATGGTGTAATACAACAGTGTGACACAGTTCCAAATATATAGGCACACTAATTTAGTAGTGAATTATTTCAGAAACTTATCAAACACTATGTTTTTATTTCAGATTTAACATTATTTGTTAATTTAAACAGGATGACAGCACTAACTACTAAAATGAAATACAAATTAAAAAGTCATGAATTGTAAATGGCTAAATGCCATTTGCGTGAACCATATATGAGATGTTTATGTAAATTGGACTAGTTTACCAGTATTTGTTTCCAGCTTGTAACTATTACTTATTACTCATTTCTTAATTCTTACATGTAAAGTAAATGGTTGAAACTTGAAAATATAAAATTAGTTTATCAAACGTGCCAAATCTGTCAAAATAGGCAAAATAGGCAAAATAGTGAAATCCTTCGAAAGTATGTGTATTCTTTATTTTCGCGAATAATTTTATTCTTTTGTTTTTCAATTAGTCATTTTAATCATAGGTTAAACCATTAGCAACCCAAAATTTTTAATAGTAGATCGATGTCATAAAATATACTCGTACTATATACGGTGATAAAAATAAAGATGATCGGAATCATTATCCACGAATAGTCATGATTATCAAATCCCAAAGCATCGTAATTTGGGGACACTAATTAATTATCGAGCTCCTCAGCTTTTTGACTTTTGTGCCCGTGCGTAAACGTAGCAATGTTTATCTTCTTCTTTCATGATAATCACATTTTCAAGTAAATAAAACTGTTTTCGTATTTTCTAGTTATAATATAAATGTTTTCACTGTATACCGCTATATATAGACTAAGTTTAATTTATCAATATCAAAAATTCGCCGTAAGATAATGTTTGATACAAAAACGATGATTATATTGCTTTTAAAAAGGGTAGTTACTAATTAAAATAATTTGGTATTCTAATGAAAATGCATAAAATGAAAGGGATAATAAATATATAATGGTCAGTCATAAAGTTTTGAGAGTTAAGTGAAGAGATTACAACAAAGTTTTTAGAATAAGAAGAAGTTGAAGCTGTGGAATCAACATATTGCAAAAGTAATGTATTTTAGGTCCTATTTAACCTTCCCCAACTAGAAGCCGTTTGTAACATTAATTACGTTTTGAGCTGTAGAATGTGAATTATATAATATACTATTATATACTGTATGTAAGTAAATTTGGTCATATTAGTTAATCATTGTCATTTTGTACTCTATTTTGCGGTAAATCTGGTATATTAGTAATTTAAATCTCGTAGATAAAGCAAAACAAACACCCGATAAGATTCGGAGACGACGGCCCGGTTTCCTTGATTTCTCGTTATTTACCAGATTTACCACAAACGTCACATTCCCACTCGACTTTTTTGTTTCCTTTCTTTAATATATAAAAAAATGTAGTAAGAATAATAATTAAACCATACCTTCACGGTTCATTCACCTAATCCGCTTATTCATCTTTTAATTAATTGAAAAAACTGTCTTATAATTGATTCGTAGTGTATACACACAATTAACATCAGTTATTATTATTATTTTTTTTTTATTAAAACAATATGCTTTTAAATCTTAGGTAACGACATTCTATCGGCATTAAAGCCAATGTTGCAATACATTTTTTATTTACATCATTTTATAAACAAGCATAAACTATTTATGGTACTTACGTATGAACACATATTTAACATGAAACCAAAAAAATAAATATGAACACATATTTTTCTAATCTACGAATGTCAGACTGTGGTTGATGTTGTTAGTTTACGTTTGATTATAAATACAAATTGTTTTTTTTTATTAAATAAACAAGCATAAACTTCTATTTTTTTGTTGTTTATAATTACAAGCAAATTGAGCATAAACTATGGTACTACGTACGTATATATTAATGTCGGAATAGTAAAACGTAATTATGTAAAAACTGTGTATGAACAGATGATGATTAGCAGTAGTAGTAGCTGGCTTGAAATGCGGAAGTAGATGCCCACTTTATAGTGCCCGCCAACCAAACATGAATTTTTCATTGGTTTTGTGATTTGTATCTTTTATGATTATTTAATTGCTGACTAAATTTGAATAATATACACTCTTGTAAAATGTTTTACCACATTTAAATAAGCGACATAAAATCGAACGCAATATTCTCCTAGTCTATAAGAAATCTAGATTTATCAGCGCGCATGGTCGCTTTATTCACAAAATTATTAAAGAACAAAATACAACGCGACGGATCGATGGATGGAGTCAACTATATTTTTATAAATAATGCTGTTGTTATCTTCAAGCCAAAGAAATCCAAGGAATAAAAAAAGGACCTGTCTCAACCAAAAAAAAAAAACATTTAAATTAGTCGATACCAATTTACAATGAAAAAATTTATAAAGACGAGATCCCTTCTTCACCTTTATACTAAACACTTAAACTTTGTACTAATCCCTTTTTCAACTAAACACTTTTTTAATTTGTACAATACAATCGCAGCAAGTGACTCAAGGATTCCCCATAAAAATTTGGACCACTCGGCCCAGTCATCTCCCACCTGGTGTCGGACCACATTTGATTACATCCTTTTTTGACGTCGGCAAACTAGATAGGCCGAGCTAATGTTATGCTGTGTGTTATTTATTAAAGGGATTCAGAATTATAACGATGAATCAGTGCATGAACCAAGTAAGAACAACAATCAAATTTAAAGCCATAAAGTTTCAGCTATCTCCGATAATAAGTATCTCCAATTCTATTGGATTACTAGTCACATAAACCATAAGATCATAGTCATAAAACTACTTTCAAATTTATATCAAAAAACATGGCTGCAATTCAAAACACGACATAAGCAAATCTCCCTTCTCTACTGTCACAGACATTCTTGGTAGCTTCTGTATCGTCTTCATGGTCTTCCTCTTGGGACTGGAGAGCGACTGTTCAATAAGAAACATAACAGAGACGTCAATGAGAATTGAGTAAACAGTAACCAAGCCAAAGCCAATGATACTGAATTTGAGTAAACGGTAAGAAGCCAAAGCCATTTTTATTTACCTTCTGTAACGATCATAACCAGGACTCCTTTGTCTTCCATAATCAGAACCCCTACGTCCATAATCTGGACTCCTGCGTCTTTCATATGGTGCTGGACCTTTGTATCTATCATACTCTGGGCTTCGAGGACGACCATAATCTGGACTTGGACGCCTACCATAATCAGGGCTTGGACGTCTACGGTACACAGGACTAAGAGATCTTCTTGGGCTACGACCACCGTAACGATCATCTCTTTCATCGTCATCCTTCATCGCATACTCCACAGAAACAACCCTATCCAATATTTTGCTGAGGAAACCAAGGGGATTTTAGTGAGGCAAACATATTGAATGTTTGGCAGAAAAGGTAATCAGAGAAAGTGTTGTCTTTTACCTTCTATTAGTAGCTTCAAGGGCTTTTGTGGCATCTTCTTGCGTTTCAAACTGAACAAATGAGAAGTTGCGTCTGATACGCACGTTATTGACCTTACCATAAGGCTCAAAGTGCTTTTCAATGTCGTGCTCTTTTGTTCGAATGGGGTCAAAGTTAATGACAAACAGTGTCTTTGTAGGCTTATAACCTGAACCAGCCTTCCCATCACCACGAGTCCTGCTACGTTCACCCTGATAACCGGAAGAAACTTTAGAACTTTCCCTAAATTTGAGGCAAAGTGAAAGCTTCAATAAAAAAGCATATAAAGAATACCTTTGCCCATTCGACTGATAATTTGCGTTTCTCATATCCAAAAGGAAAATTGTCAAGCTTGCGAATTGCGTCTTCAGCATCACGTTCATCCTCAAAGTAAACAAAAGCATAACCTGCAACCAAAAAAAAATGCTCAAGAATCACAAAATGCAACACAAAAAGTGAAAAATCCTCCAGTCCATAAACCTGAAATGTTTTTAGAACAGTCAATACAGCAAATCTTGTAGCCCCCTAGAAAATAACTAAATAGATTTACAACACCTGCATATATGTGAAGGCTGGTGTACAAGAGATGTAGAGGCGTTCCATGATGTAGTAGAAAAATCAAGATTTGTAGCATAACAAAGGAAAAAAAAACACCAATTATCTAAAAACAATTCTGAGTGATTTGCTAGGCATGCTTCAACATTCTGAGTGCAGGAGTACAGTTAAGGAAGGCAAGGCATGGCAATGGCACGATGGATTCAATAGACTTCCATCAGAACCATCGATGATTGGTATAGACAAGACAAATTCCAAAGATTCTCTAGAATCAGCCAAGATTGGTAGGCACAACATGATAAAGGCAGGCATGAAAATGTAGAAATGTATTTGCAGGAAGAAGAAGATGGCAATTCTTGTTCCTTTGAAGAAAATTTCCTGCGACCAAATAAACACTTAATACAAGGATCCTCTCTACTGCAAAAAAAAAACCCCTAGAACACTAAACCTTTAACAAAATCGTTTAACCAGTAAGGCATTCTAAACCTGAAAATCATGTATATTAATGGAACTAGTTCATAAATATCCAGAATCCTAGGTCTAAACCTCCGGTCAAACAACCAGAAGACAAAGCCTGGAATCCTAGGTCAAATAAAAAGCTAAACCTCAGCAAAGATGACCAAACAATTAAAACTTCAAAAGATTATCTCAGTCACCGGCGAAGAAATTAGAAGACGCTTTACCAGATTTCATGTCTACTCGCTCCACCCTCCCGTACTTGTCGAACAATCGTTCCAATTCCGACTGGCGAGTTTGATACTCGAAATTCCCGACGAACACTGGCCTCATCTTTTCACCTAAATCCGCAAAGTCCTAGCGAAAACCAATTATACAAAATTAGAGACACATAGAGGATAAGAGAAAGCAGATAGACATGAGCACGTAGAATCATCGAAGAAAAATACCTTGAACGATCGGAGAAGAAACGAGAAGCAAACCCTAGACGACGACGACGACGCTCGGCGAAGAAAAAAGCTGAGTCGCAGCCTGGTTGACTTAAAAACCCCCGTCATCCCATCAGGGGCAAATTTGGCAATTGAATTATTTTTAATGGGCCGATATCCAAATTAACGGCCTTATAAATAGAATTCTACTAGGAAGCCCAATTGAATCTAAAACATGTGTAATTTCGTGTGTGTGTCAACGCAAAAGTACTTCAAGTGCGCAGTATTAGGACACGTGCAGCTTCCACAGAGTTCTCTTATCTGTTTGGTTCATTCGTCTTGCGGTCCTTGTTACTTGGCTCTTTTGCAATATCTCTCTGTCTCAAGTTCGAGAGTGAGAGAAAGAGAGAGAGAGTATGGCGACCACGCTTCATTGTCTCTCCACGATTCATCTTCTTCCTCGCTCCCATTACCCTAAAACCCTAAACTCTCTCAAGCCAATCACCAAATCACAACCATGCAAAATCCCAGACATATCCTCCAATCCCAACGCCCTCCAGCTCCTTAAATCATCATCTCTCCCTCTCGCAGTCGTCGCACTGCCTTTCTTCATCGATGCACAGGTAATCAAAAAGTCTCAGTCTTTCCCCAGTAGTAGCTGCTTCACGTTTTAACAATTCAAGATTTGTGTGTGGTTTGTTTGCGCTTTGAAAAGGATGCAGCAGCAGCTGGAGGAGAGTTTGGGATTTTGGAAGGAAGAACATTCGCGTTGATACACCCAATTGTGATGGGAGGTTTGTTCGCATACACTCTTTGGGCTGGTTACTTAGGTTGGCAATGGAGACGTGTCCGCACGATACAGAGTGAGATTAGTGATCTCAAGAAACAGCTTAAACCAACCCCTGTTTCTCCTGATGGATCCTCGGCCGTCGATTCTTCGTCCCCTCCTTCTGCCACGGAGCTTCAGATCCAACGGCTGACGGAAGAGAGGAAAGAGTTAATCAAAGGGTCTTATAGAGATAAACACTTTGACGCTGGCTCTGTTTTGTTAGGCTTTGGTGTTTTGGAAGCTGTCTTTGGTGGACTTAACACTTTTCTTCGTACCGGTAAACTCTTCCCCGGTCCTCATCTTTACGCCGGTGCAGGTACCTTGACCAAATCTCTCCTTTTTTCTTAATTTTAGGCTTTGATTGATAGTGCTGAACGAAATTGTATGATCGATCTTAGAATATGCATGAAAAGGTTGCTCAATCCGGTTTTGGTTTGGTTGGATGTGGGTTTAGATTTTGATCCGAATTTTTTTATTTTAGTTATACTGTTCCATTTCAGTAGTGTCGTTTATATTTGTGTTAGTATGTGTACAAAAGTGGTGAAAATTTGAGTTTTCGGTGGTGGTGGTGGCAGGAATAACGGTGCTATGGGCTGCGGCGGCGGCATTAGTGCCGGCAATGCAGAAAGGGAACGAGACGGCGAGGAGTCTACACATAGCCCTGAATGCAGTAAATGTTCTTCTTTTCGTTTGGCAAATCCCAACAGGTCTTGATATCGTTCTTAAGGTCTTTGAGTTCACTAAATGGCCATAATATATATTACTACTATTTTGGATCTGTTATATTATTGATTGAGTCCCTTGACTCAATTCTGCGACTTTTTTTGTTTTTTTGAGGATTGTAAATGATGACTTGTAAAAAATCATGCACTTAACGTGAATGTTAGAATATGGTTCAGCAATACTTGGTGTTTCATATTACTTGTAATGATTTTAATGTACAAGGAATCATCTAGTCGTTTGGTTAAACATGTTGAAATAATAATTTTCATTATGTGATGGACTGATGATAAGTACATTTACCGAACACAACAATCTGCGATCAGAACTTTGATCGAATTTGTGAAGTCCAAAATTCGTGTTTTGCTAATTAAGTTTGGCATCAATTGTATTCACTCCAAAAACTTCTCAAAATTAGGTTTCATATTTTCAAATCAGGAAAGCCAATGCATAAAGAAAAGAAATGTTAAGCCTCGTTGAGCTGCAATGAACAAATAAAGAGTATCTACCAATTATAAACATACAAATAAAATGCTTCAAAATGGCTACAATTGATGATACTAGTCGTGAATTGTGGTTTTGAGAGCTGCATCTGATACCTTCCTGTTCACATTGTTTATTTTTATTTTCTTGTAATTAATTATATCATAACACGACGACGCCTATAAATATAAAACGATCCTAAGCCACACCCTAATCCAAAACCATTGCTTTTAATATTTACCATTAACCAAATCAAATAGCATACGGAGTATTTTACAAAAATTCAATTAATGTCGAACCGATCAGGTCGATCAGGTCGTTCTTGGTACCGTCTCTCTAGCATCGTCCGACCCACGGCATATTCATCTCGCGACCCATCCTCTCCCCACTACGTCATCGAACCACCACTGTCTCCGGCTGTCTCACCATCACCTCCTCCCCCACCAAGATCTGCACCAAAGGAAGTCCGAGAGACTAAACCGAATCCAGTTGTATCGCCAAGGCCGTCTGTAAAATATGAAACACCTAAGTGGAGGCACGAACGGGAGACCACTAGTCAGAAAATACTTACATTTTCGGATAATACAAAGAAGGAACAACAACACGATGATGAACCGTCTCCGGCTGCTCCACCTCCACCTCCTAGATCTCCACCAAATGTTGTCAAAGAGACTAAACCGAGTCCGGTTTTATTGTCACAGACTACAAAGTATGAACCACCTAAGCAACAAGAACAACAAACCTCGTACATAGACCAAACAAGGAGCAGCCACAACAACAACACGATGATGTCCCCGGCTGCTCAACCTTCACATCCGCCGCCTCAACTGATGTGCCCACCACTACGTCCTCCGTCCCCAGAGGAAGTCCAAGAGGCTAAACAGACTCTGGTTAGTTCTTCGCCGTCCATTAGCCAAGAACCACATAAGCCTATGCAGGAACACGAGACCACTCAACAGAAAAACATAGTTACATTATCGGAGAAAACAAACATCGTACACGGACCAAACGAAACGTTATATCCCGAGTTGGATGATGATGCCATAATAGGCACACAAAGCGTCATAACCATTTCAGGTGAAAACAAAGGAGCTGTAATGGAGATCCTACAGTCACCGAGCAAGACACGTGGACCATATTTAATTAGTAACGGCCCTGAGAAAAGTGCAGAGGAAAAGTCAAAACCAAAGCGTAAGTCAAATAACCATAACAGTAAAGGTGAAAATCGTTTTGTGAACAGTAATGTTCAGATCATAAACGGCTCCGTCGTTTGCAACTCGTCGGAGACTCATCATGATCCCGGCGTTCATCTTAGCCTTTACCGGAACTCTAGCACCGGCAATGATTTTATTATCAAGGACCATGGAAATGGATACACCAGCTCATTCAACTAAAGTGTGACCATATCTACTAAAATTTAAATGATTAAAACGATTAGAGAATTGAAAATAAGCTACGATTGTGTGAAATAATACTGGGCTTTGCTATTTCTTAATGTCTATCAGTGTAATCTAAAACTTTGTACATAAATGTGAAGTGTTCAGTTGTTCACGTTGATGCTTGATGGCCTAAACTGGGTTATCAACTCTCTTGTTCGAGCCCATTTTATGTTTATACACATTAATTAGTAGCTTTTTTTTTTGTAGATACCTGAACTAAAAGGAAACAAAATTATCATACAAGATTAATTTTGGTATAGGAATATTATTATTTATGGGCATTATAGTTTTTTACGATCACTTATATTGAGAAACATACATGACATCATTACGAAGACCTCTCAGCAACCAGTAAAGATGCTTCGACCATCAAAAGTTTCTTTATAGATACTTGTCCACTTTTAAGATCTCTCAATTGTATATACGATTAGACCAAACAAAAAAATTCAAATCTAGTCATATTTTGTTCTTTCCCAATGTTTATGTGCCTGCTCCTCACTGGATCAAAAATATCACCACCCTTTAATAATTCATGTGTCACAATCTTTGTAATATATAAATATATAAAAATTCTATAACTTCCATTATAACTATTTTATGTTCGACCACACACTTTGAAAGTGTTTAAGTGTTTCAGTCAATATCTTCCCTTGTTAAACAATCATATCGCATGAGTATTAGATTTTTTTTATTTTCATTTTTCGTTTAGTAATCGACCAGTGGTAATAGTGGTTAGTTTGTTTGATCAGATAAATTATCCCTGTGACCGAAGTCAAATATGTCTATGAGCTATTCTCTTATGTCTATGATCTATGGTCTAATAGGTGTTTAGTAGATTTGGGCATGTTATAAAGGCATGCCGGCTAGTCCGATAAATTAAGTTGTCTACAATACCGTAAATTGAGTTGAATTAATTACTTTGAATTTGGTTGTTTAGTTACATACCGATATACAGATTACAGAGTGAACGCTGGCCACTTAATTTTCAACTTTTTAATTATATATATGAATAATAAAAGGAAATAATTATATATATATCGATATTTTAGGCAAATATCTACACACACGTTATATAGTTTTTGTAATGTGACGAGACGAAGACAATTCTGATTGGTCGTTAATGCATTCAAAAAAACAAATAAGGGACAAGGTATGTCAAATCTGCAACTTTTATAAAGACGATTCGGCAAAAAAAAACGAATCTTTTATATATTTTTGGCCGGGGCAAAAAATGTGAAACAACTCCTTCGATTTATTCGGCAAAATTCTTAGCAAATTATTTTGTTTTAGTAAATATTGTCGGTCGATATTTTGAAAATTTAAGGTTACATGGGAGTTGAATTTTCGTACCCGAACATATAAGAATTATCTTTCGTTATGATGAATTGGTATAACCTAATGTATATCACCTACCTATTTTTTGTTAACATAATTACATTATTCACGATTATATATGTGTCTTTTGGTATTATGATCAGACCAGATGAAAGGATGATATAATATGTTTGCTAGTAATCGGGATTGTTCGAGTTCAAGCAAAGATCGTTTCCCATAATTTCGGAGTTAATAGCTCACAATATAACAATTAAGTTTTCACAAGACAATATAATGGGAACGAGGATGCAAAAGGAAAACTCAAAAAAGGATGTAATAATTAATAACCAAGTAGTATTACCAGTATTAACTTTTCTTTGTAACAATAATGTTTTAATCATATTTACAACATATCACTCCTCACACGCGTATCAAGTTTTTTTTATTGTTTTTTGATAAATACGTATAAAGATTTTAGTTTAATACTAAAACTTTATAACAATTCTTATTTTATTTGTATGCATTACTTTGTTTGTTCTTTATTTTTATTTTGTTTTCCATCGTACTAAATTATTTTGTTTTAGTTACCAAGTGTTCTGTGAATAATCTTGATCACACGGTAGAACGGCGCCTGGGGCGTAATTTAGCAGCAAGAGGATTAGCCATCTCACACGAGAGCCTGAGTTTCTCGGACAAGTCAACGGCCTTCTCATGGGACGGTGGTAGCCATTCAAACTCGTGCAAAAGCGTCGCAGTCCAAAACGTTACGGTGGCCAAACCAAGATTCTTCCCTGGACAGATCCGACGACCCGACCCGAACGGTGCAAGCCTCAAATCCGAGCCAAGAACCGAGAACTCAACCTCGCCTCCCTTGGCTACGAACCTTTCGGGTTTAAACTCCAAGGGATTTTCCCACACGTGTGGATCGTGCGCTATAGCCCACATGTTCACCATCGCCGTGGTCCCCGCCGGAACACGACGACCGTCGATGATCGTATCTGTGATTGCTAAACGGGACCAAGAGAGTAATGGGCCTGGCGGATGAACCCTCAAGACTTCTTTCACCACAGCCGTTAGATACACTAAAGACGCCACGTCAGACTCTTCGACGGCTCTCGATCTTCCTACGATCTGATCAAGCTCGTTGTGGACCGTCGATTGAATATCTGGGTGAAGGACCATCCTAGCAAGGATCCACTCGATCAAAACAGCCACCGTGTCAGTTCCTCTGAATATCATTTCCTGTTCCATAAATTGAGAATAACATTTTAGGACCATTGTATCGTACTACTTAAAATGGCATATTTAACGCAGAGAGAGTACAATCCAAAATGATTTGTTGTGTTTTGTTTCCTCACTATTTGGTAAACAAAATATTTATATATATATATATATATATATAAATAAAGTAAAGAACAACGTGTACATACCCAGAGAACGGCGACGATATCCGGGTCGGATAACTTATCCGGACCATCAAGAGAGAGCAATACGTCAACGAAGTCATTAGGGGAGTCACGAGTTTGATCACGGTGGTCAGAGATAATCCGGTTCACGAACCGGTTTACTTTTGGTACGAGGCTAGAGCATCTAGACCGGATTCTTTGAGGATCAAGTTCTGAGAGCAACGGGAGATGATCGGTCCAGTTTAGTTTGCCGAGAAGATCATAACCTTCTTCAACCATCTCACGAAGCTCATTAACTTCATCATGCTCGTGCTCAAGCTCGTATTCTTTCCCGAAAACAGAGCACATCATGTTGTTAAGCGATGCCGTTTTGATCAAGTCACGTGCGAAACAGAGACCTTTGGCGTTGCTCTGTTTTGCGAGACACGTTGTGATCTGTTTCGCGATCACACTTCTTTGCGTTTCGGAGCGTTTAATCTGTTTCGGGCTGAAAAGATGATTGGACGCGATCTTTCTCAAGGTTCGCCAGTAAACCCCGTAAGGTGCGAAACCGATAGCTCGGTTAAACATGAGGGAATACGCTGATTCTTTAACCGGACGGTCAGCAAAAACAGGGCTGTTTAGAATCTCTTTAGCTACGTCAGGATTGCACGTGACGATCACGCGAGTTTCTCCCAAGCTAAACGCCATTAACCGTTTGGCTCCAAACTTCTCTGCGGTCGCGGCTATGCAACGGTGAGCAAGAGTGCTTGACATGAGAGACATGCTTCCGACAAAAGGTAAGCCTCTTGGTCCAGGAATCAGGGTGGTTCGTTGCCGCCGCTGGAAGAAGTATTTTCCCCATGCAGGTCCTCCGGGGTGAGACCAGAAGAAGAGAGAGAGGGCGAGACAAGCAAGACAGGCTACGAGAAGAGACAGAGCGATATTGGTTTGAGTAAGGAGGCTACATTTCGACAAGAGGGCCAAAAGTAAGCTGCTGGTGTCGAGCTTAGTGGCCATGGAAACAGAGGAAAAAGAGAGAGAGGGAGAGAAAGGAGAGTGGCTTTTTGCTGTGGGGTTGAAGATGAATTGGTGCCTTCACGTATTTATATAGAAAGAAATGTTAGAAGCCTCTTGTTTAAATTTTTTAAAAAATAATTATAAAACTAAAAATCTATTTCATTTAATATTTGAAAGGGAATGTTGTCTTTTATGATAAATAATACTACTCTTTTGTGTGTACTTCATTCTTTTTTACTCTTAATATTGTACTTTTTACTTAAATATTTGGGTAAGTTTGCGTTTGCTTTGTTACTTGAAATATATAATTTGAACTTGGTACGTTTTTTCATTTTCCATATAAGAAGAACTACTATTTATTTTATTTTGCAGATGCAAAACGAAAAAATTAAATAATAGCAGGATAATATATTGATGACAATGTATCCTAATCTTTGTTTATATTGAAGTTTACCGAAAATATTATATGATTAATTTTATTTGATTAAACACAAACCAAATTTATTTAGGATATTTTGATAAAAGCGAGACCTTTCAGCCACAAGAAAAAAAAAAGTTGATGAAATGCAATGAATTAATAGGTTATTAGATAAATACACATCAAACATAAAAGTGCAAATTTTTTTAAGTGATTAAGATTTCACACCACTTACAAAACTTATCCTTTAATAAAACAAAAGGTATGCTCCGTTTTTTTTTTTTTCCTTCTTCTATATATGAGATGGATTTTGACTGTAAAATGAATCTTCATTTAGAGAAATTATTGACAAATTAATCACTTACAAAATTTTAAAACGTAATATCGAAAGGTGTAATTGCAGTGGCAGTAATTGCACATAACAATCAACTTAACTTCTCGTGGCCGTTAAATAAAACTGATGAAACTTGATAGACCCACTCTTGTGAATTCATTGTATCTGTAAATTTGAAATCTTAGTTTTGCTTACTTGCGTACGTATTGTAAATTATATATCTCCATATTTCGTATGTTTTTCTTTTTAAAAATTCCATTTTACAGATCTAACGCCATAGATTAGTTATGGAATTAATCTCAACTGAGATTACAGTCAGAAACAACATGTACTTTTTTCTTCTTTTTTTAAAAAAAAAATTCTAAATACGTAAGTCTCGGCGCTTGGTGAATATATATAAACATTAGGTCACACCATACGACATGATCAAGTTTTAATATTTTGATACTTGATGATTATTTTATAATAACCAAAATAATATAAT